GTCTCTTACCATCTACTTTCACTTTCCTGTTCTGATATAACTAGACCTTTTTTTTTTAAGTTATTTATTTATTCTTAAAGAGGGGAAGGGCAGGGAAGAGGGAGAGAAACATCAATGTGGGGGTCGCCTCTCCTGGGGACCTGGCCTGAATCTAGGCATGTGCCCTGACTGGGAATTGAACAAACAACCCCTTGGTTCTCAGGTCTGCGCTCAATCCACTGAGCCACAGCAGCCAGGGCTCAAGAGTTTTTATAACTTAACATCTAGCCTCATTCTCCTCTCTGGAGGTCGGGGATGGGGCTCACAGGTCTCACCCTCTTGTCACTGTGTGGTCTTCCTGGTGACCAGCCCATACTCTGGAGCCAGGTAGAGGTTCCACTCCGAGTCAGTGCATCAACTTGGTGCACTGAGGTGCAGAACAGGGTCAAGCTGGGCTCCCTCTGCAACTGAAGACACTCCTGGGCTCAGTAAACATCAAGGGCTTAGGATCTCTGCCTGGAACCTGGGGCAACGGCAAATACATCTTTTTATTACACCTTTGATTACAGGTATCAAAGGGGGAAGTAGCCCTGGGTGGACGGGTCAGTTTGCTGGAGTGTTGCCCTGTGCACCACAGTGTTGCAGGTTTGTTCCCGAGTTGCGGCGTGCACAGGAGGCCTGATCGCTGTTTCTCTCTCTGTTTCTGGGGTGAGGATGAAAACAAAAAGTGGGAAGTAGGTGTTGGAGCATTTTCGTGGACACCTGGAGCCCACGTTCTTTGTCGGAGCCCTGTTTTGTATGTTTAAGGAGCAAGAATGTGCTCTGTAAGAGGTGGAAAGTTGTGTTTGCATCCTGGCAAAGTCTGACCTTGAGTCCATGCTGGTGTTCTCCCTCAGCTTTTGACGAGCATTTCACAGATTGGCTGTCGATTCAATCAGTTAATATTGAGCCAGTGTCACCCTGGCTGGTGTAGTTCAGTGGATTGAGTGCGTGTGGGTCTGCCAACCAAACAACCGTGGTTCGATTCCCAGTCAGGGCACATGCCTGGGTTGCAGACCAGTTCCCAGCAGGGGATGCAGGAGAGGCAACTATACATTGATATTTCTCTCCCTTTCTCCTTTCCTTCCCCTCTGAAGATAATTAAAAGACAAATAAAAAGAAAAAAATAGAAAAAAATATTGAGCCGGTGTCTTCAAGTGAACAGGATTCGCGTACCGTTTTCAAGCTGCACTTTAGAACAACTTAATGTACAAAAGTTTGTCAGAATTTTATAATTCAACGAGACTGACTTTGTAATCTTACATTTTCACAGTCTGACTCATGTGAAAGCCAGGTTACCTGCGAAGTGGAAAGTTTAGATATCCAGATGAACTAGACTGTTCTTGAGAAAGCCAACGCGTGTACTGTGTCGGGGGCCACAGGGCCAGCGTTTTAGGACCCAGAGCCGCTCTGCCCAGAGTTGCCGAGCCAGCCTGTCTTTTCCTGAGTTCTCTGAGGGTTCGCCTGGATCGTGTGGATTCCGATTCTACCTGTAACAGTGCTTCTAAGCTAGCAGTTTCTGAGAGGTTTTTCTTTCTGCTAACTTTAAACACACAGCCTTATGCAGGTATCACGGCTGCAGCGTGGTCTCCTTCGTGCGCGTGCTGTGGAGCGACCACAACAGGGTTAGTTCACTACCATCCATGACCTCATACGGTTATTTCTGTGTGGGGGTGAAAACATTTGCGATTTTCCTTAGCCCCTTTTCAGCGTACAATGCAGCGTTGTTACCTGTAGCCACTGAGCAGTGTGTTAGGTCCCTCTTCTCATCCTCCTGTAGCTGGAAGTCCTGCGCTGTGGCCCCGCCCCCGCCCCGCCCCTGCCCCGCCCCCTGCCTCAGCCCCCGCCCCCCTCCCCCCACCGACTCCTGCCCCTGGCTTTACCAGTCTCCTCTCTCTCAGAGTCTGGCTTTTTTAGCTCTCACATACACGTGGGTCACACAGTAATTGTCTTTCTCTGACTTATTTCATTTTGTAATGTCTTATTCATCCATGCTGCTGTGAACGGCAGGATTTCCTTCTTTTTTATGACTGGATACCCAGTGTGTGCATGTGCCGTACACGTACAATGGAATATTTTATAAATATAGCTCACACTTCATTTAGTCATGTGTTCACGGACACCCACACTGTTTCCGTGGCTTGGCTATTGTGAGTAATGCCGCAGTGGATACTGGGGTGCAGGTATATTTCCGAGTTAGTGTTTCATTTCGTTTGCACAGCTGGTTCTGTTTGATTGTGTGAGGAGCTGCCACACTGTTTTCCACAGTGGCCGCGCCGATGCTCAGTCACACCAACAGTGCACGAGGGTTCCCTTTAGAGAGGTGACCCGCTCCACCCCCCACCCCCGCTCCACCCCCCCACCCCCGCTCTCCCCAAGGCTGGCCATTATTTAAAGTCTTAGAAGTTTCTTTTCTGTGGGTTTTTGATTTCCATGTTACAAGATTATATAGGCCTCAGTTCTTCTTGTTTTTTTTAAAAAAGATTTTAGGCCCTGGCTGGTGTAGCTCAGTGGATTGCGCGCGGGCCTGCGAACCAGACAATCGCGGTTCGATTCCCAGACAGGGCATATACCGGGGTTGCAGTCCGGTTCCCTCCCTGCAGGCCAGATTCCAGCAGGGGACGCACGAAAGGCAACCATACATTGATGTTTCTCTCCCTCTCTCCTTCCCTTCCCCTCTAAAGATAAATAAATAAAAATCTTAAAAAAAAGATTTTATTTATTTCATTTTTAGTGGAGAGGGAGAGAAACATCAATATGTGCTTGCCTCTCTCACACCCCCTATTGGGGAGGCAGGTGTCCTACTGGGAATGGAACCTGTGACCCTCTGGTTTGCAGGCGGCGCTCAGTCCACCGCGCCACACCAGCCAGGGCATCAATTATGCTTGTTAAACCAATCAGACTAGGAGTACCACTGGATTTAATAGAATTCAGTTAATTTAATCCTTGGTGGCAGAGGAAAGCAAACCCACATGTACAGTGCAGAGTACTTAAGAGTGGTGTTTGATACCAAGGGTCTGCTGGCAGCGTAGGGTTTTCTCCTGAATGAGTCTGAATTACTTGTAATTACCTAGCGTTCCACCGTAGTCTCATCGCCCCGCCCCGGAAATCTGGGTGGCGTTTTGCTGTCTGGCCTTGATGTTGCCAGTGAGGTGCATTTGCTTGTATTGCATATAAGTGGAATTATATGATATGTGACATTTTGAAACAGATTTTATTTACTCTGCACTTACACCTTGGAGGCTGTGTGTATTCATAGTTATTCTTATTGCTGAGTAGCGTTCCATTATTTGAAGGTACCGCAGTGTGTTGATCTGTTCAGCTACTGAGGGACATTTTGGTTGTTTCTGTTTTGGGATAATTATAATAAAGCCTTATGAACATTCTTTACACATTTTGCATAAATAGCCCTGGCTGGTGTGGCTCAGTGGATTGAGTGCTGGCCTGTAAACCAAAGGGTCACTGGTTCCATTCCCAGTCAGGGCACATGCCTAGGTTGCGGGCTAGGTCCCCAGTAGGGGGCGTGCAAGAGGCAACCACACATTGCTGTTTCTCTCTTTCTCCTTCCTTTCCCTCTTTCTAAAAATAAATAAAATCTTTAGAAATGTTTTAAAAATAACAAAAAAAACAGATTTTGCATGGATATAATTGCCATTTCTCTGGGAAACCTATCTACTAGTGTTGATTGCAGGGTCACATGGTGTATGTCTCACTTTATACAAAACTGCCAAACTGTTTCCAAAGCGGCTTTATGATGTTGTGCTCCCGCCAGCAGTGCTTCCTGGGCCCCTTGCTCTGTGTCCTGTCCAGCACTTGCTATTCCCACTGGTCTTCCTTTTAGCCAATCTTGTAAGTGTATAGTGGATGTCACCAGGGTTTTAACTTGCATTTCCTTAAAGGCTTATGCTGTTGAACACATTTTCATGTGGTTATTTGCTATTTTTATGGCCTCTTGGGTGATGTTTCTGTTTAGATCTTTTTATTCATTGGTTAATGAGGTTGTTTGTTTTCTTTTTGGACAGGCTCGATAACTCCTTATACTTCATATTCTCATTACAGGTCTTTTGCCAAACATGTGATTCGTACCTTGGTTTTTCATTCTCTCAGCAGTGTCTTCTACAGTTTTTTCTTCCATGGGTTGCGCTTTTGGTCTTATTGTGTGTTTTTGCCTAGTGCTTGGTGGCAGATTTTCTCCTGCATTTTCAGGAGTTTCTTGAATATTTGTTCCTTGTTGGTTTTGTGTATTTTTAGGTACTCTTTACCGTTTGTAGTATGCTATAATTTCTTCCACAGACTTAGATGTATATTTCTAATTGGGTCATTTAGAAAATAATTTGTATAGCAAGAGCCTTCTGTAGGATAGGACAAGGTTACACTTCAAGGTTAAGGTTAATTCTTTCTTCACTTGTCATGTAAGCGGTTTCATGACATTTGTTCTTCACCGAAGCTGTCAATTGCCAGTGTCCTAAGTCAGGGTTCTCCACTTTCCCTTTGGCCCGGGGCTCTGGGATATGCTGTGTCCACAGTGGGGCCCGTGAGCAGTGGCGTTCAGTTGGTGGTGGAGCGGGGCAGGGTGCAGAGTCGAACAGTTTCCTCTGGACGCCTGAGGGAGTCACTGGATAAAAACAGCTAATGTCAAATTCAAGTTTGTAATCACCAGAGACTAAGATTCTGACCTGTGAAATGGAGTCGGAAATTGATGAATATTGTGGGAGACATGCTTCAAAGAAGAACTCGAGTGCTATATTGATTTCTTCATTAAAAGGGTGACTGGGCGATTCATTTCTTGTTAATCACACTGTACCCGTTACAGTGATAAATCATGTAATTAAAAAAAATCACCAGACATTCAGCAAATGATCCACGTTGTGACTTACTTCACTTTTTCATTTCTGGGAGGGACATTTGCCAAGAGACTGACATGTGATGTTGCATTTTGAAAAACAAGTTACAAATTTAAGAAAATATTTTTAATTTTTCAGATGATGGTGTTGATACTCAGAGTGGGACGAAGAAAGAAGACCTGAATGAGAAAGAAAAGAAGGACGAAGACGAAGCTCCCGTGCCTGCGCACCGGTCCAAGTCTATCCTCGAGAGCTGGGTGTGGGGCAAGCAGCCAGGTGCGGTGACCCGAGCATCGTGGTGACCTGAGTGTCTGCTGCTTTGGAAAGCTGGGTCGGCTCTCACTCTCTAGATGTACACCAGAGATGGCATTTTCTTTTTATTTGGTCATGGAGTTTTAAAAAAATTTAAGTTCAAATTTGTTTACATTGTGGTAAATGATACATAATACACAGTTTACAATTTCAGCCATTAAGACGTTTGTTTAATTAAAATTTTTTTTTAAAGATTTTTAAACCGTAGCTGGTGTGGCTCAGTGGTTATGTGCCAGCTTGTGAATGAGGGGGATTAATGGTTCGATCCCTAGTCAGGGCACATGCCTGGGTTGTGGGCCAGGGCTTCAGTACGGGGTGTACGAGAGGCAGCCACACACACATTGATGTTTCTGTCCCTTTCTCCCCTCTCTAAAAATAAATAAATAAAATCTTGGGAAAAAAGATTTTTTAAATGTATTTTTAGAGAGAGGGGAAGAGAGGGAGAAGGAAGGGGTAAAAGAAACATCCATTGATTGCCTGCCCTGTACCGGGGACCTGGCCCACAGCATGTGCCATGACCGGGAATCGCTCTGGAGACCTTTCAGTCTGTGGGAGGACGCCTAACCCACTGAGCCACACCAGCCAGGGCACGATTCAGCCATCTGTAGTGTGTAGTTCAGTGGCAGTGAGTAATTTCACACTGTTATGCAAGCATTACACCATCCATCTCCAGAGTCTTTTCATCTCACAAAACAGAAAGTCTGTCCTCATTGGACCATAACTCCACTTTGTTCTCTGCCCATGCCCCTAGAAACCACAATTCTACTTCCATCCTTAGGATTTTGACTAGTCTAGTTACCTATGTAAGTGGCGGAATGGTATAATATTTGTACTTTTGTGATTGGTTTGTTCTGTTATTTAGCACAGTGTCTTCAAGGTTCAGCCACGTTGTCAGAATTCCCTGCTTTGTAAGGCAGAGTAATATTCTACTCTATGTACAGACCACATTTTACTTATCCCTTCGTCTGTGGGTGGGCATTTGGATTTCTGCCCCCTTGTGGCCGTTGTGAATAATGCTTCGAGCATGGCTGGGCCAAGTTCCAGTGTCTGCTTTCAGTCTGTGTGTATATATACCTGGGAGTGAAATTGCTGGATCATGTGGTGACTCTGTTCTACCTTTTTGTGGGCCGGGCAGACTTTCCCACAGTGGCTGTACTGTTTTAATCCCTGTCAACAATGTTGGAGCGACCGAGCTCACCTGCATCCTCACCAGCAGTTGGTGGTGTCGACTAGTTTTTTAATTTTAGCTATTCTCACAGGTGTGTGGAGATCTCTCATTGTGGCTTTTATATTTTGTTTTATTAAGGTTTTATTTATTTTATTTTTAGAGAGAGGGGAGGGAGGGAGAAAGAGAGGGAGAGAAACATCAGTGTGTGGTTGCCTTTCACATGGCCCCCCACTGGGGACCTGGCCCACAACCCAGGCATGTGCCCTGACTGGGAATTGAACTGGTCACCCTTTGGTCTGAAGCCCCCACTCAATCTCCTGTTCTACACCGGCCAGGGCTCTCATTGTGGTTTTAATTTGCAGTTCCCTGTGGCTCATGATGGTGTTCCTCTTTTCATGTGCTTATTTATCATTGAGATAAATATTACATATATATTTTTTACTTTGTGTTTTGCAAGTTCTTTTTTTTTTTTTTTGAGGTGTTAATTTATTTCTGAGAGAGGGGAAGGGAGGGAGAAAGGAGAGAGAGATTGATGCATTGCCTCCATTATGGGCCCCAACTGGGAACTGAATCTGCAACCTGGGAATGTGCCCTGACTGGGAATTGAACTGGTGACCTCTCACTTTGCCGGATGTTGCTCAACCAACTGAGCCACACACGTCAGGGCAAGTGTTGTGAATTCTTGGATACTTGGGTACATATTCTGGATACTGGTCCTTTATCTTACACACGCATGCGTGGCATAACAGTGTTTTGGTAAGGGATGGACCACATGTGTAACAGAGATCCCGTAAGAGTATAATGGAGCTGCAAACTTCCAATCGCCTGAAGATGTAGGTGCAGTCTCGTCCTGGTGCAGCCCGCTAGTCACAGGTTTGTGGTGCTGCTGGTGTGACACACATACTGTGTCGCCAGTCGGGTGAGAGCATAGTATGTACAATGATATGTTCCTCACACTTGATGATGATGATTGACTATGTTACTGGTTGATGTATTTACCATATATATTTACCTGCCCTGGCTGGTGTGGCTCAGTGGATTGAGCGCCAGGCTGCAAATCAAAGGGTTGGTGGTTTGATTCCCACTCAGGGCACATGCCTGGGTTGTGGGTCAAGACCCCAGTAGGGGGCGTGCAAGAGGCAACCACACACTGATGTTTCTCTCCCTCTCTTTCTCCCTCCCTTCTGCTTTCTCTAAAAATAAATAAATAAAATCTTTTAGAAAGTGAAAAAATTAAGCTTATAAAGTAAAAATGTAGTAAGCTAAGGTTAATTTATTATTAAAGAAAGAAAAATATTTTTAAAAGAATTTAGTGTAGCTTAGGTGCACATTGCCTATAAAGGCATTTAAGGTTGATGCTTCCTTTTATAGCTGGGTGATGTAGGTGAGGTGTTAACATCCCCTATTATTATTATACTCTTGCCCATTTCTGTCTTTTATTTTTTTAACTTTTCTTTTTTTTTTTTTAAGATGTTATTTATTTAGTTTTAGACAGAGGGGAGGAGAGGGAGAGAGGGAGGTGAGAAACATCACACATCACTGTGTGGTTGCCTGTCATGCGCCCCCTACTGGGGATCTGGCCTGCAACCCAGGCATGTGCCCTAACTGGGAATTGAACCCGTGATCCTTTGGTTCTCAGACCGGCAGCACTCAATCCACAGAGCCACACCAGCTGGGGTGGTCTGTAGTATTTTTAAAAGTTGTTGCCATTTCTTTTTTAAGGCTGTTAATATTTGCTTTATCCATGTAGTCGCTTTTGTGTGTTGGGTGTATGAATGTTCGTAAATGTTACATTCTCTTCTTGGGTTGAGCTCTTTGTCATTGTGTAATGCCCTTCCCTGCCTTTTATTGCACTCTTCGTTTTAAGACCTATTTCATTTAAGTATAGCTACCTGCTTTCTCTTGGTATCTGTTTGTGTGGGCTATCTCTTTTCATGATTTCACTTTCCATCTGTGTGTTCTCTCACCTGTAGGTGAGTCTCTTTTAGGTGGCATATAGGTGGCTCTTATTTTTTTATCCATTCAGTCATATGTCTTTTGATTGGAGAATTCAGTTCATTTACATTTAAAGTAGTTATTTATAGGCATGTACTTACTGCCATATTTGTTGGGTTCCAGCTATTTGGTAGTTCTCTGTTCTTTCTTCTCTTGCTGTCTCTTCCTTTGAGGTTTGATGACTTTCTCTAGTAGTATGTTTAGATTCCTCTCTCATTACCTTTGTATCTACTGTATGTTTTTGCTCTGTGGTTGCCATGAGTCTTATGTGTATAAAAGTCCATTTGAAGTTGATAACTACATAAGTTTGACTGCATTTTAAAGCTGTATATTTTTACTCTCCCCATGCATTTTATGTTTTGATGTCATAACTCATATTTTCATATTTTGTGTATCTGTTCATTATTATTGTTGTTTTTTACTTCCTTTGCTTTTTAAATTTTATATTAGCTTTATATGTCATTAACCCTCTGCCTTTAGTATATGTTTACCTTTTACCAGTGAGACTTTTATTTTTACTTTTATATCGAGTCCAGCACAAACAGTGCCCCCTTTTTATTATGAAATCTTCTATTACAAAGTCATAACTGCTGGGGACCGCTCTGTGTGATTTTGGAGATTGCAGCCCCTCGAGAGCAGGCTCTGAAAGGGGCTAGTAAGTCTCTCTGAAAAACCAGGTAACGCAGGTGGCTGCCATAACCCGACTGTAACACCGAGGGTCCCCATGGGAATCAGGCCTGATACATACATACATTGTATCCTTTGAAGCCTGCTCTGCTTTGCTTTGTATGGATCTGTTGACATAAACCGGATGTTTAAGTTCAAGGCATAAATGGTAAACTCCTTACCTCATGAAACTCGTCTTAAAGACCCTCTGGCATCAGCATGACTCACAGACCCTGACCTGTGACAGACCTCTGTGTTCCTTCCATTGTCATCCATACGTAATGCCTGTTTTTGTGTGACTGTAGCCTTTTGACATTGATTGATGAGCTATGCATGTGTGCACCTACACACACCATTCCCAATAAAAGCCATTTGGGAGAAGGGCTCGGGGCGTTCCCTGCTGGAGGAGTCACCATCCCTTTCCCACTGGAACAGCAAGATTGTGTTCGGGACGACTTATTTCTCATCTGCGGCGGAGAGGAGAATATTGCAGGATGGCGTTCCTCCCACACATAAGCAAGTAGTTCTGTAACTTAACAACACTCAAGCACAATATGGGACATTTTAGGTGAAATGTTTAAATTAAAACTATACATTATTATACCCATATTATTACCCCACCAACCACACTCAAGCAGGCGTTACTTCTTCCGGACCCCGTATGTTTTCTTGTTACTAATTAGTTTCTTTTTAGCTGAATCAAATTCCTTTAACATTTCTTGTAAGTCTGTTAAGTTGTGATGAACTCCTTTAGTTTTCATTTGTCTAGAAAACTATCTCTCTACCCTGGCTGGTGTGGCTCAGTGGATTGAGTGCTGGCCTGTGAACCAAAGGGTTGCAGGCTCGATTCCTGGTCAGGGCACATTCCTGGGTTGCGGGTCAGGTCCCCAGTGGGGGGCACGTGAGAGGCAACCATACATTGATATTTTTCTCTCTTCCTTTCTCCCTCCCTCTAAAAATAAATAAATAAAATGTTAAAAAGGAAAACCATTTCTCCTTCAATTTTGCATGGTAACTTTGTTGGGTAGGGTATTTTTGGTTGGGTTTTTCCTTCAGCACTTTGAATGTATTGTCCTATTCCCCTCTGGCCTGCACAGTTTCTGCTGAAAAATCTGCTGATAGCTTCTTACTTATGGGTACTCTGTTGTATGTAGGCTGTTTTTCTCTTGCTTCTTTTAAGATTCTGTCCTTGTTCACTTTGTTATTTAAATATGAGGTTTCTTTTTTTAAAAAAATATTTATTTTAGAGGGGGGAAAGGGAGGGAGAAAGAGAGGGAGAGAAACATCAATGTGTGGTTGCCTCTCATCCGCCCCCTACTGGGGGCCTGGCCTGCAACCCAGGCATGTGCCCGGACTGGGACTTGAACTGGTGACCCTCTGCTTTGCAGTCTGGCTCTCAATCCACTGACCCAGACCAGGCAGGGATTGTCGTTAACTTTTGACATTTTCATTGTAATGCGTTTTGGTGTGAGTCTCTTTGAGCCCAGTCTCTGGGCTTCATGGATCTTGAAGTACATTTTCTTCCCTTTTTACATCAAATACATTTTCTGTTCTTTCTCTCTCTTCCTCCCCCCCATATGGGACCCCTATAATATGATGTTAGTATGCTTGGTGTCTCATAAGTTCCTTAATCTGTCTTCACTTTTTTTTATTTTTTTTATTTTGGTGCTCTGATTACATGAGTTCTGTTGCTCCATCTTCAAGTTCACTGGTCCTTTCTTCTGCATCCTTTGAGTCTGCTATTGAACCCCTGTGGCCTGTTTTTCAGTTGTTTTCTGCCCCCCCTTCCCCAGCGTACTTTCTCTTTGTTATTCAGATTGGGCAGCTTGGTTCTTCTAGTTCACTGATCCTTTTTATTTTTTAAAAATATTTTATTTATTTTTAGAGAGAGGGGAAGCGAAGGAGAAAGGGAGAGAAGCATCAATGTGTGGTTGCCTCTCGAGGGTCCCCTACTGGGCACCTGGCCTGCAACCCAGGCATGTGTCCTGAACCAGCGTCCAGCGTCCCTTTGATTCACAGGCTGGTGCTCAGTTGGTGCTCAGTCCACTGATCTACTGAGCTGCACCAAGCAAGGACTATTCTTGTTTTTTTTTTTAAAGATTTTATTTATTTATCTTTAGAAGGGAAGGGAAGGAGAGGGGGAAGGGAAGGAGAGAGGGAGAGAAACATCAATGTATGGTTGCCTTTCGTGCGTCCCCTGCTGGGAACTGGCCTGCAGGGAACCTGCCTGCAACCCTGGCATGTGCCCTGACTGGGAATCGAACCGCGATTGTCTGGTTCGCAGGCCCGCGCTCAATCCACTGAGCTACACCAGCCAGGGTACCCATTCAGTTTTATTTTCAGTTATTACATTTTTCAGTTCTAAAACTTCCAGAGGCATGGGTGCTGTCTGTGAGCCTCAGGGCTGTGTCTGGGCTTTTCAGCCAGGCAGGGGAGAGACATATGATTACTTAAAAGGAGAAAACGTCGTGCCTCTTCAGGAAGGCAGAGCTTTTCCTACACCCGGCTTCTGGCGGAAATTCCACACAGGAAGCACACTGGCTGTCTCAGTCAAGGGTCCCGTGTGTCCATGGGGGCTCAGACACCTCTCCGTGCTGGCCCAAGGATGACGCAGGACTGGTGCTTTGTGTGTAAACCTTCGTCCTTCCTCATCTTGAGCCCAGAGTGGAATTTATTGTGCCGTTATCTAGTTTTCTGGAACTGTAGCCCTCTTAGCCTGGGCAGCTTTCCAGACTTAGCACCCAGCCTAGGGCCTGGACCAGCTCCTCCGTGACCTCGCCTGTGGGCGGGAGGGAGGCTCCGCCCCTGGCGCAACCCGGGTTGGGGTGAGGTGTGTCCCTTTCTTGCCTCTGGGAGCTCTTGCTGTCCCACAGGGGAAGCTCGATCAGGTGCTGGGTGTCAAGACAAGGGAAGTCCGCGTGAGTGTGGCTGTGGCCCCTCAGGGTCTGAGGCTGCCACGCTGCTGATGCGCAGGCCCGGCGCCTGCAAACTGCAGAGACTGCGCAGGCGCAGGACAGCCCCGCTTGCTCCGCCGGGCGGCCGCGGGCGGCGCGGTTTCCGGCTGGGCGTGAGGCCGCCTAAGGCTCATTGGGAAGATCAGGGCCCTTGAATCATTTTCATTTATGTAGTTGTCTTCCGGGTTCTTAAAAATCCCTTCATTGAGGACATTTCGGACATGCGCAGTCGGGAGAACTTACGCGCCACATATTCTAAGTACTTTATTTTCCTCTGAAATACCCCAATGTATCGCCGTCCGCCGTCTTCATGCTGAGCAATTTTATTGAGACTGTGTTTTATTTCGAATTTGGTTTCATAATGTGAGAATAATGGATAGAGTTTTTCTCTGTCTAGGGAATGTGCTGCTGGTAACTTTGAATTTTGTAATTTTGTGGTAAAAGCATTCCTGCAGCGTTTACCGAGAGCCAGTATACCACGGTGGCCAAGAGTGGTCTCTCCCATGTGTCCTCATCTGGGTCACCTTGGCAAGTTCTCTGTGCCTGTTTCCTCCCCCATAAAATTGCACACACAGTTCTGCCCCTTGACGGTGGCTGCAAAGATGACCTGGTGTGTGTCAAGTGCTTAAAACCCATTTTGCCACATATGGGGCACTTGTGTGTCACCTATTATTATTACCCATCTTACTGACAATACAATAGACGAAGCCCCCGATAATGAGAGGCTGGACACTGTCTTATTTTTCCAGACGTGAACGAATTGAAGGAATGCCTTTCTGTGTTGGTCAAGGAGCAGCAGGCCCTGGCCATCCGGTCGGCCACCACCACCCTCTCAGCCCTGAGGCTCAAGCAGCGGCTGGTCATCCTGGAGCGGTATTTCATTGCCTTGAATAGGACCGTTTTCCAGGAGAACGTCAAAGTGAAGTGGAAAAGCAGCAGCGTTTCTCTGCCTCCTGCAGACAAGAAAAGGTAACTAGAAAATGAAGAAGGAATTCTGGTACCAGCTACATGGAAAGTCCTGGCTGTTTTGTGCAGGAAAGTCAATTGAGGCTTTTGGTAGAGCTTCCTTTCCATCTTTATGAAGTTTTTAAAATTTGTATTTGAAATATTTTAATTTACTTTAAGTAAGAGGGGAAGGGAGGTGGAAAGAAAGGGAGAGAAACATCAATGTGTGGTTGCCTCTTGCAGACTCCCCACTGGGGATCTGGCCCGCAAACCAGGCATGTGCTCTGATTGGGGATCGAACTGGTAACCCTTTGGTTTGCAGTCGGGTGCTCAATCCACTGAGCTACATCAGCCAGGGCTCGTCTTTATGAAGTTTTAAGCTTATGTTCCCTGTTTGAATGTTTCATGACACTTACACAGTGGTTTTGCCCATTCGCTCCTATAATGACAGGCTGTTTGTAGAACTGGTACCATTGTTCAAACACCCTTTTCTGTCATTGACTGTTTCTGCCGCACAGGTGCCCGAGGGCACGTGCGGATTTGAGAATGGGATCTGAATGCAATATTCATTTTCTTTTATTATGCTACTGGATAGGGAACAGTCAGATTGTAATATTTTCTGCATAATTCATTAGATGCTTCATTTTCTTCCTCATCTGACAGATTTTTGTGGGAGCTGCCTTCAGGTGTATGATTTTTACTATATTGATGCACACCTCGGCAGCTTTTCTCTGAGGCACTAACAGCTGTTAGAACCTTAAAGATTGTGTAAAAGTGTATTTTTCTAATATAAAGCTGTTCCCTGAAAGCTAGACAAAAAGATTTCAGGATAGAATTCATACTTTATATAGTTAGTCAAGTTGCTTTTATTTGATTGTAATATCGGCTTTTACTCCCTTAAGAGCACGTGGGAAGTACAAGAGGCAGAAAAAAGCTGGGGAAAAAACCTTATTATTTTGCCTCCCAGAGGGACAAGATGTGCTAAATGTAGTGTATTTCCTTGTTTTTCAGTTGAAATCTCATTCTATGTCATATATTTGAGTGGTACTTTTAGGATAAATTAAACTACGGGACAGGGAGGATTCCTAGCTGCGTGACAGCAGCAGGCTCTGTCCTTGTCTCCTCCTACTTGACTGCACAAGGGCGGCCGTCCGAGGTGGCTGCCGACCCCAGAGGGCGGTGCCCGTGGGTGGCAGAGTCTGAAGGTCTCGAAGTGCTCTGCGTGTGGGTCAGACCGCGTTCCCTAGGGAGCAGAGGCGGCTGAGCGCCTAACTGCTCCTCGGTACCACATGAGGGTTGATGGGCTAATTGAAATCTATTTTTCATTGAACAGAGGAAATTCTGAAAATGAAAGAGAATTTATTCGAGATCATTGTGGATTCATAGGCACTTGTTAGAAATAGTACTGAGAATCCTTATGCTCTTCACCCCCCCTAGTGGAAGCTGCCTGCAAAGCTGTAGAAAAAAATGCAAGAAGCCGTTTGTATAACTATTTAAATATGCAAAATGAAGCCAGTTTTGTTAAATAAGTTCACATATATGAGTAGTAAAAGGTGTACAGAGATACATGGGAACGATAAGCACCGAGTTTTGGGAGTGGGTCACCGACCTGGGCCTCTCATCCCAGCAGTCAGCCAGCCAACGCGGGATGGGCCCAAAGCAGGGAAAGGGAAGGAGAGAGGGAAAGAGAAATTAATGTGTGGTTGCTTCTTGTGTGCTCCCCACTCCTGGGGACCTGCCCCACAACCCAGGCATGCACCCTGACTGGGAAATGAACCCTTTGGTTTGGAGGCACATGCTCGTTCCGCTGCGCTACACCAGTCGGGGCTACTGTAGAAGGGTTAATGCCCCACTTTGGTGTGTATCTGTTCATCATTCTCCCCTCCCCCCATCGAATAACCCTGAGGTCTTTTTTCTTGAGCAGTTTTGCAAATCATTTAAAATCCTTTTTGAATTTTTTTTCCTTAACGAGGATACGTTTCCTTTACAAAGTGCATTAGATAAAAGTTTCTAAAAAACAGAGCTAAAATCCCTCGTGACCCTGCCACGTAAAGAAACCCCTGCGACCCCATCTTGATACGAATGCATTGATGATGCCTTTGATCTGCTGTGGCACTTTCCTCTGACTGAGTGAGCCCTGTCACCACCCCCTGTGTGTGTCCCCTCAGCTCCCGGCCCCCGGGCAAGGGCGTGGAGGGCCTGGCCCGAGTGGGGTCCCGAGCAGCGCTGTCCTTCGCCTTTGCGTTCCTGCGGAGGGCCTGGCGGTCAGGTATGTGCGCCCGGTAGGTGGGTCCGCTGCCGGGAGGCGGCACCTCACAGCTGCTACCTCGGGCCCTGGGGCCGACCGCAGCGTGTGCCTTTGCCTTGATTGAACATGACAGGCCTCAGAGTCCGACTTTTCAGGTTTGTGCTTCTCAAGGAAAAGTGCAAGGAGACTTGCCGGGGGTGGCAAACACACAGCACAGTGTACAGATGACGTGTTGTGGAATCGTGCACGAGGACTCTGTATAATTTTGTTCATTGGAGTTGCCCCAGTCCGTTCAATCAAAAGGAAAAAACTATAAAAACCGGTGCAGGGCCTTGGGGCTGATGTATTTTCTAGGAGAGCAAAAGTTAGTCATCCTGATGCCAGAGTCTTACAGAATTGACATGGGGGACTACTTCCCTCCATTTTAGTCTTTTGAGCCCTTGCAAGAGCTCAGGGAGGGGAAGGTGAGGGTAGAAAATGAGACAGTGGGAATATGGGTGTCCTTTCAGCCCCGGGCTGGGAGGGGCACCTCGCTCCTGGCGGGCGGGGACAGCATGGCTTGTTGGTGGTGCCCAGGCGGGGGGTGGCCCCCACTGACCCGTGTGTGTGTCCAGGCGAGGATGCGGACCTCTGCAGTGAGCTGTTGCAGGAATCCCTGGATGCTCTGAGAGCGCTGCCCGAGGCCTCACTCTTTGACGAGAGCGCTGTGTCCTCTGTGTGGCTGGAGGTGGTGGAGAGAGCCACCCGCTTCCTCCGGGCTGTGGTGACGGGGTGAGTGCCCTCTCCTCACACCTTCCTGTGCCGTGTGCCCGCTATGGGGCGCTCCAGCATATCATCCCCTTCCCAGCTGTTTTTAATTTTATTCTTCCATTACAGCTGACATAGAATATTATATCAGTTTCAGGTGTACAGCCCCGTGTTTGGACATTTCTGTAACTTAGCAAGTGAGCACCCCAATAAGTCGAGCACCCACCTGGTTTTATTACAGTCTTTCTGAGTGTATTCCCTGGGTTGTGATTTATATCCCAGTCTGCACTTTTTTTTTTGGTAAGATTTTTATTTATTTGTTAGACAGGGGAAGAGAGGGAGAGAAACATCAATGCGTGGTTGCCTCTCGTGCGTCCCCTGTTGGGAACTGGCCTGCAACCCAGGCATGTGCCCTGACTGGGAATGGAACCGTGATCCTCTGGTGCACAGGCCCTTGCTCAATCCACTGAGCTACAGCAGCCAGGGCTAAAATTGCTTCTTTGATCACAGAGAAAAATAAGCGTAGACATGGTTGCCTATAGATTTTTCAGGTGGCTTTAGAAATTGATCCTTCTCCAGTTGTGTAGAGAAATGTTGACAGTCTGCTAGCTTTTTACATGTCGGTGAAACTGTAAACTGATCTAAATATTTTTCTACTCGTGCTAATGATGTAAATAATTTTATGCTACTGGAACTTGGAATATGTCTTCTGATGTAATCATCTTAGAGTATCTGAATTAATGCTTTTATTTCAGTCACATGCCTACCAGTTCATCTCACACTTTAAAATCTCCGATACCATTTTAGTAGCAAGCCTCAGAAACTAGAGTCTAGATATTAAAAATATACTTCTCCCTGAGAGAGAATGTACTTAACTTCCTAGCGTTAATGTTAGCATGCTATCTCTGAGCTCTGACTCTGTTCCTGATCTGCTGCTGTCATTTCAGGGATGTTCATGGAACGCCAGCTCCCAAAGGGCCGGGCAGCGTCCCCCTGCAGGACCAGCACCTGGCCCTGGCCATCCTGCTGGAGCTGGCTGTGCAGAGAGGCACGCTGAGGTGAGGGTGCCGCGGGCCCGGGCACTTCGGGGTAACATCTCCGGATCTGAACGGCTGTTGTGTTTTCTGGCGTTTCACCGAAGGATTTGTGACTGTAGTGAATGCGTGGTGTCCCGTAATCCCAGGACTGTCCCCTTGGACACACTGTTCTTTCAGACCTGGGTGCAATTAGCTTTTCTTCACTTTCTTTTTTCCCCCTTTATTTAAAAAATCATTTTTATTTTTTGACTACAGTTGACATACATTATTATATTAGTTTCAGGTGTACACTACAGTGACTAGACATTATATAACTTCCTAAGTGATCATCCCAGTAAATCTCACACCTATCTGGCACCACACACATTTATTAGGTTGTTATTGACTGTATTCCCTGTGCTGTACTCTACAGCCCTGTGACTATTCTGTAACCACCAATCTGTACTTCTTAATCCTCTACCTTTTTCACCCAGTCCGCACCACCCCTTTCATCTGGCAACTGTCAAAATGTGCTTTGTATATATGAGTCTGTTTTGGTCTACTTGCTCATTTATTTTGCTTTTTTATATTCAAGTAATAGATGTGTATATATTGCCATTTTATTGTTCATATTTTTATCTTTTTTTCTCCTTAAAGAGGACTTTAACATTTCATATAATACTGTTTGGTGATGATGAACTCCTTTAGCTTCTTCTTGTGTGGGAAGCTCTTTATCTGCCCTTCGATTCTAAATAATACCTTTGCTGGGCAGAGTAATCTTGGCTGTAGGGTGTTGCTTTTTATCACATTGAATATTTCTTGCCTGTCCCTTCTTGCCTGCATAGTTTCTGTTGAGAAATCAGCTGATTGTCTTTTGGGAGCTTCCTTGTAGGTAACTAACTGTTTTTCTCTTGCTGCTTTTAAGATTCTCTTTTTGTCTGTAACCTTTTGCATTTTAATTATGAATAGTCTTGGTGTGGGCCTCTTTGGGTTCATCTTGTTTGGGATTACCTGAGCTTCTGGGACTTGTATGTCTATTTTCTTCACCAGGTCAGGGAAACTTTCAGTCATTATTTTTTAAACTAGGCTTTCAATTTCTTGCTCTCTCTCTTCCTCTTCCTGTACCTCTATGATGCTAATATTCGTACACTTGAAGTTGTCCCAGAGGCTTCTTATGTAATCCTCATTTTTTTGGATTTCTTTTTATTTGCTCTGATTGGGTGTTTTTTGCTTTCTTATATTCCAAATTGCTGATTTGATTCTTGGTTTCATCTACTCTACTGTTGATTCCCTGTAAATTATTCTTCATATGCATTCTTTATTTGACTGGTTCTTTTTTATACTGTTGTAAGTTCATCTGCTCTTCCCCTAAATTCATCGAGCATCCTTATAACCAGTGGTTTGAACTCTGTATCTGATAGATTGCTCCTCTCTATTTGTTTAGGTCTTTTTCTGGAGTTTTGTTCTGTTCTTTCATTTGGGCCATTTTTCTTTGTCTCCTCATTTTGGCAGCCTCCCTGTGTTTGTTTCTATGCATTAGGTAGAGCTGCTTTGACTCTCTGTCTTAGTAGAGAGTGGCCTAATGTAGTAAGTGTCCTATAGGGTCCTGTGGTAGAGCCTCCCTGATCACCTGGGCTGGGCCCTTGAGGTACATCCCTGTGAGCTTTGTATACCCTGTTCTTGCAGTTGAGCTTTGATTTCTGTTGGTGTGTCGTTGGGAGGGGTTTACCCCATAGGCCAGTCAGCTTCAAAGACTGGCTTTGACCCCTGACCTCTGGCCCTGTGGAGGATCAGCTGTGTAGGGCTCCACCCACAGAGCCGCGCTTACTTCAGCAGGGCTCTGGTGCCCACTGAGGCCGCCCCAAGTGTGTTGCTTGTGGAAGTGGTGGGGTTGTGGTGCTTCCATGCTGTCTGTCTGAAGCATTCTGTGGGGGCAATGGCTGTGGGGCCTTCTGGGAGCTGCAGGTCACCAGGGTGGGGCAAACTGGGGGCCAGGTTGCTGGAGACTCAGATAGGGCACCTCCTGTGGTGCTGAGGGGAGAGCTCCTTAGAGGAGGAGCTGTGGCCTCTGCCAGCACTTTTGTCTGTGTGACGTTGCCCCTCCGTTCTCGCCCCATTGCTGGACCGTTCTCTTTTATGAGTATGTCTCTGGTGTTCTAGTGCTGCGGCTCAGAGGGACTCAAAGAAAGTTCGTGTGCGGGCCCTTTAAGTGAAGTGCCCGGGACTCCAGGAGCCCTGGTCTCACTCATCTTCCATCCCCGCTGGTTTTCATAGCCCAAAGTTATGGATACTTCTCTTCCTGGTACTGGAGGCCTGGGCTGGGGTGTTGGGACCCCTCACTCCTCAGGGGGACCTTGGCAGCCAAGATGTCCCTCTCTGTTTGTAACCCCAATCTGTGTGCATGGGACCTGCTGGTTCCTTGTCTCTCTGCCCCTTCACGTTTGCCCCCTCATGTCAGTGTTGCTTCCATCCTGCCAGGTGCCAGGCAGCTCTGAATGACGTTTGTTCTGGAGCTCAGCTGTGACTTTGATGTGGCTGCGGAGGGGCAGGTAGCGCAGTCCCTGACCCCACCGCCTCACCCGGCAGTGCCCTTCACTTCCTTTATCGTGTTCCACTCTCTAGTATTCCCAGAACAGTGCGATTACTTTTATATCATTAATTTAAGGCCTAGAAATTTCCTTTAGAAATTGCCAGTCAAGCTTCTGAGTGTGTCTTCTAACACCAGGCAGATGTCTTGCACTAAAATTGTGGTATAGATTTAGCCTTTTTCTTTTTTTCTTTTTAATATTTTATTTATTTATTTTTCGAGAGAGGGGAAGGAAAGGAGAAAGAGTAGGAGACAAACATCAATGCATGCTTGCCTCTCATGCGTCCCCTGCTGGGAACTGGCCTGCAACCCAGGCATGTGGCCTGACTGGGAATCGAACTGCGATACTCTGGTTCGCAGGCCTGCGCTCAATCCACTGAGCTACGCCAGCCAGGGCAGATTTAGCCTTTTTCCACCAAGCATTGTTTGGATGAGACTTTTTAGTTTCCCGTTCAATCTAAAGTATTTCTTCAATTTTATTCTGGTGTCTGCTTTTGCTTTTGACAGGCCATGGCAAAAAAAAAAAATTTAATCTGTTTATTTTCCCCCAGAGAATAAAGCTATCTTCTCTTTCAGCCAAATGCTGTCGGCCGTCCTGCTGTTGCTGCAGCTGTGGGACAGCGGGACCCAGGAGACGGACAACGAGCGCTCCGCCCAGGGCACCAGCGCGCCCCTCCTCCCTCTGCTGCAGCGATTCCAGGGCATGATCTGCGGCAAGGACGCCCCTCACGCAGAGGGAGAAACGCACGTAAGTGCACTAATAGGGCTTTGCATTTGACTAACTCTCTCCTTTTTGCAGTTATCCTAGGAGTTAGACTTGGACATACAAGAGCAGTGTCTGTGGGGGTGGTTGTGGGTCACGGGGAGCATGGATTTGGTGATGCCAGCATGACAGGTGTGGCAGGCCATTTGCTAGGCTGCGGGTGATGTGGGGGAGCGCCCCATGAGCACAGCAGGGTTATTCTGAGCAACTAAGGAGTGGCCAGAGCTTGCTGTGGCCGTGGGTGGACGGGGCGCGCTGTGCGTGCGTCCTGTGTTGTTTGCGTAGTCGGGGAATCTCTTTTTGGGTGTAGATGAGCCTGCGCTTTCAGAGACGGGCACCTGCCACCTTGGTGACCTGGCCATGCTCTCTCTGCTGAGCAGGAGCCACTCTGCCCTCTGCGCTCGGGGGGCTAGTGCTTGCGATTCCCAGCCGCCACATGCGCTGTGCTCTGGCTGTGGTGGGGGAGCGAGGTTAGGATGCTCTGGAGGATGTGAAGGCGTGCTCACTCCCTGTGGGTGCGTGTTAGTAGGCACACGAAGAGGGGCACTTGTGGTGGTAATGGGGAGGTGGCGCAGGGCTGGGGCCCGGTTGCTGTGGGCAGGAGCCCATGCTTGGTGCAGGGGAGGTGCTGCATGGTGAGGTCGCACTCCGTCCCCCGGAGGGGGCACATGTCTGACCCTGTGCAGAGGAGCCGGTAAGTCTCCCTCCTCTGCGCTGTCCTATCACCCGCCAGTTACCAGAAGACCTCAGGTGGGCGAGCACCAGTTATGTCAAGGAGCACGGTGCTGAGTCTGAAATGCATGCTTCTAAGTAATTATTAGAAAAAGAGCTTTGGGAGTAGAGGCTCACTCCTTTGGCCCTTTGGTGTACGGGCTCCACGGGAAGTACGTCCCCTCGGTAGACCCAGGACGCTGAGGCCAGGGGGCCTAGCATGCCCTGCCCGTACCTTGCACCTGACCCCCGACCCCCGACCCCGCTGTGACCCTGCTGCTTTCTAGAGGCACAGGTTTGATTTTGTAGGTCTTTTCTGGACTTAGCCATCTATGATTAGACTTCAGCCTAATTTTTTTTGGCATGAGGCAGTCTTTAATGGAAATCAGGCAGCTCCACCTTTACATTCTTAGATTTAATAATGCACAAATAAAAATAGTTTTTTTTCCAGCAGGTCCAGTATGTAGAATAAAAGAAGCATTTTTTTTTCATGTTTTGAAAGCCAGGTGGAGGTGCAGCTGGCTCAGTGTTCTCCGGAGGGTGCCTGGGTGGTGCGTCGGGGTGCTGGGCTGTGGCACCAACCTCAGCACGTGGGCGAGGGGTGCCGGTAGTGTCGGTGCATTGGTGACATTTCTCCTCCGATGGCCAGAAATCATGGGTCACCGTGAATACCCAAATCCAGAGTCGTGAAAGGCTAATGGTGGTACTTGTCCCTCTGTGTCTGACGGTGCCCGTGTACTTTTCTTCTAGCTCCTGTCTGGCCCTCTGAGCCCCAATGAGAGTTTCCTGCGGTACCTTGTTCTCCCGCAAGACAGCGAGCTCGCCATCGACTTGCGGCAAACCGCCGTTGTGGTCCTGGCGAACTTAGACCGCCTGGCGGCGCCCTGCACGCCCCCGCTGTGCAGCTCCCCCACGTCCCACAAGGTGTGTGCGGTGGTGCTGATTGTCTGGGGGACCCTCCCGCATCTCCTCATGTCCCTATTGGCTGGGGTGGGGCTGGCTTTGAGCTTGTGGACGCATGCGCAGTTTAAGGCACCGCCCCTGGTCATTGTGCCGGGGAGGCCGAGGCCGACGGGGGCTCGGTCCCGGCTCAGGGCACAGGTTCAAGGACTACCGCCGCTCCAGAGGTCTCCCCTTTTACTTACACAGCCACATGCCGCCCTGCCCTCCTCGGGGAGGTTCCGGAGCCTTTTTCTACATGGGGCGTGCCGGACGTGGCTGTGTGTGGCAGTGCCGCTCAGAGCTGTGGCGGCCCACCGGGGACCTCACACCCACAGTCAGTTTCGCTCGGTCCTCGCCACATGGCCCTCGGCACCAGGAGGAAACCGCCGGGCAGTGGCAGGGAGTGTTGCCGGGGTCACATGGATTCATCCTCGTTTTGAATCCAGGTTTTTCTAAGTATTTTTTTTAGTTTAGCTTTTTTTTTTTTCTTGTTAAGAGAGGGGAAGGGAGGAAGAAAAAGAGGGAGAGGAACATTAGTGTGAGAGAGAAGCATCCATCCCTGTCTCTTGTCCACACCCAATCCATGGGCAGAATGGACAGAACCCACAACCCGGGCATGTGCCCCGACTGGGAACGGAACTGGCGACCCTTTGGTTTGCAGACTGGTTGGTGCTCAGTCCACGGAGCATCACCAGCCAGGGCTACTTGTACTACTTTTAATGTGAAAATGATGTGTTGTGGAAAATAACTTACTCAGTCACTTTATCTCACGTTACCTGAGGTGAAATGTTATCAGTTATTCACATGTTTTGAATCAGCTTCTTTGTCTACATGCTTTGTTTTTATCTTATAGTATCTGTTTACCTTCCAGTATCTCCGTGTTACACCGTCCTAATGCCTTCATTCTTTTGACTAAGAAATCAGTGTTCTTGCTGCTGTAAATACACACTTCCTTCATCATCTCCCAGGGGTCCTTGCAGGAAGTCATAGGCTGGGGGCTGATAGGATGGAAGTGCTACGCCAACGTGATCGGCCCCATTCAGAGCGAAGGCCTGGCCACCCTGGGGGTCACGCAGATCGCCTGTGCGGAGAAGCGCTTCCTGATCCTGTCGAGGAACGGCCGCGTGTACTCGCAGGCCTACAACAGCGACACGCTGGTGGGTGTCCCGGGCCGGGCCCGTCGCCTCCGGGGTGGGCAGCTTCTCTCCTCTGGAAGCTGCAGAGGTGTGATCTTTAAGTCGTTTGACGTCTGAAGATTTGTAAGCATCTGTTCATCACACATTATTAGTTGTGTTTAAAATCTTAATTTCTCAAGACTCTGTGGCAGAGTCTCTTAGTTGCCAGGATCGAGGGTTCCTCACAGTGACGCTCATGGCCAGTCGTGCTCTTACGGGTAAACCGCCTCTGCAGGTGAAAGCCCGAGTACCTGTGGGGGCCAGGCCGGGTCAGAGGAAGCTGCACCTTGCCTGGAGTGGGGAGTTCCCCTCGCTCAGGGGCAGCCTGGTCACGCACACAGTGTGTGGGGCCCTTTGTGTTGGTGCTGGGTGGGGCACGGGCCAGCGCCGGCCTGGCCACCACTAGCAGACCTTGTCCTTTCGGTTTGTCAAGGGTTCGTTAAAGGGAGACATGCAGAGAAAGAGCGGTGTGCGGTTTTTGTAGTCCCTGGACCACTCACTGACACCGTTCTCTCTGTCGCTCTTGCAGGCCCCGCAGCTGGTCCAGGGTCTTGCCTCCAGAAACATCGTGAAAATTGCCGCCCACTCCGACGGTCACCACTACCTGGCCTTGGCGGCCACTGGAGAGGTGTACTCCTGGGGCTGTGGGGACGGCGGACGGCTGGGCCACGGGGACACCGTGTACGTACGGCCCGCCTGTGTCACCCACATGCTCTCCTCTTGTGTTGCTGTGTTCAAAACTCCGGTGGAAAAGTGTGGCAGGGCTGGGAGGGGTCGGCTACCAGGAGAGTCAGCTCCTGCGTGACACGCAGCACAGAGGGCGGTGTCTCCCACAGCCTCAGCCCCTCCGGCTCTGCACCCCGCGTTGGCCACACACGCCGCACCTGTGGTGTGTTCTGAAGCAGGTCCCACACTCCTGTCACTTCAGTGTCATAAGGCTCCCTCTCCTAAACTGAGCCATAGTACGATTTTCCGAGGTACAAATACCAGTAGTTTCTTTTACCTATTTGGTGGAAGCAGTTGATTCTGTGGTGGTTCTGAACACAAATCCGTAAACACGGAGCTGGGGAGGATGGGGACCCTCTGTACAGTGTTGTGCGTGGGCCTGAGGTTTGAACTGTGCTGCAGCCACACTTCACGGGGGTTGGAGCCACGGGGGGGGACTGGGCAGCTGCAGAGTCAGGGGGAGGCCCGGCTCTTACCCCTGTTGCCGGGAGGTGGGGTGATGGGCATCTGCCGGGAAGAACCCCAGACTGAGGAGAGCCGAGTGACACCTGTGTGCTGCACTCGGTGGCACTACTCCAGACTCGACGGGGGCTCCTGGCTCGTGTGGTCATGTGGGAGCGGAAAACATGGGAGCGAAGGCACAGTTGCTCCTGTCTGACTAGAAGGCGCCGTGTTGGCACGGGGTGCCCAGGACTTGAGGGGATTGAGTGCAGGGTGGAGACCTCGACTTTCTACCTTCCTCATTTATCATTTAGCAGGCAGGGCCACTTTGTCATGAAGTAATCCTCTGTGGAGATGCAGCGCTAGGTGAATGTGTCCGTTGCTCCGTGACTAGGGCACGGGTTGGAGACAGACTGGGGGTGGGGTGGGACTGGAGCAGAGCAGAGGAGGAGAGGTGGTGTCAGGGTCAGCCATCGGGCCGTCCCCATGTGCACCGCTGGCCCCTGTGCCTGTGTGTGTTTCGTGGAATCGAAGTCCTGAAGTGAGTAAGCCGTGTCTCAGGAGAGGCTGTCGTGGGGGTCTCCATGCGTAGTAAATGCGTTCTGGAGCACAAGCTTTTTGTCCGTTTCGAAAGGGAAGAGCCAGCTAACAAGACTTTTATCACCATCCTTCCTGTGTCCTGCTGTGTGTTGTGAAGTCTGGATGGCAGTGTTGGTCACGGCCCGGCCCCTTCATTCCTTCCGCATTCATTTAACCTCAGGCATTCACTCCCACCACCTGTGGGAGGCATGCCAGCCCATCAGGTTCAAGTGTACAGACCGATGAGTTTGAGCGCAGGTGCGCAGCTGGGGACCGAGACAGACCTTTTCCTTTGCAGACCTTTCCTGCAACTCCACTACTTTCTTTGGCCCCTTCGCAGCCGGTGCCTGCTCCCCACCTCGGCTGTCCTGTCGCTCTGCAGTGGTTTGTTTCTGGCTCTGCTGCGTGGTAGCAGGTCCTCCCGGTGGCTGAGTGTCTGTCTGCGGATGGGCCACTGGGAGCACTGTGAACACAGTGACTGTGGACTCGACGGTGTGGATACTGTAATCCACACGATTTCCGCTGGAGGCCACACCTGGCCTTGGGTCCTAGCTCCACACCTAAAACACATGTTTAAGTAACACTAACTGTTCATCCTAATGGCACTTAAACGACCGAAGACAATCCAGGTGTCCACCAACATGCACACGGGGAGCAGAATGTAAGAGGCAGCTCTGACTGGATGAAGTCTGAGTGCCAGCGCGATGGCCGGAGGGCGACAGTGCCTGCAAAGCAAGAAAACTCACTCTGGGAGTAAACGAACACATCTCCTCACTGGTCTTCCCTCTCCCCCCACAGACCCCTGGACGAGCCCAAGATGATCTCCGCCTTCTCCGGCAAGCAGGGCGGGAAGCACGTGGTGCACATCGCCTGCGGGAGCACCTACAGCGCAGCCGTCACCGCCGAGGGCGAGCTCTACACCTGGGGCCGCGGGAACTACGGCCGCCTGGGCCACGGTGTGCACTGAGCCCGCAAGACGTGTGCTGGGAGGGGGCCCCTTTTCAGGGGCTTGCGGTAATGACGGTCCTTGTGTTTGAAGGCTCCAGTGAAGACGAGGCCATTCCGATGCTGGTGGCTGGGCTCAAAGGACTGAAGGTCATCGACGTGGCTTGCGGGAGCGGGGACGCACAGACACTGGCGGTGACAGAGAATGGTATGAGCAGCTCCGGCCACACCCCTGGGGACCTCTCGAGGCTGCCCTCGTGTCTGTCTTCTAAGTGGGTATGCACCGAGGTGTCCTCAGAGAGGTCCCGAAGTTACAGGACTTACAACTTATTTTTATTTGTTTACTTACTTTTTTTATAGTCAGTATTTTGTATTAGTTTTAGGAGTGCAGCATAGTAGTCAGACAGTCACAGACCTTACAAAGTTGTCCCCCCGGCATTTTGGGTGCCCACCTGGCAATATACTTAGTTATCATAGTACGGATTACGGACTGTATTCCCCATGCGGTACTTTACATCCCTGGAACTCTTTTATAACTATCAGTTAGTACTTCTTAATCCCTCCATGTTTTTCACCCAGCCACCCAACCCCACACGACTTGTAACTTTTGTTTCCCAGAGCTAGAGTGCTAGCAAGCAACTACCATCCTTCCTATTTGGTCATTTTATGTGTGTGTATAAAATTTAATTTAATTTTATTCATTTTTAGAGAGGGGAGGAAGGGAGAAAGAGAGGGAGAGAAACATCAGTGTGTGGTTGCCTCTCACATGCTCCCTGCTGGGGACCTGGCCTGCAACTCAGGCATGTGTCCTGACTGGGAATCGAACTGTCAGCCCTTTGGTTCTCAGGCCGGCACTCAATCCACTGAGTTACACCAGCCAGGGTTGTTTTTAATTTCAGTTTTGTGTTTGTGTTCATTAGCCAGATTGTACTCATTTCACTTATTTTGAGTGCGGATTTGGCAGGTTGTTCCAGCTGTGTCTGTCAGTGTCACAGCTGTCCTGAGACTTGTGGTTCTGTCAGTCAGAGGCACCTAAAGGCCCGTCCCATGGAGCCACCCTCGGAGGCTGAGTGTCAGATTAGAGCTGACTTCTGGGAGTTTCTCTGGTGAGAGATTAAAGGTCACTTCAGACCCTTCACGTCCACTCGGTTCCCCCACCACTGAGGGGAACAGGCGTAGTCAGAACCATCTTGCATCTGCTTCTGTGCATATCAGAGAAAAGACGGTCTCTCCTGCCATCTGAAATGTCTCTTCTGGGGTGAAGCTTGCAATCTGATTTCTTGTTGTTTTTAAGTGTCCATTATGGAGGGATTGAAATACCTTATACAACTCTTAACAGCACGGAAATGGTGAGTCTGTTGGTTGGAGTGTTGCCCCGCACAGCACAGGTTTGCAGATTCAGTCCCCGTCAGGGACCGACGTGTATGGGAGGCGGCTGACTGATGTTCCTCATGTCGATGCTTCGCTCTCTCCCGTAAATCAATAAACATGTCCTTGAGTGATGATTAAACAAAAAACAAATAAACTCTTGACAAATGTTAACCATCAATACAATCTCGTGGTTGACTTGTGGTTGGAAAAGACCTGAGGGAGGTCAGTGTGCTGCACGGGAGCCACGGGCCAGGGCGGTGCTCTGTGGCGGCGGTGAGGCCTCGTAGAGGAAGTGCTGTCATCGAGGTCAAGCCAGGAAGGGTCGGGGCTTTATCACTCTTCTAGTTAAATGAGGAGGAAAGTCAAGCTTCCCTTTGTTGACTGCTTCCCTGTGAACTAGGTTTCATTTGGTCAGAACCACCTGGGTAATGTTAACAATATACATTAGTGATCTAGAGTCATGTGTTAATGATTATATGCATTGTTTTCAGTCATTTAAAAGTTCTGTTAGGATGTACAGCTATTGCCCCAGCTGGTGTGGCTCAGTGGATTGAGTGCTGGCCTGCGAAACCAGAACATCGCTGGTGGAATTCCCAGTCAGGGCACATGCCTGGGTTGCAGTCCAGGTCCCCAGTAGGGGGCGCTTGAGAGGCAACCAAACATTGATGTTTCTTTCCCTCTTTCTCCATACTTTACCCTTTTTCTAAAAATAAATCAATAAAATATTTTTTAAAAGATACACAGTCATTGTTACTTAAACATTTGTATTTCTAGGTCAGGTGTGGTCCTGGGGAGATGGTGACTATGGGAAACTGGGCAGAGGCGGTAGTGATGGCTGCAAAACGCCCAAGCTGATCGAAAAGCTTCAAGACTTGGATGTTGTCAAAGTACGGTGTGGAAGTCAGTTTTCCATTGCTTTGACAAAAGACGGCCAAGTGTACTCATGGGGCAAAGGCGACAGCCAGAGACTTGGGCACGGGACAGAGGAACACGTCCGTTACCCCAAACTCCTGGAGGGCTTGCAAGGTGAGTGTGAGCTGTGAACTTGAAGCTTATTTTTCTCTTTGCCTGAAATTCCACGAAGGATCCATCATTAGAAGCTTTTACCCACCTTTTGGTAGGTGTAGGGAATAAATGGAAAGTGGTTTGTTATATTTAAAAATATGGCCTAGAATTATTATCAGCAAATTTAATCTGAAACTCATTCCATTCACCAGGATTGCAGAGGACTTCTTGTTGCAGGTGCCCACTTATCACTTACTAAACTGGTCACAGTGGGGTTAGCTTCTGTTTGGTGGGGTCACCTGTAATCCCCCCGAGGACAGTGCTAAGACTGTGGATACGTATGGTGCCTGGAAGGGTCTTATTTGAACTCACCCTTGGTGGGGGAGTCGTGCTAGTTTGGTTTGAAAGTGCCCAGCTTGCATTCTAGATTAGAAGGGAATGAACACAAGCCAAGGCATGTAAGTTCTTTGCAGGTACCTTCCAAAGTGTGGGAGAGGTTGGTGAGTTCAGGAGGGGCAGCCTGTTTTTTAAGGGTCAGACTGCAAGTATTTTAGGTTTGGGGGTCATGTGCTGTCTGTCGCAAGTACTCGTGGAGAAGCTGCAGACTAGCAGGTGAGGCTGATTTGCAGACATACAGGCCTGGTGGTTGGCAGGAGGGATGAAGCTGATTGGCTGCCCGAGCTAGACTTTTGTTTACGTTTTGCTCTTTTTGTCTTGGGAGTTTAGAAGTGAGACTTTTTAAGTGGAACTTGCCACTTCTTTTTCATACCATTTGTATTTTCAAACCTGGGAATGCCTTGTTGACTAGAAGTTTTGTGCACTTATGTGACATTTATTATTTTCTAAGAGTCCCAGGTAAGTTGTAGAGTGATATGGATGGTAGTATACCATGGAGCTGCCTGTATCTGCATGTCATTTGCCTTTTCTTTATGTTCCCTTCATTTAGTAAAAAAAAAAAAAAAAAAATCGACTTCCTCAGCTACATTTATTAGATACAGAAAGGGCTTACTGTGAGAGTTTTAAGTGACTGTTGGTACAGTTGCTTTGGTTGTTAACTTACGGACAGGCTCTTAGGACTGAACTGGTGCCCTGGCTGTGGTAGGGTTTTTCAGCTGAAGTATTTTTTATACTTTGGCCTTTCTGAAAACACCCCTTGTGTTGGTCATGTTAGATCCATTGATTGGTCAATCAGTTTGGTCATGTTAGACTTACTAAAAAGCGAAAATACAATATCTTGCTATGTTATTTAAGTAGTAAAGTGCATTTTACATTTGTATCATTTGGCTTTGGAGAGAAATGGATTTTGTTTTAGAAAACCTCATTGATGAAGAGTGTCTCACATTCACCAATAGAGACCACAGTTTGGGCCATCAAACACACCTTAACAAATTTATAAGAAGATTAAACAGTGTCTGCTCTTGGACTACAATGGAATTAAAACTAGAAACCAGTAACAAAAAGATAGCCAGAAAATTCCCCAATGTGTGGGAATTCAACAGCAAACTTCCAAATAACACATGGGTCAAAGAAGAAATGTCAAAGGAAATTTTAAAATATTTTGAGCTACTGCCCTGGCTGGTATAGCTCAGTGGATTGACTGCCAGCCTATGAACCAAGGGGTTGCCGGTTCGATTCCCAGTCAGGGCACATGCCTGGGTTGCCGGCTGGGTCCCTAGTGGGGGGCGTGCAAGAGGCAACCACACATTGATGTTTCTCTCCCTCTCTTTCTCCCTGCCTTCCCCTCTCTCTAAAAATAAATAAATAAAATTAAAAAAATATTTTGGGCTACATGAAAATGAAACCACAATTTATAATTCGTGGGGTGCAGCAAAAACAGTGCCTAGGAGGAAGTATGTGACATTGAATGCATGTGTTAGAAAAGAAGAAAGATCTAGAATCAATAATATTTTTCTACAGCAAAGGAAACCACCAGCAGTGGTCTTGGACACCAAGCATGAGACTTTTTTTTGGTGAGGCCATTTTAATGATGAAATTGTGGAATCTAACATGTGGTCTTAATGTTTAAGGATCAATAGGGAAGTGGGCAGTTGATGAAATACAGCGAAAAGCAGTGATTATATGAGAAAATTGGAGCATTTCCTGTTTATACTGTTGGTGGTTTGAATTTCTTTAATAAATACATTACGCACAAAAAAGAAACAGTCAACAAATTGAAAAGGCCACCTATTGAATGGGAGAAAATATTAAATCACATATCTGACAAGGGGTTAATATCTAAATATATAAAGATCTCATACAACTTAATAGCAAAATACCAAACAATCCAATTAAAAAATGGGCAGAGAATCTGAATAGATATTTTGTCAAAGAAGATTACACATGGCCTATTGGTATTTGCAAAGGTATTCAGCATCACTAATCAGCAGGGAAAATGCCTGTCAAAAAGCACAATGAGATACCATCTCACACCTGTCAGAATGGCTGTCATCAGTAAATTGACCAACAAATGTTCACAGGGATGTGAAGGAATGAGGCCCTGGCTGGTGTGGCTCAATGGATTGAGCACAGCCTGTGAACCAGAGGGTTGCCAGTTCAATTCCCAGTCAGGGCACATGTTTGGCTTGCAGGCCAGGTCCCTAGCGGGGGCCGCATAAGAAGCACCCGCACACTGATGTTCCTGTCCATCTCTTTCTCCCGTCCTTCCCCTCTGTCTAAAATTAATGAATAAAATCTTAAAAAGAAAAGAAATGAGAACTCTAGTGCACTGTTGGTGGGAATATAAATTGGTTTCTCAAAAAATTAAAAATAGAATTTACCATAGGGTCCAGCAGTGCTGGGTATGTATATCCAACAAAGAAAGACAAACGCTGTATGACCTCACTTCTCTTGGGAATCTAACACACACCCCCCGAAACTGAGCTTATAGATACAGAGAACAGATTGGTGATGTTGAGTGGCAGGGCTTGGAGGGTGGGCAAAACGGGTGGAGGGGTTCAGAAGATACACATGTCCAGTTATAAATTAAATTAGCGCTGGGGATGTGCCATACAGCCTGCTGACTATAGTTAATATGACTGTACTGTACATTTGAAAGTTGCTAGAGAATGTCTTAAAAGTTCTCATCACAAGTAGAAATCTGTAATTATGTGTGGTGATAGATATAAAAACATAATGAAATTTATTGCTACATTTCCACCTTTGAAAATTAGAAAAAGAGCAAATGACTTCAAAGTAAGAAGAAGGGAAGAAATAGTAAGAATTAGAGCAGAAGTCAATGAAATTGAAAACCAGAAATCAATAGAGAAGATCAATGAAATCAAAAGCTGGTTCTTAAAAAAAAAAAGAGCAATAAGATCAATAAGAAACAAAGAGAAGAGGGACACAAATTAAAAATATTGAAAATGAAAGAGGAGACATCACTAAAGATCCCATGAACATTAAAAGGATAATAAAGCAATATTATGAACAATTAAACCTCCAAATTTGATCATCTAGCTGAAGTGAATCAATTCTTTGAAAGGCACAATCTGCCAAACTCACACAAGAAATAGACAAACTGAATAAGGCTGTGCCTACTAAAAGAAGTTGAATGAATAATTAGTAACCTTCCAAAACCGAACTCACGAGGCTCAGGTGGATTCACTAGTGAATTCTACCAAATATTTAAGGAAGAGATTTTGCCAATTCTCTACAATTTCTTTTAGATGATAAAAGCAAAGGGAATATTTCCTGACTCACTCAATGAGGCCAACTGCTGTAATAACAAAGTCAAAGACATTACAGAAAAGAAAACTATAGACTAACACTTCTTTTAAACATACATGCAAAAATCTTTAACATAATATTACCAAATCAAATCCAACGATGTACAGAAAAAATTAATGTCATAACCAAGGTGTATTTATCCCTCATATGCAAGGCTGGTTCAACATTCAAAAGTCAGTTAAATCCACCAAGTTAATAGATAAAAAGAAAAGTCACGTGATTAGCTCAATAAATGCAGGAAAGGCATTTGACAAAATCTAACAGCCATTTATGATAAAACTCTAAGTAAGCTAGGCATAGAGGGAACTTCCTCAACTTAATAAAGAATATCTACCCCAAACCTACAACTAATGTACTTAATGTCAGGAAACATGAAGCCTTCTCACTAATATCAAGTAAGAGGAAAGGTGTCCCATGTCACCATTTCAAACTTATACTGGGAAGTTCTAGCTAATGCAATAAGACAAGAAAAGGAAGAAATACAAACCAGTTTAATTCTTAGATGACACTGTTATCTATGTAGAAAATCTGAAAGAATTGACAAAAAAATCCTGAGGAATTAAGAAGTGATTATCACAAGGTTGCAGGATGCATGATTAATATGCCAACACCAACTGCTTTACTGTATACAAGCAACAAACAAAGTGGAATTTAAAATTAAATACGCAATGTTGTGTACATTAGCATCCGAAAAATAAAATACATAGGTGTAAATCTAACAAAATATGTAGAAGAAGTGTATGAGGAAAACTATAAAACAGGTGAACTACATCCAAGAAGAACACAGTAATGGAGAGGAGTTCTATGTTCATGGGCAGGAAGACGGAATATTGTCAAGAAGTCAGTTCTTTCCAACGTGATTTGTAGTTTTAATACAGTTCCAGTCAGAAGCCAGCCAAGTATTTTATGGATACAGACAAATTGATTTTATTTTATTTTTTAAAAGATTTTATTTATTTATGTTTAGAGAGGGGAAAGGACGGAGAAAGAGGGGGAGAGAAACAGCAATGTGTGGTTGCCTCTTGTGTGCACCCCCCATTGGGGACCTGGCTTGCAACCCACACATGTGCCCTGACTGGGAATGGAACTGGTGACCCCTTGTTTCACAGACCAGCACTCAGTCCATTGAGGCACATCAGCCAGGGCCAGACCATCTGATAGTAAAGAGTAAGAATATTGAAGGAAGACAAGTTGGAGGACTGACATGAAGACTTCCTACAAAGTCACAGTAATCGGACAGTGTGGTGTTGGCTGGAATACACACAGATGGTCATTGGAACAGAGCAGAGAGCTCAGACAGAACCACATAAATGTAGTCATAGGATCTCATACAGAGGAGTAGAGGCGCTATAAGGGAGCAGCGATAGTTTTTGTAACAAGTGGTGTGGGGAAAAAGGGACAGCCCCATGCAAAAAAGTGAATAATTGATGAGGGGGGCGGCTATGCATGTGCTTGGGGAGGAAGTCTATGGGAACCCTGTGGCTCCTCAGGTTCGCTGCGAACCTAACTTTGTTCTAAAAACAGTCATATTTAAAAAAATTAGCCCTGGCTGGTGTAGCTCAGTTGATTGAGCATGGGCCTGCAAACCAAAGGATCCTGGTTCGATTCCCAGTCAGGGCGCATGCCTGGGTTGCAGGCCAGTTCCCAGCAGGGGACTCACGAAAGACAACCATACGTTGATATTTCTCTCCTTCCCTTCCCCTCTAAAGATAAATAAATAAAATCTAAAAAAAAATTATATAATTTTCCTGATTTTAGAGAGAGCAAGGGGGGAGAGAGAGAGATAAACATCAATTTGTTATTCCACTTGTTTATGCATTCATTGTTTGAATCTTGTATGTGCCCTGACCAGGGATTGAACCCACAACCTTGGCATGTCAGGACGACGCTCTACCCAACTGAGCTACCTGGCCAGAACAAGTCCTGTTTTGTTTTTTTAGAAAAGAATACCTTGCATGGTTATACTTTAGGGCAGGAGAATATGCTTTAATAGTTAATTTAGAATATACGTGTCTTTTTCTGATGAAAATCTGAATAAGGAGGAGAAAAATAACAGATTCTATTTAAGCCCTTGCACTATTTTGTTTGCAGGCTGTAGGTCTTAATAAAATTGTAGCTAGTAAAACATAACATGGGTTTGAATAACAAACACAAAGCAGATGAATTGTGCATAGTATTAAAGCAGTGAATTATCCTTTGGAAGTTGACACAATGTCTTCTTCCTTGAGTGGCGTGGATAAGTATCTCCATTGCAACGGAGTCACAGGCGTGAGATTGTAACTGCATTGCTTTCCTCCTAGGGAAGAAGGTGATTGATGTGGCCGCGGGCTCCACCCACTGCCTGGCTCTGACCGAGGACAGCGAGGTCCACAGCTGGGGGAACAACGACCAGTGCCAGCACTTTGACACCTTGCATAAGACCAAGCCAGAACCGTCTGCACTGCCCGGGCTGGATACCAAGCACATAGTTGGGATAGCCTGTGGGCCAGCCCAGGTACTGGCTATATAGCTTCATTGGGAATTTGTAGAATGTGGATTTTGCATTATTCATTGCTGCTTTGTGGAAATACCACAGACTTTGTGCGTTGTTGTTATTCCTGTAGTTATACTAAAGTTGTACTAAGTTTACTCCTTAGTTCTAGGAGCTTCACTGTTGATTCCTCAGGATGGAGACAGCTTTATTTCTTCCTTTACAGCATTATTTCTTCTTGTATAGTATTACACCTTTTTTCCCCCCTTGCCTTATTGCACTGGCCAGGACTTCCAATATGGTGTTGAGTAGGAGGGGGGAGGGGCACGTCCTTGCCTGGTTCCTGATTGGGGGGGGGTAGCGTTCTTTTTGTTTTCTAAAGATTTTATTTTAGAGGAGAAAGGAGAAAGAGAGGGAGAGAAAAATCAGTGTGTGGTTGCCTCTTGCATGCTCCCTACCAGGGACCTGGCCTGTAGGCATGTGCCCTGACTGGGAACCGAACCATCGACCCCTTGGATCACACACCAGTGCTCCATTTCCAGGAGCAAGGGTGTAGAATTAGCGCTACTTCTTTCAGTGTTTGTCTGAGCCTCACAATTTCTTCTCAAAAGATTTCCATTTCTTTCATAGGTACGAAGCTATTTAGGGTATTTCTCCTTAGGTGGGTTTTTCTGGTTTTTGACACTCAAGGAATTTTTTCATGTAATGTGTCTGATTTTTGTATATAATGTTTTCCGTCACTAACCTTTTCCACTCTTTTGGGTCTGCAGTGGTATCTCTCACTCCTGACGTCAGTAATGTGCGTCTTTTCTCTTTGTCAGTTTTGCTAGACATTTAACTATTTTGTTGATTTTTTTGAAAGAATTAGCTTTTAAGTTTTATTAAGTTGTTTTTGTCTTATTTGCTCTCAGCTTCATTGGATTTGCTCTTATTTTTTTTTTCCCTTCACCTTGGTTGGCTTCACTTGGTTCTTTTTTTAGTTTATTCAGGGGGATGCGCAGGGCATTGATGTAAGACCTTTCTCCTTCTGTGATATATAAGCACTTGGTGCTATAAATTTACTTCTCAGCGGTACTATATTTATCTAGTTTAAAGGTCTTATTTACTTGTCTTTTAGGGAGGGGAAGGGAGGAAGAAAGAGAGGGAGAGTAACATCAATGTGTGGTTGCCTCTCACATGCTCCCTACCAGGGACCCGGCCTGCAACCCAGGCATGTGCCCTGATGGGGAATCAAACCAAGTGACCCTTTGATTAGCAGGCCAGTGCTTAGTCCACTGAGCCAATTAGCCATGGTTTTAAGTGGTGCTTTAATTGCACCCACAAATTTTGTTATATTTTCACCTTTGTTATGTTGAAAATATTTTTTTTAATTTTTTTATTGATTATGCTGTTACAGTTGTTCTATTCCCCCCTTCATTGCCCTCCACCCTACTCCCTGTCCCCACCATTACCTCCCCTTTAGTTTATGACCATGTGTCTCAAGTCCTTTAGATTCTATATTTCCCATACTATTCTTGCCCCCCATCTATTTTCTATCTACTGTCTATGCTACTTATTTTCTGTACCTTCTCCCCCCTTCTCCTCCTCCCACTCCCCTGTTGCTAAGCCTCCATATGATCTTCATTTCTATGTTTCACTCCTGATCTAGCTGTCCTTTTAGTTTGCTTTTGTTTTAGGTGTGGTTGTTAATAACTGTGAGTTTGTTGTCCTTTCACTGTTCATGTTTCTTTAACTTCTTTTTCTTCGATAAGTCCCTTTAACATTTCATATAATAAGGGCTTGGTGATGATGAACTCCTTGAATTTGATCTTATCTGAGAAGCACTTTATCTGTCCTTCCATTCTAAATGAAAGTTTTGCTGGATAGAGCAATCTTGGTTGTAGGTCTTTGGATTTCATGACTTGGAATACCTCTTTCCAGCCCCTTCTTGCCTGTAAGGTCTCTTTTGAGAAATCCGCTGACAGTCTGATGGGAACTCCTTTGTAGGTGACTGTCCCCTTAGCTCTTGCTGCTTCTAGGATTCTCTCCTTCATTTTAATTTTGGCTAATGTAATGATGATGTGCCTTGGTGTGTTCCTTCTTGGGTCCAACTTCTTTGGGACTCTCTGAGCTTCCTGGATTTCTTGGAAGTCTATTTCCTTTGCCAGATTGGGGAAATTCTCCTTTATTATTTGTTCAAATAAGTTTTCCACTGGTGGCTGTGCCTTTCCCCCTTCTGGTACCCCTATAATTCAGATGTTGGAGCGTTTAAAGATGTCCTGGAGGTTCCTAAGCTTCTCCTCATTTTTTTTGAATTCTTGCTTCTTCAGTCTTTTCTGTTTGGCCATTATTTGCTTTCTTCTGCTCCACTCCATTGATTTGAGTCCCGGTTTCCTTTTCACCGCTATTGGTTTCCTGTGCAATTCCATTCATTTCAATTAGTTTCGCCTTCATATATTTGTCTAATTTGTGACTATAATCAACCAGTTCTGTGAGGATCCTGATGACCAGTGTTTTAAACTGTGCGTCTGAGAGTTTTGCTATTTCTTCATTGCTTAGATTTATAGGCTCTGGGGCTTTGAGATTTTCTTGAGCCATTTTTGGTCTGTTCGTGCCCTTTAAGTGTGAGGAGCGGAGCCTTGGACTCCCAGGTCGCTGGGTTGTGACGCTGTATGTGGGGGCGGGGTCAGAGCGGGGAAATGGCGACCCCCTCTGCTGCTTCCAGCTGCTGGGTGAGGAGCAGCATCTTAGGTGGTTCACCAGGACAGGGCCACTCAGAGTCGCTGGGTTATGATGCTGTATGTGGAGGTGGGGTCAGAGCAGGGAAATGGCGGCGCCCTGCCTGCCACTGGCTGCTGGGACCAGCTGGGTTCCGGTCCAATCGCCCACTCCCTCGCTTGTCTATCCGCGACCACAGTCAACCTGCCGCCCTGCTCCCTCGCTGTTTCCCCTGTGGTCGCTCGCTTGGTTGCTTGCTGGGTTGCTCACTAGGTCCAACCCTGCGCCTGAGTCAGTCCAACCGAGTTTTCTTGTGCAACCCCGCTCCACCAGCTGCTGGTTTCGCCCCTTACCGGTCAGGCTGAAGAATTTGTTGTTAACGGACTTCCGAAAAGTTCAATTTTCTGTGTTCTGGCTGTGTTTTGTGTTGCTAGTATTTAGTTGTCTCTAAACTTGGTTGTGTGAGAAGGCACGGCATATCCACCTATGCCTCCATCTTGGCAGAAGTCCTGAAAATATTTTTAATTGCTCTTTGACCTATGGATTGTTAAGTATGTTAACTCTGAAGTGTTTGGGGATCATTCTGTTATCCTTCTGTTACTGATTTCTACTTTAATTGCAGTATGGTTTGATAACAAACTTTATTTTTTCAGTTCTTCTAGATTTATTTTATGTCTCAGGATGTGTTCTCTATGTTCTGTGTGTGTGCTTAAAAAGAGTGTGTGTGAGGTCTCTCCAGAAAAAGTGCAGCCAGCATTATTAATACAGTGAGAATGGTTTGTGTGACATGGATGGAACCCGGCGGCTGAGGAGAGTGCATTGGAACCCGCATGCGTGAACAATGAGCCTTCACTGTACCTGTCCATGGGGGTGGTAGACTCCGTTGCGTGAGCATGTGTAGTGAGTGGCCATCACATTCAAAATGACTCAGCGAGTAGAGCAACAAATCTGCGTCAGATTTTGCATTAAGCTTGAACATTCCTCCCTGGAAACTGTTCAGATGATTCATAAGTCCACAGCCGTGGGCAACTGGTGTTTGGTAGCTTCATCGCAACAATGGGCCCACTCATGCATCACATCTTGTGCAGAGTTTCTTGGCAAAGCATCACATCACCCAGGTGACTCAGCCCCCCTACAGCTCAGATTTGGTGCCCTGCCACTTCTGGCTTTCCCCAAAACTAAAGTCACCTATTAAAGGGAAGAAATTTCATCAGTGAGATTCAGGATAATATAGTGGGGCAGCTGATGGTGATTGGAGAACTGTGTGAGGTCCCAAGGTGCCTACTTTGAGGGGGACTGAGGCATCCATTGTCCTGTGTACAGTGTTTCTTCTTATATCTTGTATCTTCTGTAAATGTTTCTGGTTTTCACATTGCATGGCTGGATACCTTTTGGACAGACCTCGTGTTTTCTGTTTTTGGAGTATTGTGTAATGTTAGTGAGATCCAGCCCATGACGGTGTTACTTGCTGATTTTCTATATGTTCTGTCTTTCACTAGGAGGGTAGTGCTCAAGTATCAGTGTGGATGGGTGCGGGGGTGACTTTTGCCGCTAGTACCCCCATCAGCCACAGATGAAAGTACATATGACATGACATGATCTGCTTGGGGAGGAGAGGTGGCCAATATCTCAGAGGAAAAGGGCCAGGAGCCCCTTCCTTCAGGGGCTCTTATTGGGTTGTAATACATAGGAATACAGGGCAGCAAGGAGCAGAGAGTAGATAACATTTCAAAGAAATCTGAGGGCTTAGTCTGAGTCAGTGTCTGTCAGGAAGAGTTGCAGAAACTTTGGGAGACACACCCATTTCCTTTCAGACCCTTATCGTATGAATGAAAGCACTCTAAGCAGAGCAGATTTCACAGGTTTATCAGCAAGTCTTTGTGATGTTAGATTTTTCCCCCCAGGATCCGCTCTGGCAAGGCAAGGAGCTGCACCACCTCCCCACCAGGTATTCAGGCTTAAGGGGATTAGAGACAGGAAGCGCTTGTCCCAGAGAACATGGGGACTCGGACCATGTCACATAGCCTGCAGGCACGGGTCTATTGCTCACTCTTTGTTGCAGTCCCCCCCAGTCCTTCCATGAAGGCCTCCCAATTGGTTGAGCCTGGCTTAAGTTGCTCCCCGCTGTGAGGATACTTACCCATCTTGGACTTCTGGCCATGCTTTGGGGGCAGGGAGGAAACTGAGGCAACATTTGCTACCAGAGACAATCTTTGTCTCCTGTGACTCGAATTCTGGAGGTCACTCCCAGCCTTAGCCATGGGGTGGGGGTGGGTAGGTTAGGGTTACAATTTCTGAAACCAGGCAGAGTGGTCCACAACAAATGGGCAACAGTTTTGTTCACTTAAAAAAAATCCTTACTGATTTTTCTTCCTACTTGTTCTATATGGCATTAGGAGTGCAGTTTTGATATCTTCAACTATCTTTGTGAATTTATGTCCTTTTATTTTTATTGGTTTTTACTTCTGTTAGTTTTATAGTTCTTTTGTTTGGTGCCTATACATTCAATGTTGTTTTGTCTTCGTGGTGAAGTTAGTCCTGGCATTTTCCTTTCTCTGAAGTCTTCTTTGTCTGCTATATAATATAGCTGTTTTTTTTTTCCCTTTAGCTACTTTTTACCTTTATATTTAAGGTAGATTTCTTACAGATATATAATTAGGTTTTATTTTCCATACATACTGACAATCTCTTTTTGTTTGATATTTAGACCATTTAAACGTAATTATTTACAGCTTGGGTTTATTTTTTTTTCATTTTTTCCAGATCATTTTGTATTATTGGAATAATTTTTAGTATTCCATTTAAACTTACTGAGTTGTATGCCTCTGTGTTGTTTTAGCTCACTCCCATTCCTTACTGTGCAGTAATAAGTTTGATAGTGATTTTTTAAAGACATTTTGCCTTTTTGTTTGTGGCGCAATGAGGTGGGGTAGTGAAATGAGAGGGAACATTCGGAGCTGATAGTGTGTGAGCTAGACGACTGCGAAAGTACACGTGTGTCTGTGACAATCAGAGGGACGTAGAAGTCACAACCTAAGGCACTTTCATCACTCATAACGGTGAGTCTCCTCACGGGGGCGCACAGCGCAGTGGCTGGATGCCTCCCTTCACTTCCGGTTCTTGTGTTTCTCCCACAGAGCTTTGCCTGGTCGTCTTGTTCCGAGTGGTCCATCGGCCTCCGCGTCCCTTTTGTGGTGGACATCTGCTTGGTGACTTTCGAGCAGCTGGACCTCCTGCTGCGGCAGGTGAGCGAGGGGATGGACGGCACAGCGGACTGGCCGCCACCCCAGGAGAAAGAGTGCATGGCGGTGGCCACGCTGAACCTTCTGCGGCTGCAGGTGAGAGCCGTCTCCTCCCCTTTTCCCAGCGTCTCCGTTGTTTGTCACGATGTTCATGATACTGAAGGGTGTTGTGGGTTTTAGCCTGTGGAACTGCTAGTGAAAACGTATGCACTTTTTAGTCATCTGATTTTTGTTCCTCGTAAAATCCTATGACAATGTCAAGAGAATAGTTTTTTTTGACAAAGTTCCCGTTTATAATACACGGATTTCTGTGGAACCGACCCATCACATCCCCCTTCCTCTCTGCCGGTTTTCCCATTGGCTCCTAAGGAGGAAAGAACTGCGTGTTAAGTTGCATTAATCAAACTAGCAGACATTGGGAGAGTGCATTCCTTCTCCAGAAGTCTTCTGCAGGAGCTCACTGACTGGGGCACCTGTGGTGTCCTGTGCCTTCCCTAGATCTTCCCAGTCGTGTGTCACCTCCTGTGTTCGGTGGTGATCAGTGCTGTGGGGAAACTGCGTACATGTCTTAGGCTCCGGTTCTTTTGCTCCGTGTTTGCTGTGTGCCATATGTTCTTCCATGCTTTACTCTGTTTCTGGGGCCTTGGCCTTTAGTTGTCTTTTTTTAGAATAAACTTGTGAAGCTTGATTCTTTTTAAAAAAATATTATATTTATTTATTTTTAGAGAGAGGGGAAGGGAGGGAGAAAGAGAGGGAGAGAAACATCCATGTGTGGTTGCCTCTCATGCACCCCCTACTGGAGACCTGGCCCACAATGCAGGCACGTGCCCTGACTGGGAATTGAACCCACAACGCACAACTCAGTCCAGTGAGCCACACCAGCCAGGGCTCTCAGCTCTCTTCAGACCTTTATTATTGCCAATGAGAAATATTACCTAGTTTAAGTCTGTAGCTGATTGGTCTTTTTCTGGGAGCCTTTCAGATTTTTCTGTCTTATTTTGTAATTTTAGTACATTGTATTTAGGTGAGGTTTTATTTTTGTATATATAACTTCAGGTTATGATTTTCATTCACTCTGAGATTATATATCCTTGTGAAGTTTTTTTTTTTGATTCAGTACTTTTTATTTTTTAAAAAAGCCCTCCAAAACTGTCCATCAGATGAAAAGTTGCTTGCTATGCATTGTGTCCCTCCTTCAGATAATACACACAAATTAAATGAAAACTGGGTCCCATACCTCTGGGTCTTCGTTGCCAGTACCTCTGTGTTTGCATTTTCTACCCCTTATTCTCATTGCTAGTTTAAGGTCATTTAACAATAGTCCTAGGATAGAATGTACTCGAACTCCACCCACCTCAGAAGATAATTACATCATACATTTAACAGTGGGTTGGGCATCATATTTTTGTTTATTTTTTGGTCAGCTTTATTTCTCTTTTTCTTTTTTATTGCACTTAATGTGCTTCACGGGTGTTGTGTTTTTTGCAAATTGAAGGTAAGACCCTCCACCAGCAAAAGGATTATGCTTCACTGAAGGCTCGGTTGACGGTATTTTTTAGCCATGAACTTTTAGATAAATATTATTTATTTATTTATTTTTAGAGAGAGGGGAAGGAAAGAAGAAAGAGTGGGAGAGAAACATCAATGTGTAGTTGACTTTCATGTGTCCCCTACTGGGGGGGACACGACCCTTTGCTTCACAGGCCCGTGCTCAATCCACTGAGCTACACCAGCCAGGGCGCGATGAACTTTTTTTTAATGAGTCTATATCTGTTCTGCTTGTTCATTTATTTTGTCTTTTTTTATTCATTTTCAATAGATATGTATTTATTGCCATTATGTTGTTCATATTTTTTAATATTTTTCTTCTTAAAGAAGTTCCATTAACATGTCATATAATACTGATTAGATGGTGGTGATGAACTCCTTTAGTTTTTTCTTGTCTGGGAAGCTCTTCATCTGCCCCTCTATTCTAAATGATAGCTTTGCTGGGTAGAGTTGTCTTGGTTGTAAGTCCTTAGTTTTTGTGACTTTGAATATTTCTTGCCAACCCCTGCATAGTTTCTGTTGAGAAATCAGCTGACAGTCTTATGGGAACTTCCCTGTAGGTAACTAACTGCTTTTGTCTTGCTGTGTTTAAGATTCTCTCTTTAGCCCTGGCTGGTGTAGCTCAGTGGGTTGAGTGCGAACCAAAGGATCGCGGTTCGATTCCCAGTCAGGGCACATGCTTGGGTTGCAGGCCAGTTCCCAGCAGGGGACGCCTGAGAGGCAACCGTACATTGATATTTCTCTCCCTCTCTCCTTCCCTTTCCCTCTAAAGATAAATGAATAAAATCTTTTAAAAAAGCGATTCTCTCTTTATTTTTAATCTTTCACATTTTAATTATGATGTATCTTGGAGGGAGCCTCTTTGCATCCTTGAGGCTCAATGTCTATTTTCCTCATTTGTAGAATTTTTATTTGGGACTTTTCCAAGGCTTTCATTTTGCTTCCAGTACCCTCCTCTTCTTCTGGGCTCTGTCCCTTCCTCAATCTCTGAGAATATTTACTTATTTTATGGCTTCGTTCCAGTTTTTATTGCTGCCACTTCTTGGGGCGCAGGGTATGCCTCTTACTCTCTGTACTTTTCCTCATGGTGACCCACTCGTTTGAGGACAGTTTCAGGGGGCTGTGTGCTGGGCACATCCCTTTGCCCTTGGCTGTGGAGATGTCCCCAGAGCGCAGTTTTGTATTTGCACCTCCTGGCTTCCAGGAGTTTCTGAGGCTCCAGATGAGTTTTCGTGTTCCATTCTTGACTCAGGATATCTATACCTAGATGGCCAGTGTATATTTGATTTCACATATGCTCACAGGGCAGCTGGCTCTCTGATTCTTTTGTGGGCCTTTTGCCCATCGCCGTGTGTGGGCAGAGTGTTGCCCTCAGGCCCTGGCTGGCAGGCTGGTAATCCGAGCGGCCCCAGCCTTCTGCGGGAGGCTCAGGCTCCGAGGGCTGTCGTGGGCAGTCTGGTCTCACGCCCAAGGCTTTGATTGCCTTTCAGACCCAGAACCCTTGGCTCCTGCTGTGTATGTCTGTCTGACTCTTGCTGTGTGTGTCTGGCTATACATCTTAAGATTTTATTTAGAAACAGGGGAAAGGAGGGAGGGAGAGAGAGAGAGAAACATCATGTTGTGAGAGATACATCGATCACTTCACACTCCCCATACTGGGGACCTGGCCTGCAACCCAGGCATGTGCCCTGACTGGGAATTGAACCAACAACCTTTGGGGTCACAGGCCAGCACTCAATTCACTGAGCTACACCAGCCAGGGTATACATTTTTTATCATTTTTTAAAAATTGTATTCACTGCTTCTCTGTGTCTGGTGCAGACGGTTGGGGTGGGGTGCAGGTTGTTACTTCTACGTGGTTTAACCTCTGTTCATCTTGAGTACACAGGTATTCCATAAGTATTTATAGTTGGGTTTTAAACATTTCTCTTACAAAATACCTTACTATGGATTATCAACCACTATGGGTAAAAGTTTCCAGTCTAGTTTAAAAAATATAGATACTGGAAGTTTTTCCTTTATTATTTCAGTGAAACTCAAGGAATTAAGTATTTAATAAAATTGGAAATCCACTGTTTTTAGGGTTTCTAAGTGAGAATTATTTTTGTCATTTCAGTTGCATGCTGCCATCAGCCACCAGGTTGACCCGGAGGCGCTTGGTTTAGGTCTCGGCAGTGTCCTGCTTGGCAGCCTGAAGCAGACCGTGGTGGCCCTGGCCAGCAGTGCGGGCGTGCTGGGCACTGTGCAGGCGGCCGCCCAGGCCGTGCTGCAGAGCGGGTGGTCCGTGCTGCTGCCCACGGCCGAGGAGCGGGCCCGGGCACTGTCTGCGCTGCTGCCCTGCGCAGGTGGGTTAGGTGGGGAGCTGGGGGCTGGGGGGACCAGGAAAGGGAGTGGGGAGGGCATGGTGTTAGCGCACGTGGCTGAAAACTCTTTCCCTTTTCCAATTTCAGGCAACGAAGTTAATGTAAGTCCAGGCCGGCGCTTCATGATTGATCTCCTGGTGGGCAGTTTGATGGCCGATGGGGGCTTAGAGTCAGCCTTGAACGCGGCCATCACCGCGGAAATCCAGGTATGGCCCCAGGGGTGTGTGTGCGAGCCTCGGAGGCGATCCTACCAGTAGGGAGATGAGGCTGGAACCCCCGGCTGCTACTTGTGAAGCACTAACAACCAGCCTTTTGCCATAATTATTGAAAAACGCAAATAAGGCTTTCAGTAGCATCAAAATATTTCCAGCTATTAAAAGTTTTTTACTAGTGTAAACATTTTTATTGGGAAATGAAGTATGATTAAATGCACCCGTTTAAGTGCCCATTGAAACGATTTGGACAGATGCCTCGCTTATGCTCGAAGTCATCGCCTGCTCCAGACGGCGCGCTGGTGCCCCTGCGCATGCGCAGTGAGGACACGCCCCCTCCCTGGGCGAGGTCCTGCCTCGGGCCCTGTGGTCTCACGGGTGGAGTTGCAGTGCATGCGCTCTGTTGTGTCTGCCCTACCGGGCCTTGGCCACGGTGTCTGACTCACCTCTGCTGTACACGTGACTGCTTCGCCCTTAATGTACATGCTCAACTGTGTGGGTGCGGCCCTCTGTCTGTCCGCTCTCACTTTCATGGATGTTGGAGGGCTTCTGGCTTTGTACAGCTGCTCTGACCACGCTGTGCATGAGGCCTCCAGTGGGAAGCCTCGCCTTTTCTCTTCACACCTTTTCTCTTCAGCGAGTAGCCTGAATGGGCATCTGCTGGGTCCTGGGCTGCGTGTGTGCCCTAAGTGGCTGTGCCCTTTATACCCGGCCCAGCCTGGACAGAGCTCGTGCTCTGTCTTGACCTCATTGTGGGACATGAGACGTGTTAGCCTTTTTAACTTGACCTTTTCTTGAGTGGTGTGCTTTAAATTCGCATCTGCGTGTGCTTATTGGTGATTGGTAGCTTCTTTTGTTGCTTTCAATGTTGTATTAGTTTTTTATTGAAAACTTATATTGATAAAGTCAGATGAAGTGACTTTGAAAGTATACTCAAATACTTGGATGAAACTGAGGGAAGTGAGAAGAAATCCTAAGTGATCACGTTGCAGCGACCCCCAGTCTTCGTCTCTCTCTTCTTTTCTAGGCGCTGTGCTGTGTGCTTTATTTTTTTAAAGATTTAATTTGTTTATTTTTAGAGAGAGGAGAAGTCAGAGAGGGAGAAAAACATCACTGTGCGGTTGCCTCTCATGAGCCCCCTGAAGGGTATGTGGCCCACAAACCAGGCACGTGCCCTGACTGGGAATCAAACCAGTGACCCTTTGGTTCGCATGCTGGTGCTCAGTCCACTGAGCCACACTGTGGCTTTTTTTTTTTTTTTTGGTCTCTTTTGACCTTGTGAGCCATGTCCAGTGGAAAAAACTGTTTTAAAATTCCACTTTTTAGATGTGGACATAAGTGCCACAGACGTGCAGTGGTTTGCTGAGGTGTCGTGACTCGTCAGTGGCAGGTTTGCTGCCTCCAAGCCTCTACCTTCTCGTCCTGGGCCCCACGAGGCAGCTGGCCCGGTGGGGCATTGTGAGCGCACAGGCAGTGGGTGGCCACATGGGGGCCATGACGCTGTGACTTGACCTCAGCAGTGTTTGTGGGACCTGTTCATTCAGGTCACAGATGTTTATTCTGGGATTCCTGCTGGGGAGAAAGAGAGACAGACAGACAGACCTTGGGAGGGCAGCTACAGAGACATGCAGATTGCGACCTCTGCCACAATAATTAAGGGGCCAAAAGAGAGCCAGAAGGTCATTTATTGTAAAACAAAACTGTTTCAAAGCTACAGAAAGGTAAAAGCATACAGAACCCCCTGTCATGGAGGAATAACCAGTGTTAATATTTTTGGGGTGTAGTATTCCAGAGTTTCAAAAATGCACGTGTTTACTGCTGAACTTGATAGTGGTGCCGGCATCGGTCCCACTGCTGTATGACCTTGGAGCTTTCTCACTCATTGGGGTTCAGCGTCCATTCTTCTGCTGTGTCCATTTGTCTGGTTGCATTGGGGCAGCCTGTCATCTGGAAAGGGGATTGCTTCTTTTTTTAGAAACCAACAACTTCTTATTGCCGACCATTGAGGTGTTAGATTTGATTACTGTAAATTAATATTTAGTTCTTGTATATTATCAGCTACTGAGGATGAGAATGATGATTAGGAAAAAGTTCTAGAATTGAACTTGCTGGGTCAAAAGCAGGCTCATCTTAAAGCTTCCCATGTTGCCTTCCTATCCATAGCACTGGGTGGTCCTGTTCATTCTCACCACTGAGGTGGGGTCTTCGTCCAGGGTCCCCCAGGACTGAGGAGGACTTTTCATGTTTAGGTGGTTCTGGCTTTTAACATTAGAACAGAAAGCCCAGAAAGAAAGAATGTTGCTTTTTCACAGTAAATTTGGTTACTAGAACAATGTACATAGTAGGTCCTCAGGAGTGTTGCTTTCATTTGATCAGCAAAAGATACTCCTCCTCTTTAGCAATAGCTTTTACTGAGGTATATTTCACATACACCTACTATAAGATCATTCTTTTTAGTGTATAACTCAGTGATTTTTCTTGTGTATTCACAGAGTGACCGTACCAGCGCCACTCTGATTTCAGAACGTTCCCATCCATCCGCAGGGCAGCTCTGTGTCCCTTACCAGACACGCCCCACCCCCTCCCCCCGGCTGCTGACCACCACGATCCACTTCCTTCCTGTCTCCACGTACTTTCGGTTTTGCACCATCCATAGAAATGGATTCCTGCAGTTTGTGGCCTTTTGTGTCTGTCTGCTTTCACCCTACGTATTGTTTTCCAAGTTCATCCAGGCTGTGGCATCTCTGTCGTACTTCATTTTTCTAACTTGCTAAGCAACATCCCTTTGAGTGGCTGCAGCATGTCGTGTTTGCCTGTTCATTGGCCGATGGCCATTGGGTTGTTTCCACTACGCTTGTGCCGCAGAGCGGGTGTTAGTGTAGTGTTCCTAGGAACAGCCCGACGGCCTCCGCACTCGGCCGCGCCGTTTTACCTTACAGTCGCAGCGCGTGGGGGCCCCGAGTCTCCACACCCTCGCCAGTGCTTCTCTCCCTGCACTGCCTTCAGTCTAGTCAGTCATCCAGGCTGTTTGGATGGTGGCTGATGTCAAGTATCCTGTCCTGTGCTTGTGAGCCACTTGTTTATCTTGTTTGAAGATGCATCCTGCAATCCTTTGCCTATTTTTAGATTGGGTTCCATTGACCTGGAACTGTTGAGCTATAAGGATTTGCTCTGTGTTCTGGACACGTGTCTCTTTTCTGATGTCTGACTTGGGATGTATCCTTGCATTCTGTGCATTGTCGTTGACGTCTGCCAAGCAGGCAGACTGTGTGCTTGGGCAGATGACGTGGGGTGTCTGTGAGCGCCGGCAGCAGGGGTCAGGATTTTAGGGACTTCACGAGGGGGGGCTGGGGACTTCATATCAGCACTGGCAGCCCAGATATCGGGTCTGTAGGTCCAGCAGTCTGTTTAGAACTTGAGCAGCAGAGTGACAGGATTTCAGCAGGTGGGTGTGGCCCTGTGTCACCTCGTGTGTGAGTTGGCGAAGGGACAGCTGGGCTGTGGGATCGGGACTCGGCCCAGGGTGCCTCCACACCTATTTTTAAGATAACTGGTCTCTGTCTTATGAATTACAGGATATTGAAGCCAAGAAAGAAGCACAGAAGGAAAAAGAAATTGATGAACAGGAAGCAAATGCCTCAACATTTCACAGAAGTAGGACTCCATTGGATAAGGACCTTATTAACACAGGAATCTATGAATCTTCTGGAAAACAGTGTTTGCCTCTGGTTCAGCTCATTCAACAGCTTCTTAGGTAAATAGTATTAGATATTTTGTAACAGGACTGTTGGTTTCATATTAGGACAGTGAGTTGGGAACTAGAGACTCAAAAATGTGTTTGGCTTAGGAAATACCCTGAAAATTACCTCAGGTAGGTTTCAGGGTAATAAAAAACAGAGTCTTGAGTACCGATGAGAGGGAGGGTTGGAGCGCTGTAGGGGGGAGAGCTGGAGACGCTAACAGTTTTCACTCGGAGAGAAGTGGGTTGTGCGGTAAACCTGGCAGGAGGTTCTTGCCCTTATTACTGAGCAGGCAGGTGCACACGGAAATCGTGGAGGTAAGGTCGCTTTTTAAAAAGCTTGTCACGCCCTTGCCTTGTTCTGCGTGTCGTCTTCTGCATGTGTGTTGCTTTGTGAGCCACATTTGAGTGTCGAAGTTGAAGTAAAAGAACACACAGGGACACACACAGAGGCTGACATTGACAAGGAGGCGGACGTTGACAAGGGAGGAAGCGGTTGGTCACGACTGCTGACGCTTGAAAGGTCCACTGGCCTTTCTGCACCATTCAGAAAGGGAGGAAGAAGGCGGTTGCTGATGGCTTCGGTTACTGCCCCACTCTGTGACCGAGTCTGCCCCGTGGGAGCTGGGCTTCTGGTTTGTCGTCCACGCACAGAGAAAGGAGAGGCCTGAGGGGGTGGCCTCAGGCAGCCAGGTTGTGCATCCAGAGCAGCAGCGGCTGGTGTGCCTGGGCACACAGTGAACTTTTGAACTTTTATTTTATTTATTTTTAAAGATTTATTTAAAGAGAGGAGAAGGGAGGGAGAAAGAGAGGGAGAGGACTTCCGCCAAGATAGAGGCGTAGGTGGAAACACTGTGCCTTCTCACACGACCAAGTCTAAAAACAACAAAGTTTCAGCAACAAAAAATGCAGCCAAACCACAGAAAATTGAACAATACGGAAGTCCAACAACAACAAACCACTTAGCCAGACCAATAAACCAGCTAAGGAGCGAGCAGTGAGACAGACCGTGCAGGCCCCAGCGGCGGGAAGCAGCAGAGGGGACCGCTATTGTCCCTCTCTGACCCCACCCCCACATACAGTGTCACAAACCAGCGACCTGGGTGGCCCCGCCCTGGTGAGCAACTAAGGCTCCTGTCCTCATACGTAACAGGCACAAACAGATCAAAACATGGCTCAAGAACTCAGAACCCCAGAGCCGATAAATCTAAGTGAAGAAGAAATTGTCAGCCTATCAGAGGCACAGTTCAAAACACTGGTGATCAGGATGCTCACAGAACTGGTTGATTTTAGCCACAAATTAGAGGAACATATGAAGGCTAAACTAATTGAAATGAATGAAAATGCATAGGAAAGCAATAGTGATGGAAAGGAAACTGGCACTCAAATTAAGGGAGTGGACCAGAAGGAAGAAAAAAATGACCAAACAGAAAAGGATGAAGAAACAAGAATTCAAAAAAATGAGGAGAAGCTAAGGAACCTCCAGGACATCTTTAAACGCTCCAACATCCAAATTATAGGGGTACCAGAAGGGGAAGAGAAAGAGCAAGTGGAAATCTTATTTGAACAAATAATAAAAGAGAACTTCCTCAATCTGGCAAAGGAAATAGACTTCCAGGAAATCCAGGAAGCTCAGAGAGTCCCAAAGAAGTTGGACCCAAGAAGGAACACACCAAGGCACATCATCATTACATTAGCCAAGATTAAAATGAAGGAGAGAATCCTAGAAGCAGCAAGAGCTAAGGGGACAGTCACCTACAAAGGAGCTCCCATCAGACTGTCAGCTGATTTCTCAAAAGAGACCTTGAAGGCAAGAAGGGGCTGGAAAGAAGTATTCCAAGTCATGAAATCCAAAGACCTACATCCAAGATTGCTCTATCCAGCAAAGCTTTCATTTAGAATGGAAGGACAGTTAACGTGCTTCTCAAATAAGATCAAATTCAAGGAGTTCATCATCACCAAGCCCTTATTATATGAAATGTTAAAGGGACTTATCTAAGAAAAAGATGATAAAAAATATGAACAGTGAAAGGACAGCAAACTCACAGTTATTAACAACCACACCTAAAACAAAAGCAAACTAAGAAGACAGCTAGATCAGGAGGAGAACCTTAGAAATGAAGATCATATGGAGGCTTAGCAACAGGGGAGGGGGAGGAGAAGGGGGGAGAATGTACAGATAATAAGTAGCATAGACGGTAGGTAGAAAATAGACAGTGGGGGAGGGCAAGAATAGTATGGGAAATATAGAATCTAAAGAACTTGAGACACGTGGTCATAAACTAAAGGGGGTAGGGTGGGGGAGGGGTGTGCAGGGTGGAGGGGAATGAAGGGGGGGAATAGAACAACTGTAATGGCATAATCTATAAAATATATTTTTAAAAAAAGAGAGGGAGAGAAACATCAGTGTATAGTTGCCTGTTTATATGTCCCCTACTGGGAACCTGGCCCACAACGCAGGCACGTACCCTGACTGGGAATCAAACCGGGAACCCTTTGCTTTGCAGCCCTGTGCTCAATCCACTGAGCCACACCAGCCAGGGCAGGTACCCGGTGAACTTTTAAAAGAGGGAGTTTCTAGCTGTGGCTGGTGTGGCTCAGTGGGTTGGGTGTCATCCTGCAGACCGAAAGGTCGTCGGTTCAATTCCTGTCCAGGGCACACTCCTGCATTGTGAGTTGGGTCCCTGTCCCCTGTCAGAGAGGCAACTGAATGATTTGTTTCTCTCACATGGATGTTTCTCTCCCTCTCTTTCTCCCTCCCCTCCCCCCTCTAAAATAAATAATAATTTAAAAAATTTAAAAAAGCAAAATAGAGAGTTTTAGAGTAAGTTCCTTACATAGATTTTAGTAAGTGCTAACATTAAAAACCCTTTTTCTAATTTTGTAGTTTTCCTAATGTGCTAACGTTTCCTTCAATCAGTATTTCACACATTCTGATCTTCAGTATAACACACGGCAGTCTCGTGAATGATCTCACTGCCTCGGTGGTGGCAGGAAGAAGTTGGGGTTTGCTGCTGGGGAGTCTCACTTGCGACCCCTTGGGTGAGGTTGGCACTTGGCAGCCTGGCACCTGTGGGAGCAGTCACAGAGCCGTGTTGAAGTTGATGTCACTAATTAAGGACCCGGTGAGGAAATGGGTGACAGTGCTTTGTAATGAAAAGGTCACGTTCTCTACAGAAACGTGCCGGCATAAAGCATGTGTCTCTAGAATGGCTCTTCCGAGTGCTTGAACGATCCTCCCTTCGAGGGCGTTGCCGTGGGGGGGCCCCGGTCTTTTTAGTTCCCGACCTCTGGTGGTGGCAGGTCACTGTTCTCATGAGGGGCCAGCTCCTGCTGTCCTCTTCGCTCAGCTTGTTTGTCCCTTGGTGAGGGGACAGCCTGGGCTGTTCAATCTGGAAGTTATGCCCACTTTGGGATGGTGAGCACCTGAAATGTGACCAGTGGAGTTGAGACATTTTATTGTTTTGCTAATTAAAGTTCAGTTACTTTAACTGAGTTATTTTTTACTAAATTCAAATGTAAAACCTTAGACCTGATTCAGCTCTTAGAAAACTGTTAAGTATGCTTGGAGTAGCTTGGCCATATGAATTCACTTTTGTAACTGCTTTTATGACTCTAAGTGTAGATCAGGTATTTTCAGTGAAAACAGTTATTGAATCAAGGTATGCTGTTTGTAACAAAATATACAGTGGTTTTTGAAGACTTAGTGTGAGAAAACTAATATAAAATATCTCAGTGCCTTTTCTCACTGGTTTTTACGTTGAAATGATAATATGTCAGCGCACTGGGGTAACTACTCTGTTGTACTGATTTTATGTGTTTCTTCATGAATGTGACTGCGAGGGCATTTAAGTCACAAACGTGGCTCGCTGGCGGGCGGCCTCTGTGGGCCAGCCCTCCGTGTGTGGGGAGGGGTCGGCGCCCCTGCAGGTTTATAGTAAGGACGCACCTGTCTGAGAACAAAACGAACTGAAGCGTGGGAGTAGTGGGCACCTCCCAACCACTGTAGAAAACAGGAAAGGAAAACTGCATCTGCAGCCCCCTCCTCTGCAGCTTTCTCACTGACGGGACCCCCGCATCCAGGCCTCTTGGTGGGGCCGGGGCAGGAGGGGGGCAGCGGTGCCTCCCTGCAGCATCCGGTTTTCTTACCTTAGCATTTGGGATGGAAGGAGACATAGTACGTTTCAGCTGATGCTAAATAGTTGAAAAACAGTCTAAAGATGTAGAAACTTTGGACATTTCATGTACGTGACTGCTTGGAAAAGTAGGTGGAAGAAATTCCGGCTACCATAAATAAGCCACGGAACAGATTTCAGAGTGACTCCTCAGCCTGATGCTGGCAAGGAGCCGTAGGAAAACCGCTTCTTCCTGAAAGGGGGGCCTCTGAGGGTTTTTAATTAGTGAGCACTGTCAGAATTACACATTTTAAAAAAGATTTTATTTATTGATGTTTAGAGAAAGGGGAAGTGAGGGACAAAGAAAAGGAGACAAAGTGTGTGGTTGCCTCTCACACGCCCCCTACTGGGGACCTGGCCTGCAACCCAGGCATGTGCCTTGACTGGGAATCGAACCAGTGACCCTTGGTTCTCAGGCCAGGGTTCAATCCACTGAACCACACCACCCAGGGCAGAATTACACATTTTGATTATGTTTCTGAATTTTATATTAAGGAAATCAGTTAAAATTATTTTTTTATTTTATTACTGTCTTTTGCTCCTTTGTATATAGCATAAAACCCAGATTCCAGACCACTTTCTTTTTGAAATTTTTTTTTCTCTTACAGTTGACGTGCAGTGTGATTTTGTATTAGTTTCAGGTGTCCAGCATAGTGGTCAGACAATCATGTACTTTACAAAGCGCTTCCCCTCAGTGTGTCCAGTGCCTGCCTGGTGCCATGCGTAGTTACTGCAGTACCGGTGACAATGTTCCCTGCACTGGACGCGACATCCCGTGATGCTTCTGTGACTGTCAGTTTATACTTCTTGATCCCTTCCCCTTTTGCACCAGCCCCAGACCCCTATAGGCTGGTTTCTTCTGTGAGCAAGTTATCAGGTGGTGGCCACGCAGTGGGACAGAAAGCCGGGTGGACTGGCGGCCTGGGAGGGCGCGCCTTTGTTTGGGGCAGCCGGGAGCAGGCGGAGCCACAGGCTCTCGGTGGCTCTGGATATGAGCTGAAGAGCTGCGGGGAGTGGGGGGACGTCCTCGTGTCCCTGTTTCTGTCCTCACCGCACCGCTGTTGGTGCCAGGTGTGATGGACAAGTTGTCCTCAAACCTGCTGTCGCGTCGGGGACGCCACACGTGCTGTAGAGTGCCTGTCCGCAGCCCGGTGTCAGCCGAGTGCCTGTCTGCAGCCCGGTGTCAGCAGAGGCTGCGCCTTGCCCTCCCGTTTGGGGTGGGGGCTGGGTGGTGGGGCTTCTCTGATGGCAGCCCCAGGGCCATACCCGCTCCGCCCTTCTGTTCTCGTGCTGGGCATCAGGCTCGTCCACCTGGCACTGGACCAGCCAGGGTAGCAGGTCTCATCTGGGGACCCCGTCCCCTGTAATCTGCTTGACCCTGTAATCGCAGTGATGTCAGAGTTACTCCCCCCAACACAAACAGGAGGCCACTCTCTTCCCAGGACCCCGGTGGCTCAGCATTGCAGGCGTAGTCCCGTGGCCTGGTGCTCTGTCCCTGCCGTGCCCCTCCGCCCCCCTGCCGGCCCGCCCGGCCCTGTTGTTTGCATTCTGCTCAGGGAGCCAGGGTGCTGACGGCTCTCGCACGGCGCCTCCCAGGACGTGCGTTTCTTCTTTCTGCCCCTGGCTGAGGGTCCTTGGCTCACGGCAAAATTGGAGCCTCCGCTTCTTTCCTTGCTGCCGTGTTCTCCGGGCACCCGTGACCCTGAGCTGGTTCAGTTACCCACTTTCGTCCTCTTTCATCTGTACTCTCCGAGCCCTGAGGGCCCCCATGTGGCACCCCTGGGTGCTCCTCGAAAGTCCAAAGTCAGATGTGAGAGGCAGACCCAGAACTGTGAGTGACCGTTGTCTTCCAGAATGCAGCTTCGGTCAAAAAGCAGCCACACAGTAGTTCCTTCCCAAGGGCTGTACACGCCGCGCCCTCCCACGCAGCCCATAGGAGCCCGTTGGCAGAGCAGAGGGCGGCACCCTGTCTCTGGGGCCCTCTCCGTTCCCTGCTCACTTTGGGCGGAGACTGAGCTATTAGGGGCCCACCTGACACTTTGAAGGAGTGGACCAGCCGCAGGTCACAGCCTGCGTTTCCGACTTTAGTGTGTTGTGGTTTTGAAAGACGACTTTACTGGCCGAAACATCCACAACTCGCTTTATTTCCCACTCCTCTCCCCCCGCACAGAAACATTGCTTCCCAGACGGTGGCCAGGTTGAAGGATGTGGCCCGTCGCGTTTCGTCGTGTATGGACTTCGAGCAACACTGCCGGGACAGATCTGCGTCCTTGGACTTGCTGCTGCGGTTTCAGCGCCTGCTTATCAGTAAACTGTACCCAGGAGAAAGTATCGGTCAGACCTCAGATATTCCTAGTAAGTTGCCTCGTGTGTGTCAGGCTTTCTGACAATGCCTGTTCTGCTCGTGCAGATGTGTGTTTCTTGTCCCGTTGAAATCCAGTTTGTCTGATGAATACTTCTGTCTTAGACTCATCAATGTGTTTTTACCCGGTCTTAACATTACAGTCCTCAGCCATCAGGAATAGCATCCTTTACAGCCAGATGAGTCTGACGGGCGACTTGCCAGACTTACTGTACGTGTCAGTGATGAACTCATGGGGACTGACGTAGTGTGGGAACAGAATGGTGCCCCCGCACATGCGTGTCATGCTGGGAAGCCGGCTGGGTGGAGTGAGTGGGAGGGGTGAGTCACTGCTGGGGCCAGACTGGGTCTCAGGTGTAGCTCTGGTCATTGGCTGGTGGCTGAGGGACGCAGTCTCCTGGGGGCTGCTGCTCGATTGCTCCCCTCCAGAGTTGGGGTGATACTTGAGGGCGCCTGTGAGGGTTGAGATAGGGCGGTATTTGAGTGCCCTGCTCTGTGCATGACACAGGCCCCGTGTGGCTCTCCCTCACCCAGCTTTCTGTCAGTGACGGAGACTCCTGTTGCACTCGTTAGTCTTTTCAGAGGTAGCATATTCTCAACTGACTTTGTTACCTCCTGCAAAGAAGTGGCTCTTGTAGATGCTGGAGAATTTTAGGTTGAGATAAGGGAGGTTCAGGCCTGAAAGAGGTGACTGTCTCAAAGACATGGAGTGACAGGGACTGAAAAGCTGGCAGGAGCCGTGGATGGAGAAAAGTCGGAGCTTTATGAGATTGAAGGCCGCCTTAGTTCATCGGGAATAATCTGCAAGAGTTAAGACTTGGACGTAGAAGCAGTTTTGTATGGAACGTAAGGTTTTAAAACTCAAAGTTATGACGTTAGTATTTATGTCCCAGGGTTTCTGGGTACTGGGTAGGACAGCATCTGAAAATTGCCGTGACCCGATGGCACTGTGTTTCAAATCATGCAGTGTTAAAGGAGCAAGAGTTATTGCAGGTGGAGACACATAGATGATAGCGAAGGAGCGGAGCCAGTCACTTTATTCACAGTGCAACTGTGAATAGCGAACATGACATTTTCTCGCCCCTCCCAGGTCCCGAGCTCATGGGAGTGGGTTCCCTGCTGAAGAAGTACACGGCCCTGCTGTGCACTCACATCGGGGACATTCTGCCCGTGGCCGCCAGCATCGCGTCCGCCAGCTGGCGCCACTTTGCCGAGGTGGCCAGCATCGTGGAAGGGGACTTCACGGGTATGGTTCCTGTCTGCTGCCTGCTCACGTGTTTATTTTCAGAGTGTTGACAGTTACAGTTTGCCATTGCCTGGTAACCTGCTTGCCTTTGCCCCTGGTTTTCTGGTCCCGCTGCCCATTGTCCTTTGTTTCTGTGGGAATGTCACTGCCTATTCTCTTGTTAAGCAACCTGGTACTGGAATTGGACCGCTGTAAATATGATCAGTGACTTAGAGTCATACCCCATTATTGACACTCTGATACTGAGTTCCATGGTAATCGTCTAATTTGATTTCAGCAGCATAAAAATTATTTGCCCTAGTCCTTGCTGGTGTGGCTCAGTGGATTGAGCGCTGGCCTGTGAACCAAAGGGTCACTGGTTTGATTCCCAGTCAGGGAACATGTGGGCTGGGTCCCCAGTAGGGGGCGCACCAGAGGCAACCACACACTGATGTTTCCCTCTCTTTCTCCCTCCCGTCCCCTCTCTAAAAATAAATAAATGATCTTTAAAAAATTAGTTGCCCCTTTCAGGACCTTTGTATATTCCAGTATTGCTTAATATTTTTCAACTTAATTCTCTGACAGTAGATGATGATTATTGAGTGCTTTTTTTTCTGGTAGTAAATTAGTTGTAGACACTTCTTTTTCTGAATGAAAGATTTTAGTTAATACTTCTGTGTTGAAACAGCGATTTTGAAACAGGTTCTTGTAAGTCAAAGGGCTCTGTTTGACACCTATATCTGTTTCTTTCAAAATGAAAGATAAAGTAATCCCATAGAAATATGCTAAGGACAAACATTCCGTATTTTGGGATTTATCAGGGTTTAAACATAGAGCAGGCAGATAAACTGGTTTCCTCCAGGATAAGCGCTTTTATTTAAACCTCAGTGCTTTCTTATGTTTTTCCCTTTTGTCTGTAGGTGTCCTCCTTCCAGAACTCGTCGTTTCCATCGTCCTCCTGCTCAGTAAAAACGCCAGTCTCATGCAGGAGGCGGGCGCCGTCCCCCTGCTGGGCGGCCTCTTGGAGCACCTGGACCGCTTCAACCACCTGGCACCGGGGAAGGAGCGGGACGACCAGGAAGAGTTAGCGTGGCCCGGCATCATGGGTACGGCGTTCACTTATGTGGCTTTTCGGAGCAGGCTCTGCCCTCGTCCAGCCTGGTCCGGCCTCCATCGGGGAGACCCGGTGACCGGGAAGACCTCTTACTTGCCGTTTTCACCTCGTGGAAGAGGGAAGTGGAGATGATGTCAGTCAGGAGACATTTGGGTTGTATTCAAGGAACACTTTTCTGTTAGAAATAGTTGTGATATCTGGAGGCAGATGGTTTCAGAAAGCCCCAGGGAGCCCTTCCCTGGGTGTCTCCAGAAGGTGGTGCCGTGGAGGTGTTGCGGCAGGTGCCGGTTTGGAGGCAGCCGCGCACAGGGGGTGACTTGCTGCACCGCTGTCAGTGTCATCGGACGGCAGTGCCTGTGCAGGCCCGTGGTGGGCCGGGCGCTCCCCGCCCCAGCTGCTGCCTGGGGGGCCCGCCAGTGGGGTGAGACTCTTCTTTTCTTTGTCTTGAGCTTGGATGTTTTGAGTCTCAGTAACCACACTCCCCATGGTTTCAACTTCCTGGACTCATCAAATTAATTGAAGTTGTGGTCCAGCTTTTCATTTTATTACAAGGAGGCCACAACTGTGCATCCTAAAACCCCAAAGTGAACAGGGAAAATTTAGGCCGTCAGATCTGAAATTATTGTGAGTAAACATTTTGATCAGTTGCGCAATTTTTTTAAATGGGAAAAAGTGACCAAACCGAGCTTCACCTTATAATTTTATAGTACTTTCCAATGAATAAATCACCTCTCAAAATTAACAAAAAATAGCCCTTTTATAGGGAAGCTCATGCCATATGTGCCATTCTCCTGCTGTGCAGAAGTAGCAGTCGTCCCAAGGAAGGCAGCCTTAGGCTGTTGGGCGCAGTTTTTACACTTTATAATGTAGCACCGTTTTTAGCACCATTCATATTTTATTTTTAAATATAAAAAATATTTTTATATATTTAAAATATTAAAAATATTTTAAAATATATTTTTATATTTAAAAATATAAAAATTTTTAGCGCTGTCTTATATTTTTAGCACCATTCATTTACTTCTGTGAACTAAATGGGTATTTGTTATTTTATTTTTATACAAAATATGATTGAGGGCATTGAATTTGATCAGCAGTTCCAACTCACTCATTTTAAAACCTATTTTTTGGCCCTGGCCAGTGTGGCTCAGTGGATTGAGCACTGGCCTGAGAACCAAAGGGTTGCTACTTCGATCCCCAGTCAGGGCACAGGCCTGGGTTGTGGGCTAGGACCCCAGTAGGGGGCGTGCGAGAGGCAACCACACAGTGATGTTTCTCTCCCTCTCTTTTTTCCTTTGCCTCTCTCTAAAAATAAATACATAAAATCTTTTAAAAAAAGGACTAAACAATAAAAGTTTCTCCACATCGCAATTGGTCGATGTGTGCTTCTGGCCTCTCATTTCCCCGCCCCCTTAGCCATTTTTCATGACACTCAGTGGGTGTCCTAGAGCTTCCAAAGGCTACCAGTGACTTTTTGGTATATTATTATGCACTCATGGAATTTTAGGGATTTGATATTCATTAACTTTTTTACTTTTTAGCTTTTCTTTTTTTCCTGATACGTACGTTTAGAGGTGTAAATGCCCTCAAACGCACACTCAGCCGTATGTCAGGATTGTTGACCTGTGGTATCATCAGTGTTGTTCCTTTTCATGCATTTTCTAATTTCCACAGTCATTTTTTTCTGGGAATTTTGGGTGACTTATAAATACATTCAAGTATGTAGAGGATTTTTATTTTACTTTGTTGATTTTGTTGCCTATTCTAATTTAACTGCATCGTGGTCCGCACGCATGCTCTGCAACTTTATTTCTTTGAAATTGTTGAGATTTACTCTGTTGCCTGGCCTGGGGTCAGGTTTGCTCATCGTGCTGCCGCCGTGGCGGTGCTTCTGTCTGTTTAAAATCACTCCGTGCCCTTGCTGAACTTTTGCATGACGGGTGGCGTGTTGCTCTTCCGTCGTGGTTGCGGATTTGCCTGTTTCCCCTTGTATTTCTTTCACACAGTTTGTTCTAGTCATTGTACCTGTGGATCAACTGATTGATTGATTGATGATGGTCTCTCTATACACAGAGTCATTTTTTACGGGACAGAACTGTAGAAATAATGAGGAGGTGACCCTCATTCGCAAAGCCGACTTGGAGAACCACAATAAAGATGGGGGCTTCTGGACCGTCATCGACGGGAAAGTGTACGACATAAAGGACTTCCAGGCCCAGTCCCTGACCGGCAGCAGCATTCTCGGTAAGGGCTCGCCTTTACCGCAGGGCTGGGCCCTGCAGCAACACGTGAAACTTTCCCTTTCCTTTATACATATACGCATGTGTTTTAGTTAGCTTTATCGGGGTTACCTCAGATTGTACAATTACGTAAGTTTCAAGGGTGCAGTTCCCTACTGCCTCATCTGTATAGTGTTATGTGTGAACCGCCCAAAGTCTAGTCTCCTTCCTTCCCTCTCCACATGTCCCCTGTTTCTCCCCTTGGAACTGCTCCCTACCCCTCTTCTCCTCTGGTCATCACCATACTGATGTCTCTGTCTGTGAGGTTTTTTATTTTTTGTTTAATCCCTTCCCCTTTCCACCCAGCCGCCAGCTCCCCTCCCCTCTGACAGCTGTCTGTCTGTTTTCTGTATCTGAGTCTGTCTCTTTTGTTCATTAGATTCCACATATAAATGAAATCATAAGGTCTTTATCTGGTTTACTTCACTCAGCCTAATGCTCTCTGGTCCACCCATGCTGTTGCAAAAGTTAAGATTTCCTCCTTTTTTTTTTTTAAACAGACAAGTAGTAGTCCATTATTTCACTCATCTACCGATGGGCAGTTTGGTTGCTTCTAAATCTTGGTTATTGTAAATAACACTATAGTAAAGATAGGGGTGCATATATTCTTTTGAGTTAGTGACTGGGGTTTCTTGGGATACAGTCCCAAAAGTGTAAAGATTGGGTCAGTCATAAAGGCAGTTCCATTTTTAATATTTTGAGGAAACTCCATAGTGGCTCCCACAGTGGCTGCCCAGTCCGCATTCCCACCCACAGTGCACGAGGGTCCCCCTTTCCCCACATCCTCGCCAGCACTTCCTGTTTGTGGATTTATTGATGGTGGCCATTCTGACAGGGGTGAGGTCATATCTCATTGTGGTTTTAATTTGCATTTGCCTGATGATCAGTGATTTTGAGCATCTTTTCACACATCTGTTGGCCATCTGTACATCTTCTGTGGAGGAGTGTTGATTCAGGTCCTTCACTCATTTTTTCGTTGGGTTGGGGTTTGTTTGTTTTTTTTGACTTGAGTTGTACAAGTTCTATATAAACTTTGGATACTAATCCCTTATCAGATGTATCATCGCCAGATATGTTCTCCCACTCACTGCCTTATCTTTTCATTTTGTTGCTGATTTCTTTTGCTGTGCAAAAATATTTTAGTTTGATGTAGTTTATTTGTTTATTTTTTCTTTTATTTCCTTTGCCTGAGAAGATGTATTAGAAAAAATATTGCTATGAGAAATGCCAGAGATTTTTCTGCCTATGTTTTATTCTAGGAATTTTATGGTTTCAAGTCTTATAAGCATTTAAGTTGTTCATCCATTTTGAGTTTATCCTTCTGTGTGGTATAAGGAAGTTGTCTGGTTTCATTTTTTTGTATATATTTGTCCAATTTTCCCAGCACCATTTATTGAAGAGGGTGTTTTTACTCCATTGAAGGGGTATGTTCTTGCCCCTTTTGTTATATGTTAATTGACCATAATGGCATGGATTTATTTCCGAGTTCTCTATTCTGTTCCATTGATCTATGTCTATTTTTATGCCTATTCCACATTGTTTTAATCACCGTGACCTTGTAGCATAGTTTGGTATCAGCTAGTGTGATACTTTCAACTTTGTTTTTCTTTCTCCAGATTGTTGAAGCTATTTGGGGTCTTTTGTGGTTCCATAAACATTTTTGGAATATTTGTTCTAGTTCTGCAAAATACGCCATTGGTGTTTTGATAGGAATTGTGTTGAATCTGTAGATTGTTTTGGGCAGTGTGGACATTTTAATGATGTTAATTCTTCCGATCCATGAACCCGATATAAAAGCTTTCAGATTTTCAGTGATGGGTTTGGTGCTTCTTCTGAGCCTTCACATTTTAAACTCTCTGTGATTTGGGTGTCTTTCCCGTCAGGGAATTCAGCTACATTTGAAGCATTTCTCATTATACATTTTGTGTTCCAACACTCCTTGGAACGTGTTTCAGGCTCTCAGTTGGCCCAGGCTGCCCTGGGAGAGGGTGAGAGGTCACTAACCTTCCGAGTCTACTTCCTGTGACTGTTTCTGTGTGTGGGGGGGATGTGTGGGCGGATTGTGTGGAGTCACGTGTGACTGTTTCTGGGGGGGGGATGTGTGGGCAGATTGTGTGGAGTCACGTCAACTTGTTTGTTTCAGCTCAGTTTGCCGGGGAAGACCCAGTGGTAGCTCTGGAAGCTGCCCTCCAGTTTGAAGACACGCGGGAGTCCATGCACGCCTTCTGCGTGGGCCAGTACCTGGAGGTGAGGCTGTGGGAGGCAAGCGCCCCCTGGTGGGCTGCAGCCCCTCTCTGTGTGTTGATGCTCGGTGGCTTTTACTGGGAACTGTGGAAGCTGGGCCTTGTGTGGGGTGGGGGTGGGGTGGGGGTGTCATTGCGTGGGAAACATGCAGATACTCTAGAGGCCTTTTTATGAGTAAACTTACATTTATAATGTTCAGGTTTATGAGGTAGGTACTGCTCTTAAAACATAACTTTTAAAATTGTTAACTTGAAAGGAATGTAGCCACTCCCACATACAAAAAGAGGTCAACATTTGATATTGATGACTTCATTGTAAGCTTATTTAGAAATCTGGAACGACTCCCCATCTTGAGGTTAACGACCTACCGTATTTTGGGGGGAGAACTATCTAGTGGTATAATTCATTAGACAGAAAGAGGTCCTTTCTACATATTCCTGAGCAGTGGGTTTATATATCAGGACTGGCTTTCCTAGTGTGGATCTAGAGGCAATAAAGTTGATTCAGTGCCACAAAGGCTGGGCTTGAAGCATTTTATTTGCAATTCGTCTTGTGTGTGATGGGCATAGTTTAAGGTTACTTTCATGTGAACCCTGTCTTCTCTGTTTGAATGAATTAGTTTCCCCCACGTGTGGACACAGCTGACTGGCGCGGCCGTACCTGTCCCATGTGGGTTTCTCTTTAGGGTCTTCATGTGACACTTCATGTATTTTCTGAAGTGTCGGATACAGTCACTCTGGAGACTTCTACTTGATCCCTTAGGGCACAGGTGGCAAACCCAAGGCTCCCGGGATAAATCCGGCCTCCACCTTGTTTATCCGGCCCGGCACCTTGTTTCTCCTCGGCAGCAGCACTGAGCTCCTTGCCCCTCGTGAAGGAGCAGTTACGTGTGTACAGTCCTAAAATTGTATTTGGCCCTTTGAAGGCAACCACAAGGCTGATGTGGCCCCCGGTGAAAATGAGTTTGACACCCCTGCCTAAGGCCTGCTCTAGTGAGATCGTTCACTTGCTTCAGCTCCCCCGCCCCCCGGACCTGAGCAGACACCGTCTGTCTCTAGGATATGTGCAGTTTACCACTCCTGTTACTCTACCAGCGGTGTGAGCTCACTGTGACCAGACACAGGAATAGGGGCTCAGAGCACCCGCCTTTTTCCTCCTGGCCGCACGTCTGGTTTATGGATAGATGCTGGTGCTCCTCTGGGTTTTACGTTTTGCATTGACCGTGTGTGTCCTCAGGCTGATGATGAAATCTTTCTTCCCCAGCCTGACCAAGAAGTTGTCACCATTCCAGACCTGGGGAGCCTGTCGTCACCTCTGATAGACACGGAGCGGAACCTGGGCCTGCTCCTCGGATTACACGCCTCCTACCTGGCTATGAGCACGCCGCTGTCTACCGTTGAGGTCGAATGCGCCAGTAAGAAAAATTTTGTTTTCCGCTGACAGATTAGCAGGTTATTTCAGCTGCGCCGTATGGGCCACTGGGATAGGAGAGGAGGAATCGGCGAAGATGCTGATGAGGAGAAGAAGGGTCATGCGACTCAGTAGGTAATTAGAACAGGCTCTGGCGTTCACTTGCTGTCACTGTCTGTGGCAGCAGAGGGAGCCGACACGTGTAGGGGGGTCCTGTGTGTTCTCCCACACTCACCGTCTGACAGGTAGGCCTAGTCCACGCCTGCGCCCCAGAATCCATGTGCTGTGCATCGGCTGCTCTGTAGGGAATCATGTTCTGCTTGAGCATGGTGTTTTCATCACATGCAAATCAAATACAGTTTGGGATGCCAGCCTTTGTAATCATCCACAGTAATTAAATTTCTTTTAAAAGAAATATATATGAAATATATATATTTATTTATTTTTAGAGAGAAGGGAATGGAGGGGGAAAGAGGGAAACATCAATGTGTGGTGTGGCCTCTTGTGCGCCCCCTACTGGGGACCTGTCCCTCAACCTAGGTGTGTGCCCTGACTGGGAATTGAACCAGTGACCCTTTGGTTCACAGGCCTGTGCTCAATCCACTGAGCTACACCAGCCAGGGCCAGTAGTGAAATTACTTATAAGATGGGTTTAAGTTTTTTTCATGTGTTTATGCATTTCTCCATTCGTCCGCCGACCATCCAACAAGCATTATCCAGCAGTTACAGCTGACCCCTGAACTGTGCGGGGCTTAGGGGTGCTTACTACTCACACAACTAGGAGCCTGTGTACAACTTAAGTCAGTCCTCTGTGTATGTGGCTTCCTAATCACCCATGTGTGGGTCAGTGGGAGAACCCTCTGTGTAAGTGGATTTGTGCAATTGAAACCCGTGTTGTTCAAGGATCATCTGTACTGGCGTGTGTCATTGTGCTGGACACTCAGGGTGTCATAGGTGTGCAGTTAGACATACCCCTGCCTGTAGGTGCTTTCTGTGTGCCGATGAGCCAGACATGATAAGCAGGTGAAGATACACAGGGTAGTGGGTCAGTGGAGACATTCATACGTGTTTCTGGGGGCAGAAGGGTTCGTAGCAGCAAACAGATATGACATTAGAGACCAAGCAAACTGGTGTCTCAGCCTTGGGGGCAGAAATGCAGGGCCATGAGCCGTACTGTTGAGTGGAGCAGGGCTTCTGGGCCCAGCAGCCGTGGTGCCCAGCCTGCCAGCCGTCTAGAGCAGAGCTGTACACACGGGGGGCGCCCTGCTGTGTGCCGAGCCCCATGGGGGCCGGTCCACCTGTCTTCCTCCAAGGCCTGTCAGTCTGTGGGAGGAGAGGCTCCTTCTCCATCAGCCAGGAGGGCAGGGCTGGGATGTGTCCGAGTAGAGGGAGGCCTCGCCCTGATGCTGATGGAGACTCGGTATCCGCAAAGGGCAATAGAGGCGCGTGCAGTGGAGCAAGGTACCCACATCGAGTTACATAACCGTCTGTGTACCTGGGTTAGATGCGACCCTCGAGTACAAACGGTGCTGCATTTCACCTGCTGAGTGAAGCACTCAGCTCTTGCTCTCCTTTCCCGTTAGTTATTTCTGAAGAGCCCGTGCAGGCGTTTTTTATGAGTGTTTGCACGTCTGTCCTCTAGAGTGGCTGCAGTCGTCCATCTTCTCGGGAGGCTTGCAGACCAGCCAGATCCACTACAGCTACAATGAGGAGAAAGACGAGGACCACTGCAGTTCCCCCGGGGGCACCCCCGCCAGCAAGTCCCACCTCTGCACCCACAGACGGGCCCTGGGCGACCACTCCCAGGCCTTCCTGCAAGCCCTGGCCGACAATAACATCCAGGATCACAATGTGAAGGTGCATGAGGCCCACCCACCCTTGCCGTCCAGCTGCCCTTGGGACTCTTTCCATTAGCTCAGCAGACTTGGTTTGCGTGCTCCTCAGAGGGTGGGGTTGAAGGCCAGAGGTCGGCCGGGTCACTGTGTCAGCAAAGCTGTAGAAGTGTGGCTGCCCACAGGTGCGTTGGAGGTCGCGGCGCGTAGTTTAGGTCTCCTGACAAAGTGCCTGGTGGCTCTGGAGTCACCTCCCGCTGTCTCTGTCGCAGGACTTCCTGTGCCAAATAGAGAGGTGCTGCAGGCAGTGCCACTTGACCACGCCCATCACGTTCCCGCCCGAGCACCCCGTGGAAGAGGTGGGCCGCCTGCTGCTCTGCTGCCTCCTGAAACATGAAGATTTAGGTATGAAGCTCGGCTTTTTAACAGTCTTGAGAGCTCTGATGTTCGTGGTGTCCCCGGGCACTCCTGCCTGACCCCTTTTCACGGTCTTTTCCAGGACACGTGGCCCTGTCTTTGGTTCACGCCGGCACGCTCGGTATCGAGCAAGTGAAGCACAGAGCGCTGCCCAAGTCCGTGGTGGACGTGTGCAGGGTTGTCTACCAAGCCAAGTGCTCCCTCATTAAGGTGGGTAGGGCCCACGCCTCTTCCTCCTGCGCCGTGCACACGGTCGGCGGTATGACGGTCTTGTCCTGTCTGACTTGGCAGACGCACCAGGAGCAGGGCCGTTCTTACAAGGAGGTCTGCGCGCCAGTCATTGAGCGTTTGAGGTTCCTCTTTAATGAACTGAGACCCGCAGTCTGTAATGACCTCTCCATCATGTCCAAGTTCAAACTGCTGAGCTCCCTGCCCCGCTGGCGGAGGATTGCGCAGAAGATAATTCGAGAGCGAAGGAAAAAGAGAGGTAAGGCGGGAACGGGCGGGAAGTGCGTGCACGGCGCCTGGGATTGGACTGCCGCAGGTTGCTGGCCGCTGTGCGCCTCGCGTGGATCGCACCACGGCTGGAGCACATGCCGTGTGCAGGGAGGGTCATGTCTGCAACCCCTGCCGAATTCCCCAAGACACCAGGTATGGGTGCAACTTTGGGGTCCAGTGTGATTCAGTCGCTAGGACATTGAGGCTGAAAGAGTAACTACTATAAACTTGATTACACTGATGGGGAAAATGCTGCGCTTTTCACCACTTTTCCTGCTCATGAGATGTGAGGGAAGGTTTGGGCTTTCAGTTTATCTTGTCATTCTGGTAAAGAAATGTTTTCCTTTGGAAATACTGAGTTTTCTGATACATGGAGAGTTGTTACAAGAGGAATTAGAAGAATTACTAGGATTTTCAGGAAGCAACTGTGTAGGGATAACAGAAAAGATTTTTTTGCATTAAATAACCAAAATTTGAGTAAAAATACGTAGAATTCAGTCACTAGTAATTATAAACAAGTCTACAGAAACTTCTGGTTAGGTTCCTTGGAGTCACACTGACTTATTCAAAGACCAGCTGATTAAACAACATTAAGGACTGAGTGTGTGATGGAATTGTGAACAGCAATGTTACAAAAGACTAACTTGTTCCAGAAACCATCCCTCACGGATTGTTCCCGAGCAATTTCTAAACCACAGCACTTGCCTGAACCCTACAGATGCCCTGGTCCGGGAGTCGGGGCGGGACACTCCTGAGGTCCCTTCAGACAGAGCCAGGAGTTGGAGCAGCAGCAGGAGCCAGCGTCTCGGCTTCTGGGGACAGTGCTCCCTGCCCAGCTGGTTGTCACCTGCACCGATGATTCCAAGCAAATGCTGTCACATCTCAGTGTGTCTTGTTGTGGGTTCATGTAGTTAATTTTTTGTTGTTTGAAGCTTTTCTATTTAAAAACAAAACAAAACACCAAGTAACACAAGCAGCAATTTGCCAGTAGGGCTCCGTAGGACTCAGGAGAGCTGCCGCGCTCCAGCCTGCTGTCGATTACTGAGAAAGGGTGCGGATCAAAGTGAGCAGAAGGACAGGCACAGGGAGGGGTCCCGCATGGCCTGTGGGCGTCCAGCGTCCCCTCCCAGTGGAATCGCATGACCTGGGCCCAGTTCTCTCAGCAGTGACGTGCGTGTGGCGTGAAGGGCCGTTGGCCAGGGATGCTCACGGGAGCCTTGGGGTCAGGGTGGTTGTTGGGGTTCGACGTGCAGGGCCTGCCGGACCGAGCTCAGTTACTGGGACTCCAGCTCCCAGCGTGGAGGCAGGTACCCCCCCCCCCCAGTCACGCTGTTGGCACAGACTCGCCAGTCAGACTGGTAAACGTGTTCCCAGGCCTGGTGCACACAGAAACGCTCTCCTCAGCCAGACGTGTGCGGGCTCAGGGCCCAGTTCTCGGGAGCTGGCTGGTGGCTGGTGCTGAAGGGCCACTCTCGGGAATTTGCAGGCTTCGAGCCAACCAGCCTGCTGAGTTCGTGTTTCACTGTCCAGGGGTATTACTGTGTTGCTGGTTATTTATATGCTGTGCTGAGAGGAATGAGACTAAAAGCCTTGGAAGGGGCCAAAATACAGAAGTGACAGCACCCGTACCTGGCACATTCAGGAGCAGTTCCCCTCCTTCCAGAGACTAACACAGCAGAAGGCTCCAGACCCCCTCGGCGCTGGCCCAGGGGGGGCTCGCCAGGGGCAGGGGCGGCCTGCTGCTTGCTGTGCCCATGAGCTGGGGCTGCAGTTTGCACTTTAAAGTTTGTTTGTTTGTTTTTTAAATCGGAAGAATCCTATGTTTGACACATGAAAACTGCACAAAGTTTAAGCGGCAGTATTCATAAATAAAGTTAGCTACGTTTAATGTTACCACACCAGAGCTGAATTTGTGCAGTGGACCAATGACCTGCAGAGACTAAAATGTCAGTGTCTGGCCCTTTAAGAACAAGCGGGCTGACCCCTGGGCTGCTTGCTTTGGGGCTTCTCTATGGTGGCCCTCGCTTTCTCTGTCCTGTTCCCGATGTGGGTGGCAGGGTGGCAGAGGACTATTTCTGCATGCTGTGTGAGAATAATTGTGACACTTTTGTAGATACTGAAATATTTGTGTCCTTTACTTTCATGCAAATTCAAATATTTTGTAATTTGAAACTGTATATAAAGAATTGGTTTTTATAATGTGTGATGTTTTTAAACATAGTTCCTAAGAAGCCAGAATCTACTGATGATGAAGAAAAAATTGGAAATGAAGAGAGTGATTTAGAAGAAGCTTGCATTCTGCCTCACAGTCCCGTAAATGTGGACAAAAGACCCATTGCAATCAAATCACCCAAGGTGAGGCGTTGCTGTGATTCTGAGGCTGGCTGCGTGGAAATGTAGCCCACAGCAAAGGGGTCCGCTGGGCCCCTCGCTCTGTCCTTCAGTGCTCGCTGGGCGGAGCCACACCGGCCTCTTCCAGGTCAGGGAACCTTGCAGGGAGGCTGCCTGGTGGTGCCCGGCCAGACTCTCCCCTCGAGGACGGCTCCTTTCACTGTTCGCAGTGCATCGCAGTGCTTTGCTGTGTTACTCCCTCGCCATCAGTTCATTCATTTGTTCATAGCTGTGTCCTTTGCTTCAGGAACTGGCTGGGTCCCCGAAACTGTTAATGGACGTGACCCTTTACCTTTGTATGCCAACTCAGCCCTTCCCGTGCCCCCAAGCAGGGAGCTTTCAACTTCATTTATGAGTGCATTTATGACTTACTTATCTTTACTCTAAGTTAGTTCCTAAGTTTAAAATATTTTTCCAACTTAAACCCATGGTCATTTACATTGCATTTTTCGAGGAACTGTTTGGGGCTCCCAGCGGGTGACATCAGCAGGACGGACTGGTGGTGACATGGTGTTCCTCTCTCAGGATAAGTGGCAGCCGCTGCTGAGCACGGTGACGGGCGTCCACAGGTACAAGTGGCTGAAGCAGAGTGTCCAGGGTCTCTCCCCGCAGTCGGCGCTGCTCGGTACGATTGCCGAGTTCGCCCTGAAAGAAGAGCCGGTGGATGTGGAGAAAATGAGAAAGTGCCTCCTGAAACAGGTAAAGGCTCCTGCCGAGAGCGTTCTGCGCGGCTTCACGCCGCAGTGCATGCGGCCCTGAACTGCGTGTTGATGTTGCAGCTGGAGAGAGCGGAGGTTCGCCTGGAAGGGATCGACACCATCCTCAAGCTGGCGGCCAAAACCTTCCTGCTGCCCTCCGTGCAGTACGCCATGTTCTGTGGGTGGCAGCGGCTTATCCCGGAGGGGGTTGACATTGGGTAAAGCTTCCTAATGTTGTAGATGTTTTGTTACTGTGTCTGTGTTCTGTTTGTTGAATTTGTCAGGGTGCCATCGGTTCATAAAATTCCATAGGTTTCGCCCTGACCAGTTGGTCGGGTGCTGTCCTGCAAAGCGAAAGGTCGCAGGTGTGATTCCAGGTCAGGGCCAATGCCGGGGTTGTGGGCCGGTCCCTGATGGGGTGGGTGCAAGAGGCAACCAGTCAGTGTTTCTCTCACTCATTGGCATTTTCCTCTCCCTCTCTTTCTCCCTCCTTTCCCCTCTAAGAATAAATAAGTAAAATTAAAACAAATTACATAGGTTTCAGGTGTCTGGTTCTATAATTTATCATCTGTATATTGCATTGTGTGCTCAGCACCCCAGGTCAAGTCTCCTTCCACTAACAACCCTCCCCCTCCCCCTCCGCCTTTTCCTACCTCCCCCAACCCCCTCTTTTCCTCTGGTCATCACCATGCCGTTCTCCGTGTCTGTGAGGTTTGTTTTCTGCTTAATCCCTTTTTCTTTTTCACCCAGCCTCCAACCCGCCTTCCTTCTGACAGCTGTCAGTCTGTCCTCTGCATCTATGAGTCTGTCTCTGTTTTGTTAGTTTTTTTGTTCATTAGATCTCCTAATTAAGGAAAGCGGTGGCAACAACGTATCGTTCTGCTGAGACTGAACATTTGGCAGGGGCCTGCGTGACATCCCCCGTCTTTCTTTGAAAGGGAGCCCCTTACAGATTGTCTAAAGGATGTTGATTTGATCCCACCTTTTAACCGGATGCTGCTGGAGGTGACGTTTGGCAAGCTGTACACTTGGGCCGTCCAGAACATTCGGAACATTCTGATGGATGCCAACACCAAATTTAAAGAGCTCGGTGAGTTGTAAGAAAATCTCGTGGTTAACAGGCTGTATTAAAACTGCCATTGAAGTAACATCAGTGGTCCCAGTGGCATTGTTTTATGGTTGGACTCCTCACTGCGTGTTGTGCAAACTCCCAAATGCCCACTCTGGCTCTTGGGAAGACTTTGATACCTTTGTCCATTGGAGCGGCCGTCAGAGCTGCTGTCAGCTTTCTCAGATTCTAAATCAACCCTTCAAAATTTGGCAGATGACACAATCTTGCGGTGTCCCAATAGAAAGCTCTGACATCTTAATGTTTTACGAGTATCACTCACCACTGTACACCTTAAAATGTGTATCCGGTATCAGTGCTTGCTTGGCTGGTAAGTCGAGCATTTACAGAGAAATGCCAGGACTGCCTCTGTGGAAGAGAAGTGGACGCTGCCAGATGTGCAGTGCCAGGCGTCAGCCACCCAGCTGGGTGGAGGGGGCGGTGGTGAGTTCGTAGTAGGCAGACGACACAGCACGCGGCTGTGCGTGGTGTGATGGTGGTGGGATAACGGCAGAGCGACATGGGGCTCCCCGATGCCCACACTCTGTGGAACCCTCTGAGAGACAGATGCGGTTTTAAAAAGTCGCGCATGCCTTCTGCGTCAAGTACATTCCTATCTCCACGCAGGGATCCAGCCTGTCCCCCTGCAGACCATCACCAACGAGAACCCCGCGGGACCGAGCCTGGGCACCACCCCGCAGGCCCGCTTCCTCCTGGTGATGCTCAGCATGCTGACCCTGCAGCACGGCGCGCACAACCTCAACCTCCTGCTCAACTCCGGCATGCTCGCCCTGGCGCAGACCGCGCTGCGGCTCATTGGTGGGTGCACCGCGCGGCTTCCTTGGTGAAGATGTCACGGTTTTGCCTTGCTCTCTCGCTGTCATTTATTTTATTGTGGGCGAGATACACGTTACATAAAACTGACCATGTTAACTGCTTTACGTTTATAAAATTCAGGGGCAGTAAGTGCACCCACAAAGTTGTACGGGCTTTCCCACTACCTGGTGCTGGCACTGTTCATCACCCCACATCAGACCCACTTGCATTTAGCAGTGACTCCTGGTTTCCCACTCCTTTGGCTGTTGGCAACAGCAGACCGTCTTTGCCTGGTTTGGATGTCTCGCGTGAATGGAATCGTGCGGTTTCAGCCTTTCATTTATGACTTACTTTGTTTAGCAGGTATCAGTGCTACAGGCTAAAAAGGATTTCATTGAATGAATACATTACATTTCATTTATCCATTTGTTCATCGGTGGCCATTTGGCTGGTGTCTGCATTTGGCCGCTGTGAACAGTGCTGCCGGGAACATTTGTCTCGGGTCTTTTGTTGGACACCCGGAGTGAACTGGTTTCTCATTGTGGTGGGATTTACATTTCACTAGTGAGAAATGACCCTGAGTCTCTTTACCCATGCCCGCTGGCCATTTATATCTTCGTTGGAGAAATAAATGTCTGTTCAAAGCCTTTTCCCGTTTTTAGATTCGGTGGTTTGTCTCCGTGTTGTTGACTTGCAAGAGTCCTTTAAACATTCTGGATATTACATTGTTATCAATGACATGATTTGGAAATATTTTCTTCCACTTGGTGAGGTGTGTTTTACTTGGTATACTGAAGTTTTAAATTTTGATAAAATCCAAAAATTTATCTCTTTTGTTGGTTGTTCCTGCTTTTGACATTGGGCCCAAGAAATTGTTACAAAATTCACGGTCATGAAGATTAGCCACTATCTTTTCTTTTTTAAACTTAATATTTTTAGTTGTTATATTGAAGTCTTTGGTACTTTTTTTTGGTAATTTTTAAAACATGGTGTGAGGCAAGTGTTCACTTTATTTTGTTTTTAATTTTTACTTTTAAATATTTTATTTATTTTTAGAGAGAGGGGGAGGGAGGGAGAAAGAGAGGGAGAGAAACATCAGTGTGTGGTTGCCTGTTACATGCCCCTGTACTGGGGACCTGGCCCGTAGCCCAGGCATGTGCCCTGACTGGGAATCGAACCAGTGACCCCTTGCTTCACAGGCTGGCATTCAATCCACTGAACCACACGAGCCAGGGCAATTTTTTTAATCTTAAGATTTTTTTCAAGTATTTGGGGCCCTTACGTTTCCATATGAGTTTCAGGGCTGGCTTTTCCACATCTGCAGAATAGGCCAGTGGTGTTTTCTACGGTTTCTGCTGAATCTGTAGATTGTGCTGGCTAGTGTTGCCCTCTAATGAGATTAAGCCTTTCATTCCATGAACTAGGGGTGGCTCGGTGTTTATACAGGTCCTTCTTCCATTTCTTTGAGCAGCATTTTTATTGTGATTGGGGTGATGCTGGTCTCATGGAGTGCGTTGGTAAGTGTCGCCAGAACACAGCTGGGAGGTGTTCTATTTGGGTAAACTTAGGTAATTGGCATTCATTCTTTAAAAAAAATTAATTTACTTTTTATTTTTAATTTTAATTGTTGTTCAATTATAGTTTTCAGTCTTATACTCCCATCCCAGCCCACCCCCACTCAGTGCCTCCCACCTCCCTCCCATTTCCATCCCCCCCCCCCGAGTTTTTGTCCATGTGTCCCTTTATACTTGTTCCTGCAAACCCTTCCCCTTTCCCCTTCCCCTGAAATTCCCTCCCGTCTCCCCTCTGTTCACTGTCACCCTGTTCTCTGTTGCAGTGTTTTTGGTTATATTTCGCTTGCTTGTTTGTTTTGTTGTTTAGGTTCACGTTAAAGGTGAGATCATACAGTTTGTCTTTCACAGCCTGGCTTATTTCACTTAGCATAATGCTTTCCAGTTCCATCCATGCTGTCGAAAAGGGCAGGAGGTCCGTCTTTCTTTCCGCTGCATAGAATTCCATGGTGTAAATGTACCCTAGTTTTTTGATCCATTCATTTACTGATGGACACTTAGGTGGCTTCCAGCACTTGGCTATTGGCATTAATTCTGTAACTGTTTGGTAAGTCAGCAGTTGAGCCGTCTGGTCCTTGTTTTTTCTTAGTTGGGAGGTTTTTGGATTACTGCTGCAATTCTTTACTTGTTACGTAGGTCGCTGCATGTTTTCTGTTTCTTCTTGAGTCAATTTACATAATTCGTGTTTTTAGGAATTTATCCATTTTATCTAGGTTTGAGAATTTGTCAGCATACAGTTGCTCACAGTAGTCTCTTACAGTCCTTGTTATTTCTGTAGGATCGGCAGTGTTGCCACTTGGATTTCCGGTTTTAATTATTTGCATCCTCTCTTTTTTCTTAATGTGCCTAAAAGATTCAGTGTTGTTGGTATTTTTAAAAAACTCCAACTTGGAGCCCTGGGTGGTATACCTCAGTGGATTGAGTGCGGGCCTGCGAATCAAAGGATCACGGTTCAATTCCCAGTCAGGGCACATGTCTGGGTTGCAGGCCAGTTCCCAGCAGGGGATGCACAAGAGGTAACCATACATTGATATTTCTCTCCCTTTCCTTTCCCCTCTAAAGATAAATAAATAAAATCTTTTAAAAAAATTCCAACTTTGATTTTGCTGATTCTCTTTTTTTCCTATTGTCTACTTATCTCTGCTTTAGTCTTTGTTATTTCCTTCCTTTTGCTAACTTCTGGTTTACTTTGTTCTTATTTTCTAGTTCATCCAGGTGCAGAGTTAAGTTATTTATTTGAGGTTGTTCTTCATTTAAAAAAATATTTAATGTATTTGTTTTTAAGAGAGAGGAAGGGCATGATAAGAGAAGGAGAGAAACATCAATGTGTGGTTGCCTCTCGTGCACCCCGTACCGGGGACCTGGCCCGCAGCCCAGGCATGTGCCCTGACTGGGAATCGAACAGGCCACCCTTTGCTTCGCGGACTGGCACTCAATCCACTGAGCCCACACCAGCCAGGGTGAAATTCCCCCTCTTTTTATGTCGTCTCCCTTTTTCCCAATGCTCTCGAGTTTAAAGTCCAGCCTCTCAGCTGGCTGCCGAAAGCCTGGGGGGGCTGTGTCCCAGGAATTCATGCCTGTGTCTGTGCTGCCCCTGACCAGGTGGTTTCCCTTTCATATATTTTGTAGTCGTTTTATGTGTATATGTCCAGTTACAGCAGCCACAAAATAGTAAGCCACTGAAGAAAAGATCCCCTTTTTTTCTAACTGCAAATGCAATGTATTCCCAGCCTCCACAGTGCATCTTGCATCTCCAGGGTTAACGAACGTGACAGCAACCAAGGTGGGATCCTGGCGGGAATGCAGCCCCTGCCCTCCGAGGCCTGACCACCAGCCTGGAAGAAAGACTTTTCCCCCTGCTGGAGGAGAGAATAAAGATAAAGGAGTTTCAGGCCCGTGTGTCCCCCTCACTTCAGTCAGCAAGGCCACGAGTGGCCCGGGCATCCAGCAAGCTGCCTCTGGGGTTGGACTTGTCCTCAGTCCTGATAAGCGTCCCTTCCCACTGACACTCAGCTCCCATTGTGTACTGAGGACGATTCTGTACCCCCCAGGGACCAGCGTGTCCTCATGCTCCCCCTCCCTTTCTTCTTCCTTTTAACAGTGAAGGCTGTTCTTTCCAGAGAGTTCCACTACTGCCATTCCTGTATCAGGGTCCTTGAGACCTCCCTCAGGTTCGGTGACAGACTAGGAGGGCTCCCAGGACCCGCACACAGTCACACTCAGAACCACGACTCACTCAGCGAGAGGACACGGGCGAACTCGGCCGAGGGAAAGGGCTCCAGGTGGGGCCTGGGGACACCAGGCACCGGCCTGTCCCAGCGGGGCCCCACGGGACGCACCAGCTGGGACAGCTCCTGGGAGGTGACGGCTGCCCGGGACGCTCCGCAGGGCCCAGAGCCAAGGGCGTCCATAGGGCTGGTCACTTTGGCACCTCTGCCTGGACAGACCCCGGCTCCAGACCCCAGAGGGGGGCAGGTCTCAGCTGAGACCACGTCGTTAGGGCCAGCAGTTCAGCGCAGCGAGGCCTCCTGTCACTCAGGGAGCAGGGTGGGGGCTCCCTCCCGAAGTCCAGGTTCCCAGAGGCCGGCGGAGGGACCACCGAGCCCACAGGACTTTCTGAGGCCGCAGCCTCGGGCCGGCCGTGTGCGCTCTTCTCTGTGCAGCGCCGTAATTAATTTCTCATCGTTAGACATTTAGGTGGTTATCTTTTGTTTCTTCTAATAAAAATGTGATGAGCATTTTTCTGACTTAATTATTTTGCCTTTATGTCTTTTATATCTTCTGATACATTGATGAAAAATAGCCCATACACTGTAGGTCCTTTAACATTGTTATTTTCTTGTGCTTATTCATTTCAAGACTGTGGGGGTGAGGAAATTGTGAGTTCTTACGGCTGCTATTTTTGATGTGCTCACAGGCCCTAGTTGTGACAATGTTGAAGAAGACATGAGCGCGTCTGCCCGAGGCGCTTCGGCGACTGTCCTGGAAGAGACGAGGAAGGAGACGGCGCCGGCGCAGCTCCCAGTCTCCGGGCCAGAGCTGGCCGCCATGATGAAGATCGGCACCCGCGTCATGCGGGGCGTGGACTGGAAGTGGGGCGATCAGGTACTCGGGGCGGACGCAGCAGCCCGCAGCTGTCCGCTGCCCCGCCCTGACTTGCTCTCTCCCAGTGAGTGGAGTTTAGAGCAAATACCCCCCTGAACTAGGGACGTGTGAGGTCACCAGGTGACACAGTGCTTGCTTCCTGATGGCAGGTGCACAGAGTCAAAACGAGAGAGTAGCAGCGTCCTGCGCCCCGCGTAGGTCGGGCCTGTGGGGAGTGGTGGCTGTTTTCAGGGAAATTCCTGGTGGGGGCTCAGATTGAGGTGCAGCCAGAACAGGGGCGGCAGGAGGAGCAGGCAAGTGTGACTGTTGTCTCAGTTGGCGTGTCCTGAGCGCTCTTGTTGCCGCCTCTGCGCGCCCGGGTGAGCAGCCCCTCAGTGCCCCGGCCCAGCAGCCTCAGGCGGCGGCCGCTGTTCTGTTTCTCACTGTAGCACATGGTGCCCGATGTCGGGGCGGTCTCCCAGGTGGGAGGTCGGGGCTGGTGGCTGCATCATAACCGCTGTCACAGCCAAGGACAGTGCTCTCCTTCCTACGCTGTGGGAGCATCTGTGTCACGGCCAGGCTTTCTCAGCCCCACCGGGAAGCCAGGCCTGAGTTGCACCAGAAATCCGTGTATCCTGGAGCGGACGGGTAGCCCCGGTAGAAACAGCTTTCACTCAGAAATGAGAGATGGGGGCAGGGGGAACCGAACAGTGCGAGGAGACACAGGTGCTGGTTCCAGGTTTCCAGGCCACAAAGCCCCGTGAGGGACTGGGGGGCCGAGGAGCAGGTACCAGGACGGCCGGGCAGCCTTGTCTCTGCAGGGGCCCCGTGAGGGACTGAGCTGAGATGACAGGTCTGCCCCGCACCCCCGGGAAAGGAGCGGGAGGCAGGCGTGTGGTGCTGTTCCGTGCGCGTGTTGCAGACACGGGGCCTGTGCAGTGACGAGGCCGCTCTCCCAGGCCCTGTCTGCGGGACGGGAAAGGCGCACACCCACAGAGCTGACCTTGGTTTTGGCCTCTGCAGGACGGGCCTCCCCCTGGCCTGGGCCGTGTGATTGGTGAGCTGGGGGAGGACGGCTGGATCAGGGTCCAGTGGGACACGGGCAGCACCAACTCCTACAGGATGGGGAAAGAGGGCAAGTACGACCTCAAGCTGGCGGAGCTGCCGGCCTCCACCCAGGCCTCGGCAGAGGACTCGGACACAGAGGACGATTCAGGTGGGTGCCTGGGGGCTCTTGGGTCCAGGGCAGCCCAGCCCCACTTGCCGAGTTCGTGTGGCTAGCCTGTTCATCTGGGCTAGGGTACAGGGTCGGGACCCAGCTGCGGACGGTGCTCTGTGGCTTTGGGCTTGCCCCCAGAGTGCAGGTCAAGTGAGCCCCAGGTGGCTGTGACTCGGGCACAGCTGGCTCTGGGCACTGGTGACTGAACTGGACAGGCCTCTCCTGCTCCCTCAGAGAGAGTGCGGTGGGGAGGCGGGGCCTGGCCCTGCTTGGAGTGCAGTCAGAACCTGGGCTTGGTCAGCCTCTTCCTTTCACCTGTCCTCCGAGGTCCTTCACTCAGAATGCTGCTCATTAATACTAATGGCCTTGAGACAGGAAGAGATGAGAATTTGGAGTGACCCAGAAAGTTAAGTCCTATCTAAGGAAATGCACGGTTTTCAGAGGAGTACTTCCTGGCATTTTTCTAGATATGCCCCAAAGACCCTGGGATGTGTGAATGAAGTGTCCCCTGGCTGGTCTTGGTGGGACGGTCCAGGCGGCCGGCCCTGATTTGTGGGGCTCAGGTGTGGGCCGTATGAGCAGCGAGGTCAGGCTTCCGAAGCAAGTTCTCTGGTGAGGAGGGGGAAGCTAAGAGGCTGAGCGCAGCAGAGCAGGGGCAGCACGGCGGTGGGGAAGGCTGGGCCCTGCGAGTGGACCCGTGGGCAGCGAGCCTGTCGGGTGTAAACAGGAGACGCCTGCTCTGTGGGCTGTCAGCAGTGGCGCCTGCGCAGCCCTGTGGGCCTGCCTCTCGGGTCAGCACGGGTCTGCTCCCACTGCATCTGCCTGCACGGTGTCCAGGCCAGCTGCTCCTCGTCCTCCCAGCTCTCTGCCCCAGGGCTTCATCTGGGGAAGTGGGAGCCTGCATGGGCTTGGCTAAGTGACAGAAAGGGGGCCTGGCTGCCATGTGCCCCCTTGTCTGAAAGTCAGGGGCCTGGACAGGTGAGCCTGCGATACCCTGTCCTTGGAGACTTCGTCTTTGTTCAGGGCGTGGCCAGCTCATCAGCAGCCAAGCTTTGACCTTTGTTAAGTTGTCTCCTCCAGGGAGTGGGTCCTAGGAATCGTTTCAGTGCTTCTGACTTGTGTGCTGCGATTGTTTTTAAAATTTAAGAAACTTGTTTTCTTTGAGGATGGTGAGCACAGAGATGGTTAAGGTGGGCATTCAGCACACCTGGAATTGCACCTTTGTTGTAAAGAGCTACTTCCCTTTCCACAGTAAAAAAAGAAGATTCGGATGTTAAGTCCCTTAAATTACACTCAGGGATGCCTGCCAGTTCTACTTGGAAGTAGAGGTTCTGATTTTTTTTTCTAGAAGCTGAGCAAACTGATGGGAATATGCACCCCACGGCCATGCTGCTGACCAGCACCGTGAACTTGCTGCAGACTCTGTGTCTCTCTGCGGGCGTCCACGCCGATGTCATGCAGAGCGAGGCCACCAAGACTCTGTGTGGGCTGCTGCGGACACTGGTGGAGAGTGGGACGGTGGACAAGACCTGTACGCGGTGGGGTCTGTGGGCGCACTGAGTCAGGGCTGGGCGGCGGTTGCGTTGTGTGTGTATGCGTGCACGCATGAGCGTGCTAGGGCACTGTTACAGTCACCACACACTTGTTACCTGGTTCAGTCTGCTCGGACTGCCACGCTAAAGCACCGTGAACAGGTGGCTGACACAGCGCAAAGGTGCTGCCTCCCGTTTTGGGGGCCGCAAGTCCAAGATACAGTGTCAGCCAGCTGGGCCGGTTCCCTCCGGGGCCACCAGGGCCTCTGTCCCAGGCCCCCATCCTCCCTGCAGTGGTCTGTCCGCCCTCGCAGACGTCTCTGCCGTGCACGTATCTGCCCGCGTCTTCGAGGGGTGCTCCCTTCAGGGAGCGTCTGTCTCCACGCCGCCCCTTTCGTAAGGACGTCAGGTCCCTTGCATCAGGTCCTCTCCTCTGTGTGACCACGTTGTAACTTAATGGGTCACAGTTTCTGTGACTATTTCTGAGTGAGGCCACATTCTGAGGGACACGGACGCCACCCCCATGTCTCTGTGTGCCCTTTTCTGTCTCTTAGAAGGACTTCCGGTGCATTTATGGTCATCCAGGACCTTCATTACAGCCGCATGGAGTTTGTTTCCAAATGGGGTCACGTACTGAGGTCCTGGGTGAACACGGATTTGGGGGCATGCAGTTCAGCCCCCTGCAGTGTGTGAGTGTGTGAGGGCTTGGGAAGAATCAGTTCAGAAGTGGGGAGTGAGTATGTGTGTACAGGCATGTGTTTGAGTGCATGTATGAGTACATAGGTGTGAGAGTGCTTGTGAGTATGTGTGAGTTCGGAGTGAATGAGAGACTGCGTGCGAGAGGGAGTGAGACAGCGTGCAAGCACGGGCGTGTGAGATGAGAATGTGTCTGCAGCTGGGTGTGCTTGACTGTTGATGAGTGTGTGCTTGTGGGGGGCGAGTGGACGTGTGAAGGTTGGTGCGTATGTGAGTGTTTGTGCACGAGAGTGGGTGCGTGTGACAGTGGTGCAGGAATGAGCCTGTGCCCCTTTAAGCTGGCAGAGCCCTGGGGGCGGGGCCCTGCAGGGGAGGGCGCGGCCCAGACGCAGTCGGAGGGGGCGCGGACTGGAGGGGACGCAGGCCCGTCGGGTCTCATCAGAGTTCAGCTGAATCAAGCTCTTCTGTTAACACAGACTTCCTATGTTTGATTTGGCCATTCAGGGTTAAGTAGAAGCAGCATTTTGGGAGATATTTAAAACACTGAATATTAAAAAAGATGTAACAGGTGCACTCCCACAAATTGTGCTATTGAATTGTGAATCATTTTTCTATGACCTGGAAACAGGACGTATAGTTCCCAACTACTGTGAGTTATTACATGTCCTTTAAAGGTTTCAGAAATCTAAGATGTTCCTTGAAACAACCCAGAAGTCTTCCCCCGCTTTTCTGTCTCACTTTGAATGCATGAGCTTGCCATACATTTGCCAGGCAGCTTATTCACTGAAAGAAGTAGCAGGTGAACTGGACATCGCGGTCGGGCGGGGTGGCTCTCGGGAGAGCGTGTCAGCAGGCTGTGTCGCCCGCAGCGTCCCCGAGCAGGCTGGTGAGCCGGGAGCAGCACCGCGGCTGGTGCTCGCTGGGCTTCGTGCGCAGCATCGCGCTCACTCCGCACATGTGTGCCGCGCTCAGCTCCCCGCCGTGGATCGCCCTGCTCATGCGGGTCGTCGAGGGACACGCGCCCTTCACGGCTGCCTCGCTGCAGCGCCAGGTAACGTGCGGCCCAGCTCCTCCCGCTGGGCGCCACTTCAGGGACTGTGGGGACCGCTCAGAGGAGTGGCATGAAGATGCCAGCAGTGCCGGTTCTCGAAATTAGGTGGCTGGGTTCAGCTATCAGTGCAGAAAGGAACTCGAACCCACACAAAGCAGATTTTTAAAAACTTGGAGATGTAATTGGGTTTATTGAGTGATTCAGAAATGGACAGCATCCGCCTAGCAGCTAGGGGGCGCTCTCCAACGCTGGTTTTGCAGAAGCAAGGGGCCTAGGTCCTCGACGGGCTTTTCTGTGAGGGGTGGAATCTCATCTGCTTCCCAGGAGGTGTAGAGTGAAGGTCTTAAAAATCAAACCAAGAGGAATTTTTTTTAAAAGATTTTATTTAGTTACTTTTAGAGAGAGAGGAAGGGAAGGATTAAGAAAGGGAGTGAAACATCAATGTGTGGTTGCCTCTTGCACCTGCTCCTGGGGACCTGGCCTGTAACCTAGGCATGTGCCCTGACTGGGGATCGAACCGGTGACTCTTTGGTTTGCAGGCCTGTTCAATCCACTGAGCTATACCAGCCAGGGCTATTTTTTAATTGAATAAGTACATGTATCTATAAAGTAGCTCATTTTTTTTAACCCCTGATCATCTATGCCATCAATTGACTTGGGTGCAATTTAGCTGTCAAATAATGAACATCAGAATTCTCACACGATTAATTCCATTACAGGAACAGAGAAGAAAGAGAAAATAAAATTCTTGTCCCCTCACGTGTCATTCCCTGGTTTTCCTTAACGGCGGCCATTTCCACTCTCCCGTGCAGATCTTAGCGCTGCATCTCCTGCAGGCAGTGCTGCCGTCGTGGGACAAGGCCGAACGGGCCAAGGACATGAAGGGCCTGGTGGAGAAGCTCTTCGGGTTCCTGGGCAGCCTGCTCACCACCTGCTCCTCAGACGTCCCGTTCCTCAGAGGTGGGCCGCTCGCCTCTCTCGAGTCCCGGCCGGCGGGGTGAGCGGGCGCCGCCTAGCTCCTTGTCTGTTCCCACAGAGTCCACCCTGCGGAGGCGGAGGGCCCGGCCTCAGGCCTCGCTGACCGCCACCCACAGCAGCACCCTGGCGGAGGAGGCGGTGGCCCTGCTGCGCACGCTGCACTCGCTGGGCCAGTGGAACGGCCTCATCAACAAGTACATCAACTCGCAGCTGCAGTCCGTCACCCGCAGCTGCGGCGCCAAGCTGGCCGATGGGGTGGGTTGTTCGCGTCCACTCGCTGGCCTCTGCAGAATGTTACCTTAACTTACAGATTATCTTTTTAAATGCTGCGTGTTTTCTCCAGAGATACATTTTAAAGTATGTGTTACTGGCAATAATTATTGAAGACATGAGTATAAAAGTGAACCTGGCCTGTCTGTAAAGGGTCCGGACGTGGGCAGCTCCCTGGCTCCCGTCCTCACCCGCGCTGTCTGTCCGCCCCAGGCCCTGCTGGAGGACTGCCCCCTGGACTCCGAGAGCCCTGAGGTGGGCGGTCTCATGGCCGTCCTGGCTGTCATCGGGGGCATCGACGGCCGCCTGCGACTGGGGGGCCAGGTCACGCACGAGGAGTTTGGGGAAGGCACCGTGACGCGCATCACCCCGAAGGGCAGGATCACCGTGCAGTTCTCCGACATGCGGGCGTGCCGCGTCTGCCCGCTGAGCCAGCTGAAGCCGGTAGGCGACCTGTGCTTGGTTCCTGGGCGATCAGGCAAAGGGATTTCTCACCGGAACTGGGCTCTCACGTCAGTGCCGCGGCTGCCGTGGTGCCCGTCTGTTCTCTGGAGGCTTCCAGCCACGGGAAAGCTGCCTGCCTTCTCCCTGGTTTGCATTATGCGCCCTGGAGGGGTAGGGCCTGGCTCACAGGGTTATGAAGATGAGCATTTCAGCTTCGTTTTAGCCTCAAGAGATGGGAGGGGGCATCAGCAGCTTAGCAGGCATCGGGAGCCTCTACGTAATTTTAAAATGGCAGTCGAAGTTTATTTTTTGTTGAGTAGTTCAACTTTTTAAAAAGCCTAAAAAGAGTTCCTTTAAAACAATGTAGAGCCTGGGCTGGTGTGTCTCAGTGGATTGAGCACTGGCCCGTGAACCGAAGGGTCCTCAGTTCAATTCCCAGTCAGGGCACATGCTGGGTTGCAGGCCAGGTCCCCAGTAGGGGGCGCAGAAGCGGCAACCACACACTGATGTTTCTCTCCCTCTTTCTGTTTCCCTTCCCCCTCTCTAAAAATAACCAGTGTAGAAAATGCTTTTTGATTGTTTTCTGTGACATGGCTTGTGTAGCAGCAACTGTCATCTTAAATCTGAAATGGGATGCCCAGGAAAGGGAGGGGGTCATGTTATTCTCATGTAACTTAAGTTGTGTTCTAACTCTGTTTGTATAAAACACTTTTTGATGCTTTTAGAAATACATATATGTTGTAGTATACTGTAAGTATATAGAAAATACCTAAGTAGATAATAATTATCACTCTGATATAATTACTGTTGACAAGTTGATGAAGAAAAACCTTAATTCAGGTCATTTATTATACATGTGAGCATCTTTCCTTTAGCATCATCTTTTAAAATGATCGTTCTCAGATGTCGGCAGACTCTGGCGTGTGAGGTCTCTCAGAGCTTGTGGTTCTGAGAACTTCCGGAACATTCTACCTGTGCTTGTCACGGGCCACGCAGTGACAGTTTTTGCTCTCTCCCCAGCTGCCTGCCGTGGCGTTCAGCATCACCAACCTGCCCTTCACAGAGCCCATGCTCTCTGTATGGGCTCAGCTGGTGAACCTCGCTGGAAGCAAATTGGAAAAGCACAAAATAAAGAAGTCACCCAAACAGGGATTTTTAGGTTAGTGCGTGGCCGCTGTTGGGGCTCAGACGCACTGACGCTGTTGAGCAAAGGTGGGCACGGGACCTTGGATGCGCCGAGAGGGACCACCCAGTGTGTTCTGAGCGAGCGTTTGGGGAGGGGTCTGTTCCCGCTCCCCATGTATCCGCAGGGACCTTTGCTCTAAGACCTGCCTTGCTTCACACCTATGGACGGTGGGTTAGAGCTGCCTGTGCTTAAACTCCTGCTTCCTGCTTGGTCCCCGGCCTTTCCATTTTCCGCACCTTCCTCCTGCGTGCTCTCTGGGCCTTCTTCTCCCAGATTGTTCTCTGCCTGTTGGAAGTCCTTGGTGTGGTACCCCCAACTCCAGCTCCCCCTGTTCTGTCTTCTCAAGTTCCCGCACACATTTCCCCCGTCGCTGTGATGGCTGCTGTGGCGCTGGTGGCGGTGACTTCCTTTTACGCTGAATCTCCAGTTCTCTCCGCTTGGCTGGAGGGCACATGTGTTTGACCTGCAGCCTGCGCAGAATTCAGCTTGCCCTGCCCCTTAGCCGGTCACAGGGAACAAGCCTGTCTGCCTGGGAGTCAAGCTGGGTGCCCGAAGGCCACCTGTGCTTCTGCCGTGCCCTGCCTCCCCTGTCCCCATGCTGCCTCTGGAGACTCTGGCCCGTCCAGCTTGGGAACGCCGCTGTGACAGCTGCGTCCTGGGCACTTCCTCTGCCCGGGCCCTGGTGGTGTGCGGGCACTGCTCTCTCCTCTCCGGGCAGACAGAGGCGGTCTGGGGAGGGGCCATCCTGACGGGGAGGCAGCAGTGGGCAGGGTGTGTCAGCCGGGTTGTCCAGGCGGCGCCCTGGCTGGAAGGTAGAAGTCTTTTGTTTGTGACATAGGTATCTGGGTAAAATTAGAGCCGTTTGGGAAACATTTGACTGTACTGAGAATAGCTAACAGAGTTCTGTATTAAACCATTTATTTAATCCTCAGCCGGCCCCACTAAGGTAGTCGTGTGGGGAGCAAGAAAGGGGAAGACCAGAGAGGCGAGGCAGCTTTCGGGAGTCCCCCGTCTCAGCGCTGGGCAGATGAGGCCTCGTTCCTGACAGCCCATGGCCCAGTCAGCCAGTTCCCACGGGGCGGGCGTCGTGGACAGGGCATCGCTGCGGCAGGGAGCAGAGCCCCAGAGGGCGCGGGTTCCCGCTGAGGCCTGTTCTCCCACAGGACAGGTGGACCTGGACCTGCTGAGGAGCCAGCAGCTGAAGCTGTACATCCTGAAGGCGGGCCGGGCGCTGCTGCCCCACCAGGACCAGCTGCGGCAGATCCTGTCCCAGCCCGCCCTGCAGGAGGCCGCGGCCGCGCCGACAGGTACCTTGGCGAGGAGGGCGGGCGCTCCGCAGCGGGGAGCTAGAGAAAGGCGGGCCCCCCAGCCAGGAGTTGCGGCCGGTGAGGTCACTGCCTTAGAGGACGAAGGCTGAGGACTGAGGCGGGAGGAGGGAGATGCAGCTCCTGCCGTGACGTGAGGTGTGGCACCAGGGGCAGGATGACAGCGCAGGGGCGTGTGCCAGAAACGCAGACTCGCGGCCGCACCCCCACCTCAGGAGCGAGAGCCCCCCTACAACAAGGCCCCGCGCTGGGTCGGGGCCCAGAGCGCCGCCTGGACGATCACTTCTGGGGCTGCCGCGGTGCTGCCGTCTGCTGGGTGTTGGGGGAAACGCGTGCACACGCCTGTGTTCTGTCCACCTGCCCGTCTCTGTGTGTCCACTGACTGCAAGTCACCTGCGGGAACGTGCCCCACGTCCAGGCCTGAAGACACGTGTACAGACAGACGCACATTCTGTCTGCGCAGCGGAATACTCGACACCGCTGTTCACGGTGCTGAAACGCGCACGCGCACCCCCCGTTGCCATGGGAACACGAACAGAGAAGCACGTTGTGGGGTGTCCCTGTTTGTGGTCAGGCTGTAGGTTTATCTGCTCACTGACACACCGACGGGGAACTCCAGCTGACGTTTTTTTAACTTTTCAAAGTTACTTCTGTTTTCTACAGTGAGCTTTTTGAGTACAAAAAAAAGAAGCCGTGAAATACTTAATAATCATCTGTGGAAAGACAGTGTGCCGAGTATTATGTGAACAAGATAGTTCTTGTTAGTGCCCCTTCCTCTCTGCCTGTGGTGGGAGGAGACTCGAACCCAGCCCGCTCTGCCCAAGGCCAGTGCTCCAAGACGTGTGTGCGCTGTTCCACGGACGTCCTGGGGACGCCAGCGGCCCAGGGCTGGGGAGGGCTTGGAAGGCTGTGGCAGACCCTGAGGGTGGGGACCAGGGATCTCTGCTTGGTGAGGAGCCGGGAGGAACTTGGGTTGTGGGTGACTGTGGATAAAGCTGGAGATGCCCGCGATGTCGTGTGACAGGGGCCCGGGTGAGACGTGGGCCCACAGGGAAAGCTGAGGTGGGACCCACGGGAGAGTGCTGACGCTGAGGGTGAGCAGTCGGCCGGTGAGACGTCGGGGTGTTTGTAACAAGGGGATCGAGGGGCGGGAGGATCGCTTCTCTGCCTGCTGAGAAGGCGTCTCCCAGGGCAGCGTGGGAGGTGGAAAGGGGTTCCAGGAGGCATGAACGGTGTGGTCTTTTAGATGAGAAACTTCTGGAAAAGCAGTGAAAGTCAAAGGCGGCTGCTATTTCGGGCTCAGTACAGGGAGGCCAGTGAGGAGCGCCTGGAAGAAAGTGGGGAAGTCCCGTGGAGTGTGGGGGTGGGTATCGTGAGTTCATTTTAACGTGCTGAGTGGGAGGTAAGGCTGACCGGGGAGCAGGGACCTGGAAGGTGGCCCCGCACGGGGGGAGGTCAGGACACAGAGCCCTGGGGGTCTGGTTGGCTGCCATGTGGTCCTCCACGTGGTGGCACTGAGTGGGGTCATCGTTCCCTGCTGGGGTAGCACGGGCCCTGGACGGAGCTGTGTAGGGCACAGCCTGAGGGAGTGCCCGGGCCACCTGGTTTGATCACGTGGCGTGGGGACACACGTGTTGTCTCTGGCCACTGTCCCTCTTCAGGGGCAGACCGCATGGCTGGTAACTGAGAACCATTTAATCTCTGGCCCTTGAAGACAAAGACTCCAATTACAGGGTCAGTCGGAGTTGTCACTGAACCAAAACCAGGTGCTGCACAGCTGGGTGGGCTCGACATAGTATGTGTCGGGGCCGGGACGGACGGCGTTAGCCGCCTCTCGGAGCTGCTTGGCGTGCAAGCCAGGGCGCCTGACCGTGCTGGGAAGGAGGGCTGGCTGGGCAAGCCAGGGCCAGAGGCACGGACGCGGGGTGTCCCTGGGTGGGCGGCTGAGCAGTGAGTGTGCAGAGAGACAGACAGACATGCTCAGGGAGAAGGGCTGGGGCTGGGGTTGGTGGTTTGTGATGGCTCTAAGGATACCTAGACGAAAAAGCAGGGGTTGGGGGGGACTGTTCGGAGGCTAGTTTTGGACATCTGGGCCTTGCGAGTTTGGCTCGCCTGGCGTGTGGCGGGATAGAGGTCCTGCCCGCTCAGCATGCTCAGCGCGTTGTCTTTAATGCCACACGTTTTGTCTCCCGATCCAGACGACGGCGCAGCTGCGTCCCCTGACCTGGGGGACATGTCTCCCGAAGGGCCGCAGCCCCCGATGATCCTCCTGCAGCAGCTGCTGGCCTCGGCCACCCAGCCGTCCCCGGTGAAGGCCATATTCGACAAGCAGGAGCTCGAGGTACCGCAGCGTCGCCAGTGGCTCGGCCCCTGCACCGTGCTGGGTGGACGTTGGCTTTTTCCCTAGGTGTGAATGTTCTCGCTCATAGGTTCTTTTTTTCCCTTATTTCTTTTTTTTTATCCCAGCATCTGTGTCCCGTGTGGCCCCAGGACGGTCTCTGCCCCTGAGGAGCTCAGGAGGCCTCTCTCCCGATTTGTCTTGAATTTTAAATGCTGTGTCACGTCGGTCTTAGTCGTAGCCTGTCGTCATACTAGTTAGAGAAGGGGGGGTTGGGATTCAGCCTCGTTGTGCATTGTTTGAAAAGATTACCAGGCTCAACATGGGTTAATGGTCCAGTATTCCCAGAGAGATCTTTTTCCAGGAAATACTGCTCTGGAAGGAGCTCACGTGACCTGTGAGGGTCGCACTGGCTTGTTTGTCTCCTCAGTCCAAAGCTTGTCTTGGACATGCTCTGTTACCGCCAGGTTCTGGGCCCTCACCCCTCGCCCTGCCTGCTCCTGCACTTCCAGCTGCTTGGGGGCCGGGGCTAGGGGCGTGTGTCCCCAGAGGAGGTGACACGTGACTGGGTCTGAGGGTGGCAGCCGTCATGGCCTGAGATGTGGAGAAGGAGATACGTTTAAAAACTCTTCTTGCTGCTTAATATATAAACAATTCTTGATAAAATAACAAAGACAGAAGAGCTCAGTCCCCAGTGCGTGGTGGCGCTCAGGGGGCAAAGGCCAGAAATGGTGGGTATGGGGGTTCAGTGCCCTGGCCAGCCACTGGTTAGGTCTACAAAGCTCGAAATGATAGCAGTGACCTCAGCATGGCCGGGCCACCAGGCAGCCGCGAAGATAGAAGAGGACACTGGGCGTTGAGGGAGGGGGTGCTGGGCAGAGCGCGCCCCAAGTCACGCCGGGGGTCCCCAGCGGTGAGAAGAGAGGCAGGGAGGAAACCAGGGTGAGGGGCTGTCCTGTGGGGACCAGGAAGGGCTGTTGTCCCAGAGAGCACGTTCCGTGTTTGTCTCCCGTGGGTCTTGTTCCGTGTGGCAGGTCGCATGCCCTTGGCCTGCGGTCTGCGCGCTGTTTCCCTGTGGTCCTCACGGAGACGTGCCTGCGTGTGCGTGTTCTCCCCTGGGCTCCTGGGCTTGTGCTTGAGTGCCCTGACTCCCTGGCTTGGTTTCCACCCCTGCCCCTCCCAGTTCGGAAACCGCTGACTATGACGTTCTCTCCTGTCCCACACCCACTGTTGTCACCCACGTCTGTCACTGCACAGCTGCCAGCCGTGCGGCAAGGCTCCGTGTGAGGCCGCTCCGTGTGGTGCGCCCGCTTCCCCGGCTGCGTGGATCTCTCGTGCTCTGCACTTGGAGGCAGGCCGGCTTCTGGTGGGCGGGTCGAATTTCTTTGTTGCTGATTCTGACGTCTGGGCCGCCTGGCGGTCTGCTCTTGGTGGTCTTCTCTCTCAGTTACACTCCATTCCTGGTTCAGCCTTCTTACATACCTGGCGGTTTTTACAGCGTCCTGGGCATGTCACATGTCGCATCGTAGTGGCTCTGGGTTCTGCTGGCGCTGGGCGCAGGACTCCAAAGTTTATCTTGCGGACAGTTTGGTACTTGGCAGCCCTGGGTTTCTTCCCAGCCCGTCCCTGCCGTGCTCAGTTTGATAAAACAGTACCGCAAGGGCACCTGCACCTGAGGCCAGGTTGCAGGTGGGTGGTGGGGTCGGGGTCGGGGTGGGGGCGCTGTGTGTGCTGGAGGAGGGGGCGGAGCTGCCCTGCAGTCCCAGCATCTTGTTTCTTGTGTGATTTCCTCACTGTTCTTCCTGCCTCACTTGCAGAGTGGTGCTTCGCCCTCTGCGTGGCTGAGAGCAAACTTGGTGGCACACGAATCCCCATGTCATCTCCGGCTGGTTGTCTAGAGGGAGAGGGTGGGAGGTGGCAGGCGCTGCTTTGTCCCAGGGAGAGGGGCCCCCGCTCCCTGCCCTCGGCCCCTCCCTCTGCCTTCATGCCCTCAGCCTGCATCCTGCCCAGCACTCAGGGCTGCTGCTTTGACCTTCTCTTTAGAGCGCGTTGAGCACTGGCTAAATTCCCAGGCTCTGTGTGTGTCGGGGGGAGTGCATAGGCCATCGTGTTTTCCCTCGGCATTGAACTGCGAAAGCCGCCTGTGTCGGGTTTTACCATCCTTTTGAATGCGCACGCCTGTCTGGGCTTTCTGCACATCACGTAGCAGACGCGCCGCTTCCTTAGCCCGGCTGAGGTCGCCTGGCGTCACAGCACCGCTGTCCTCTGCGCAGGCGGCCGCGCTGGCTGTGTGTCAGTGTCTGGCTGTGGAGTGCACTCACCCGTCCAGCCCGGCGTCGGAGGATGGCAGCCCCAGCGAGGCCACCACGCCCGTGTCCGCGCAGCATCTGCGCCCCCTCCGAGCCAAGAAGCGCAAGCAGTCGCCGGTGCCCGCGCCGCCCACTGTGCGTCAGCTCATGGAGATGGGGTTCCCCAGAAGGAACATCGAGTTCGCGCTCAAGTCGCTCACGGGCGCCTCTGGGAGCGCCTCTGGTTTGCCAGGTACGCGCCCTCCTCCTGGGCAGCAGGCGGCGCCCATTGAGTGCCTGCCCTCAGGACCAGCTGGCGACGCTGATGTCTGAGGGTGGGTGCCGTGGGGCCACTGTGGGTGTGCTGTGTGTGCTCGCTCGCAGGCGTGGAGGCCCTGGTGGGCTGGCTGCTGGACCACGCTGACGCGCAGGTCACGGACCTCTCGGACGCAGACACGGGGTCTGAGGACTGTTCGGACGAGGAGGTGATGGAGGACTTCGACGACATGGCCTATGCTATGGTCAGTGCTTCCGTGCGCTGCCCCCTCGCCTGCGCCCACCTGTCCTCTGTGCCGGGCCCCCCAGGGCTGCTCCAGAGGGCTCTCCCCAGTCCTGCTGGGCTTGCAGGGGCCTCGTTCCAACATCTGATGGTGTTGGCTGGGCACTAGAAACACTAAGAAATCATGCTTTATATGACACCTTGACTTCTGATCTGAATAAATTCTTTTATGGGATTCATTGGCAAATGCCTCAGGGATTTTCTGTGCTTTCAGTTTCTGAGACTCTGCTTACTGTGCTGTTGCCATTAATCTGATTTAAATGAAGAACTTTAGGCCTGGCTGGTGTGGCTCAGTGGATTGCGTGCAGGCCTCAAGGAGCCAAAAGGTCACCAGTTTGATTCCCAGTCAGGACACATGCCTGGGCTGTGGGCCAGGTCCCCAGTAGGGGGCACTCAAGAGGCAACCACACATGGATGCTTCTCTCCCTCTCTTTCTTCTTCCCTTCTCCCGCTCTCTAGAAATAAATAAAATATTTAAAAAATGATGTCTAAATGAGGAATTTTAGCTGTTCAAATATATTTTGAATTAGCTGTTTCACCTTCTCCAGGTAAACCTTATCCATGAATAAACCATTCCCTGCTCCAAAAGAAGAAAACAAAGAAAAAAATTTATAGGGAAAAATATAGAAAATATTTCATATGTTATATCTTAATATTATAGATTTCACACACTTCTTTCTTTCTAAGTAGATTTATCTGGTTCACCATTCTGAAAAACTATTTCATCCTCTGCAGTCGACCGGTGCTGTGGTAACCGAGAGCCAGACTTACAAAAAGCGAGCGGACTTCCTGAGCAACGATGACTACGCCGTGTACGTGAGGGAGAACATCCAGGTGAGGCGTTGCCCGAGGTGGGAGCCTGGCTCAGCCTCTCGGTCAGCCAGCGTCCCGGCCTCTCAGAACCTCAGCGGCCGGAGAGGGAGGCCCGGTGCCCAGCAGGGAGGTCCCTGTGGCTGAGGCCGGGGACAGAGGAGCCGAGGGTAAGGGTTCGGGGCAGGACAGGGCCCGATGACAAGCGGTGGCTGGGCCACAGCAACGTGGCACAGACCTGTGCTTCTTGGGTGGCCCCCTGTGGGATGCTTTTCAAATTCGTGTTTGCTTGTGTACGTCATCCTCACTGGCTTCAAACTTATAAAATCTAGTTGTGCTTTTCATGTAGTCCTTTTTTCACTCAAGAGCTTTCTTGTGCTACTTCTTTTGTTAGGTCACTCCAGAGAAAACCCCCAAATCGTCTCATTTCTCCTGTAGATATGTCAGTATGTAACGCGAATGGAGAAAGGATTTTAAAATGTTTTTTACCCCTGGCTGGCATAGCTCAGTGGATTGAGCGCGGGCCTGCGAACCAGAGTACCGCGGTTTGATTCCCAGTGAGGGCACAGGCCTGGGTCACAGGCCAGTTCCCAGCAGGGGACGCATGAGAGGCAACCACACATTGATGTTTCTCTCCCACTCTTTCTCCTTCCCTTCCCCTCTCTCGGAAAATAAATAAAGAAAATATAAAATGTTTTTTACTTTTTTACATTTATTTTTTATTTTTATGTTTTTTTGATTTTATTTATTTATTTTTAGTGAGAGGAGAAGGGAGGGTGAAAGAGAGGGAAACATCAGTGTGTGGTTGCCTCTTGTGCGCCCCCTACTGGGGACCTGGCCTACAACCCAGGCCTGTGCCCTGACTGGGAATTGAACCAGTGACACTTTGGTTCGCAGCCCATGCTCAATCCACTGAGCTACACCAGCCAGGGCTGTTAAATGCTTTGTTTTGTGTTGTTTTTTGCTTCATCGATTTCTGAATGGCAGATTGCTGCCCTGGTCCTTATGAGGGTGACCAGAACCTTGTTCTCCTTCTCTGTGAGGACTTCATCGGCTCCTCTGGCTTTGCTGTGTGTCGGTCACTGCTCCCCTCGGTCAGGTTGCTCTCTGGAGAGCACGCGCATCTGGGGGCACTCCCTTGCTTTCTGGCTCCAGTGGGTCTGGCCCGTCGGGTGCGGTTCCGGCCTCAGATAGGGAGCCCGCAACTCTCCAAAGACCCCTGGTGCCGCTTGTACAAGAGGGGCTTGAGCGTGCCCTCCGTGCAGGAGGAAGCCCCCCTCAGGAGTCATAATGCAACTCACAGTGGTTCCTTCATCCACACTGTGCGCTGGGCCACATCTTGTACTTGATTTCGATTTGAGGTGGGAATGATGGTGCGGTGCTGCCGGACGTACGAGGAGGTGTGCGAAGGAGACATGGGCAAAGTGATCAAGCTGGACAGGGACGGGCTGCACGACCTCAACGTGCAGTGTGACTGGCAGCACAAAGGCGGCACCTACTGGGTCCGCTACATCCACGTGGAGCTGGCAGGTGAGCCCACTGTGTGCGTCCTGTGCCTCCTCCACGGGGCGGACCTCCGGGGAGGGAGGCTCATGGCGGTGCCTTTGTCGTCGGCCTCGCAGGCTACCCCCCGCCAAGCTTCCCTTCCCACATCAAGATCGGTGACAAGGTGCACGTCAAAGCCTCGGTGACCACCCCGAAGTACAAGTGGGGATCCGTGACGCACCAGAGCGTGGGCGTCGTGAAAGGTAACCTCCCTGCGCCACAGAACTCCCAGTTCTCAACTAATGTGAACTCCTATTTGTTTTTGGTTTTTTTTACTCAAGGGCAGAAAAGCAAGTGTGAAGAAAGCCTCATGATAAATAAATAGTGTCCTTGGGCTGGTCAGTGCCCCTGACATGGGAGCGCACCTGTAGTTAAGGTCAGGGACACTAACGCATTGCATCTCAGGAGGATGTGCACCCTGGACACCGGGGCGTCTCTGTCAGTGGCCTCACAAAGGGCTAATGGGGTGTGTGCTGGGTATTTTGGGGAAGTTTCGATGAAGTGGGTTAATTCCAAGAACGGGTATCTTAATAAATGTTGTGGAAGAATGGAGCCAGGAAGAAGCTAGGATTGGCATGAGGAGGCCATTGTTCATTCCAGCCGGGGCGCCTGGCTGTTTCGGTTTGGACTGGCCAAACCAGAGCAGACACGCCTGGGCGCGGTTTTGGCTTCCCCGTCAGTCCCGGGGGGTCCTGGTCCGATGGCACTGTGCACATGCTCTGCCCAGTGACCTGCGTGTGAGCGAGCTCTCTCTGTCTGGGACCATTTTTCTTTTTTCCTCAGTGCTTTATAAAAATTCAGGACTAAACTTAATGGAAATGCGCAAACGATGGGAGTTAGGAACCTGGAAACCCAAACTTCTCCTCTCTTCATATTTAACATGGCGTTGAGCGGTTGTTAGGTCAGACAAGTAGCATGCTTTCAAAGGTGCAGTGTTAACTGTCGCCTGGGAAGGATTACACGTGCGTGCACTGTAAGTTTATCTTTAAACTCACGCAGTGTCTTAGAAATCCAGCCTTCTTCCGTTTTGTTCGAGCCTCGTGGAAAAGCCCCTCTGCGACACGGCTGCGGTTGGGAGTGGCAGCGGCAGCAGAGGGGCTGCCCGGGGGAGGGCGTTTCTCAGCTTCACAGGAACAAGTGGCGTGTTGAACCTTTCACTTGGGCTTCACATTTTTCTTATGAGATTATTAAAAGCTTTACAAACCAAACCAAAGGTAAATTGTAAAAACAAGAACTTGGCCTAGAGGTAACTAACAGTTTGGAGCAGCACGGTGCTCTCATCGGAGGGCAAGAGATGTTTTTACATCATTAACATGATTGGCGTTCCCGAAAGTACTGAATGGTGATTGACGTGGTGTGATTACAAACCAACCCACCTTGCTGTGGAAAATTCGAAACATCCAAAAGTAGAGAGAGCTTAGAGTTGAATGAGCCTCCATGTACCGATGACCAGGCCTCCGCAGTTGTCATTCCTGGCCCGAGTCTGCCCCCGCTCCCCACACCCCATGACCCCGCCCTCCTGAGTTCGAAGCTAGTCCCCGAGGTCAGGGGCTGGCATCCCTGTGAGTCTCTAAGATGGAAGCGTTCCTTGTGACACGCAGGGCACATGGCGAGGTAGAGTTTAAATTGTGTTTTAGGTTCTTACTGGTGACAAAGGTGTCTTAGGCAGTTCTGCTGTGTCCCAGCTTTCAGTGCCAATGGGAAGGACGTCATCGTTGACTTCCCTCAGCAGTCCCACTGGACGGGGCTCTTGTCTGAGATGGAGCTGGTGCCCAGCATCCACCCCGGGGTCACGTGAGTCTTTATTTGTCTGTTGCTGGGTTTGCTTGGGCGGAGAGGCTTTCTTTGGAATGGAAGTTCGGCAAGCGACTCCTCTTTTTCTTAGCATCTCACAGCTGTTCTCCACGCAGGTGCGATGGCTGTCAGATGTTCCCCATCAATGGGCCCAGGTTCAAGTGCAGGAACTGTGATGACTTCGACTTCTGTGAAACGTGTTTCAAGACCAGAAAACACAACACCAGGCATACATTTGGCAGAATAAATGAGCCAGGTATGGTAGAACGGTTGTGTTCCTGATGAGATCGTTACTGTGACAGTGAGGTGGTGACTTTGCTCTCTGAAGTTCATGTTCATGCAGCGAGCCCTGCACAGAGTGCACCATGAAGCAGGGAAGAGGGTCCTCCCTGCTGGTTGAGTGGCCTTTTTTCAGCGATGAAGGGCCACGGAAATTGCTTGCTTATCTCTCCATAAAGAACATTAACAAGACCTCAAGTAGCTAATAATGTGGTTTCTTGTGTGGATGTTCACTTGGGTAGTTGGAGAGCAAGTCTTTTTCTTTGTATGTCTTTTACTATATATATATTTATTGTGGCAGAATTTATACAACATAGGCTTTGCCATTTTAATTATTTTTCAGGGTACAATTCAGGGACCGGTACACTACTGTCTATATCCAACATGTTTTCATCATTCCAGACATCATTCCAAACTCTGTACCCATTGAGCAAAAAGGCCCCTCATCTCCTCCCCAGCCCGTGGCAACTTCTAATCTGCTTTCTGTCTCTGATTTTGGTGCCTCTAGGCATCTAGGTATCTCCTAAGTCAGGGTGTCAAACTCATTTTCCCCGGGGGCCACATCAGCCTTGCAGTTCCCTTCAAAGGACCGCATGTAACTTTAGGTCTGTATACCAGTAACTGCTCCTCAACAGTTAAGCAAGAGCCCGGCGCTGCTGCTGGGTAGAAACAAGGTGCCGGGGCTGGATTCGGCCCTCGGGCCTTGTGTTAGCCACCTGTGTCCTAGGTGAAACCGCCTGCATTTGTTTCTTGGTGACTGGCTGATTTCACGCTGTGTTCTGTTTCCAGGGCTCAGGCACATTGCAGCACGTGTCAGAAATCCATTTCTGTTTGATATGTATGTAACATTTCATCGTGTGCATACGCCGTGTGTTGTTCATCATGTATTGATGTTCATGTATGTGTTCATGTTTTGTTCAACATGTGGCCATGTTTTCATGGCCACTGGGTTATTCCTACCTTGTTGCAGTTGGGGATGATGTGTGCACATTCTGGACCAATCCCCGGGCGTCCCTGCTTTCAGCACCGGCTGAGGAGCTGCCAGAGGCTGTCCCCGGTGCCGCATCATTTTCTGTTGCCACTGGTGTGGAGGGGCTTCCAGTTCTCCAACAGCCTCAACAACATTTATTTTCCTTTTTTTTTTTTTCAATTAGAACCATCCTAATTGGTGATTTTGATTTGAGGTTTTCTTTTTTTAAATTTAATATATATTTTATTTATTTATTTTTAGAGAGAGGGGAGGGGAGGGAGAAAGAGAGGGAGAGAAAGATCAATGTGTGGGTGTGGTTGCCTCTCACACGCCCCCTACTGGGGACCTGGCCCACAACCCAGGCATGTGCCCTGACTGGGAATCGAACTGGCGATCTTTTATTTTGCATGCTGGCACTCAATCCACTGAGCCACACCAGCCAGGACTAGATATATTTCTTATACATTGTAAACAGTTTTTATAAATTTCTATGTGATGATTTTTTTCTATTATTTGGGTCATTTAAGTATTTTTTTTCATTTAAGGCGATTGCTGATGTTTTTTATTTATATTGAACAGCTTCTCACTGTTTTTATGTGTGTTCTCATTTCCTGGTCTCTTTTCTCTACTCCATCTCTGGACCATGAACGGATTTTATTATAATACTTTTCTTTGTCTTATTAAAAGTTAATAAGTACTTCACCTATTATTTAGTACTTCACCCTCCTCCTAAGCAAGCACCTCAGATCTCTTTAATTTTGTCCTCTTTCTGAATCAAATTATCATGTTTTAGAACTTTACACATATGCTTTTTAAAAAAGATTTTATTTATTTTTTTAGAGAGAAAAAGAGGGAGAGAAACATTGATCGGTTGCCTCTTGTATGCACCCGGATCGGGGACCGAGCCTGCAGCCAGGCATGTGCCCTGTCCAGGAATCAAACCCACAACCTTTTGCTTTGTGGGATGACGCCCAACCCACTGAGCCACACCAGTCAGGATGTACGCATACATGTTTTTAAAAATATTTTATTTATTTATTTTTACAGAGGGGAGGGGAAGGGAAGGAGAAAGAGAGGAGGAGAAACATCAGTGTGTGGTTACCTCTCACACACCCCCTACTGGGGGCCTGGCCCACAACCCAGGCCTGTGCCCTGACTGGGAATCGAACTGGCGACCCTTTGTTTTGCAGGCTGGTGCTCAATCTACTGAGCCACACCAGCCAGGGCTACACATACATTTTAAACTATGCAAGACATTAGTATTTATTGCATATTTGTTTAGATTTTTTTCACATACTTAACACTGTAATTTTTCTGTTCCTTCATCTTTCACTTTCTACCTATTATCACATTCCAGTCACCTGAGGAATAGCCCTTCATACTTTACTTTTCTGTGGTTATGACTTTTTCTATGTTCCTGAAAATTTCTTTATTTCTCCTTCATTTTGAAAACTATTGTGCAGCGAGTTGTCTGCCAGCACTTTATGCACACTGTTCCATTGTCACGCAGGTCACGTTATTTCTGTGGAAGCATCTGGGGGGGTGGCTGCTGCTCCGTCCGTGCCGGTCCGTCTCGGCACTGCCCCTGGCGCTGCGTCTGAGATGGTCTTTCGTGTTTCTCTGACGCATATTTTACGTGTGTGTAGAGCTTTGTAACGTTGTATCTTTGGGTCAGTGGGGCTTTTTAGTTATGTATTTTGTGTTTTATTTCTTTTTCTTCCCACCTTGTGACAGTTTAATTGACCCACAGCGTTGTGTGAGGTAAGGGGTTCAGTGTGGTAACTGGGTGCAGGGGTACGTTGCAAACGGATCCCCGCAGTCGGACCAGTGAATTAACACCAGTCTTATCACACCTGAGCTAGACCGTCTCTCTCTCCTGTAAGCCTTTCACCTTCCTGTTTACGTTCTCTAAACTTTCACTCCTCAATTCTTCTAGATATTTTTTACTAATTGACTTTTCATATGAGTCTCCTCTGATAGTAAACCTGTTCAGTGAGTTCTTCATTTGGTTACTGGAGCATTTCTCATCTTTCTGTTGTTTTTTTAAACATAGTTTCTGAGTCTCTGCTGAAATATTCAGTGTTTTACTGTTTTGAACATTTGAAGTGGACTTATTTTAAAATCTGCGTATCGTGTCTCCATTTCTGTCGTCTCTTCTTTCTGGTGGTTTTCAGTCACGGTCGTCAGTGTCCTCACGTGCCATTGCCTACTGGACATTCTATTGAAAAATGATTTCTTGAATCAGTTTGAGGCCTAAGCGATCTCTCCAGTAATCGGGGGGAGGGTCGGCCTTTCTGGGAACTTTCTGGTAACTGGGATTGATAACTCTCTAGGCTCGCCTGGGTCCCATTGTATTCAGCGCTGTGGTTTCACGTGGAGCCGTAATTAGTAGAAGCCGTCAAACAGCCCTGCGTGGTCTGCCCGTCCTCTGGGCTTCTTCCTGCTGGGATCTCAGCCCAAAGCGTGGGTTTCCTGTGGTCCTCTGGTGGTGGGCTCCGGACTCCAGCTCCTGGCCCGCCCCCCCCCCCCCGACCGCCGAGCCTGTGAAGAGTACTTGCGGGCTCTCCTTAGAAAGTGCCACTCGCCCCAGGGAAAGTAGCCTGTCATCGCCAGCGCAGTGCCCCAGGTCCCTCCTTCTACCTCAGATTTCCTCGGACCCTCAGGTCCCAGTCCCATTACCCTCTGCCACCCAAGTCACTGACGCTTTCGAGATGCATCCGCCTTTCAGTGTTCGTCCACCCCTCACAGCCTTCCTCGGTGGGAGGAGTTTTCAGATTTGTGGTCAGTGGAGGAGGAAACCCTTTGCACGTTTGCTTGTGCTTTGCGTTGTAAAGGCGTCTTTAATAGTAGTGCTCCCGGTGAGCACTGGCACTGCACTCCTCCCCGGCCCCGGATCGCCGCCCCTGGGGGCTGCCAGGAGGGTCTCATGGCACAGACCACAGCGGTGTGTGAGCTGCTTCTCCTGGCGGCCGGAGAGTGTCTTGCCTGGGTTTTCTGGAAGCCATTTCATTAGCTCCTTTCAGTTTGTGAGCTTCAGCATTGCTGTGAAGGAAGCAGCTCGTCGCCGTGCAAAGCAGCTTTCTGTCTCGGTTGTGACGGTCCCGCCCTGCTGGATTAACAACACTGTTTGGTCACCACACACAGGACAGTCGGCCATATTCTGCGGCCGGTCCGGGAGGCAGCTGAAGCGGTGTCACAGCTGCCCGCCCGGGACGCTGCTGGACAGCTGGTCCCGCATGGTGAAGTCCCTCACCGTGTCGTCCTCCGTGAACCAGGCCTCCCGGCTCATCGACGGCAGCGAGCCCTGCTGGCAGTCGTCCGGCTCGCAGGGGAAGGTAGCGTGTGCGCGCCCAGCCCTGCACCCTGCCCCTCACCTGTCGGCCCTGCACCTCTCAGAGCCGCAGCTGAACGCTGGAAACCTGCTCGGTTACGCTGTGACTTTGGCTCATTAATTACTTTAACTGCGCCGTCCAGTTTTTATTGTCAGAGATTTTAAGCAATACAGGTGACAGATTTTATCTCTATCCCATTAATAAAGGGCAGAATACGGTTCTGTTTTTACTCCCCACCGTGAGCTATCTGGTCAGATTCCGCTCTGGTTGGAAACATCTCTCATAGGTCCTATCTGACCTTTTGGATGTTACTGGATTTGCACCTACATGTGGGTCACATACTCTGGACATGCAGGTCAGACATGGGGCGAGGGGCTTTCTCTCCACCACGTGGACCCCCATGCCTGCTGTTGGAAGGCTGTGCAGGATCCGCCCTGGGTCCCGATAAGCAAGTGAGGAAGTGGAGTGCTGTTGGGCTCCTGCCACCGCAGAGGCTGGTGGCCATGCCATGTGATATATTCTCAGGCTTGAGTTGATTCTATTTTTTTTTAAAGTTTTTTAGAGAGAGGAGAAGGGAGAGAAAGGGAGGAGGAAAGAGGGAGAGAAACATTGATGCGTGGTTGCCTCTCGTGCGCCCCCTACTGGGGACCTGGCTCACAACCCAGACATGTGCCCTGACTGGGAATTGAACCCGAGACCCTTTGGTTCTCCAGGCCAGCACTCAATCCACTGAGCCACACTAGCCAGGGCTTCAGTGATATTATTTTAGCAGCTGAAATGTACTAACTGAGAATTCTTTTCTTTAAGCACTGGATCCGTTTGGAGATTTTCCCAGATGTTCTTGTTCACCGACTGAAAATGACCGTGGACCCGGCGGACAGCAGCTACATGCCTTCCCTGGTGGTGGTGTCAGGTAGTGCGTTCGTGAGCTCGGAGACCCTCGTCTGTCATACAGCAAAACCCGCCGGTCTGATCCCCTCTCTGCGCCCTTTCCTTCTAGGCGGGAATTCCCTGAATAACCTAATCGAACTAAAGACAATCAATATCAACTCTACCGACACCACAGTGCCCCTTCTGAGCGACTGCACGGAGGTAAGTGGGTGCAGTGGTGCCCTGTGGTGATGGTTTGCAGGTGACGACTAGGTGACCTTTTTGACCTTTTCCATGGGGATATTGAACCCATCCCCCACCTTTGAATTGTATTTATTTTAGACTTTGGCATGCACACCACTGCGATTCAGGTCAGCTTGAAAGGGAAGCAGATAACTTACACCCTCGCCCTGGTGAGAACTGGCTGCAGGGCGCCTGGTCGAGTCTCGAGGAGGCAGGCGGTCTGCTCTGTGCACTGGATGCAGTCTTGTCCTTGACCATGTCTGTCTGTGTGTGACGGTTTTTTGGGACCACGCGCCACGTCGCAGCTGCTTTTTGTTTGCACACCTCCTGGCCTCAAGGGCTGGGCTTGTCGTGAGGCGCTGAGCTATACATTGGTTTTGATGGGTAAGGAGGTGATTTTCCAAATGCATCCAAGTGTATGTTCTCTCTTGAAAACTCCGTCTGAGATGCTCGATGAGGGTCATTTTAAACAGCGCCCTGTGTCACCGAGCGGTGAGACCGCCTCTCACGTCTTTCCACCAGTGCCAGCATCGTGGCAATAAACATATTTAAAGTAATACAAATTAAGATGGTTTTTTTGTCCTGCCAATAACTGTTGTCTGGTGAGGACACTACTTGCTAAAATGATACTGAATAAAGATATAAAAGAATTGACTTTTATTTATCTAATATTCAGTGAGTTTATTTTTAAATGAGTAAACCAAGTTTAGCAATCGTTATTATTATTTTTTAAGATTTTATTTACTTATTTTTAGACACAGGGGAAGGGAGGTGGACAGAGAGGGAGAGAAACATCAATGTGTGGTTGCCTCTTGCACGCCCCCTACTGGAGACCTGGCCTGAAACCCAGGCATGTGCCCTGACTGGGAATTAAACCTGCCACCCTTTGGTTCTTAGGCCAGAGCGCAGTCCACTGAGCCACACCAGCCAGAGCTACCATTCATTATTATTTTTACTTTTGGTCTATGCAAATAAAGGCAGACAAGGTCTATTAATGTAAAAGAAGCTGATCCACAGCCATAGGTTAATTCGTTTGGGTGAGAGGTTGGTGTCTTGCATATGGAGTCGATGGGCTATGCCTGTTCCTTTCCTGAGGCCCCAGATTTGATGCTCCAGCCTTATGTTACCTGGAGGCTTATTGTTTTTGTTTATTTTCTTTTAGTTTTCAGCAAATAGAATTGGGGGGCACCAGTCATTCCTGAATGTCGCTGAACCGTATTGTAACATACTGTTTGGTTAATTAATGCCAGTGGTGTTAATAAATGAGTGCATTGTCAAATTATTAAAATGAAAGATAATACTGAGTTTGTCTAGAAAAGGATACTGAATTTTAGTTTATTATTTTATTAACAGTAGGTAACTAAACACTACTTGTCTAATGTATTATAGTCCTGAGTATTTTTGTATTTTAAGGAAATTAACAGCTACAGAGTTAATTAAATCAGTCATTGAGATTATTATTCATAAGAGATGCATTAACTTTAATCCAATCAACTGTCAGACAGCAAGTTGTAGAATATTTGCTGAGCATAGAATAGCATATATCACATGTATGAGCTGTATGAAGCATCTTGAAGAATCAGAAAACTCATAACCCACTCTTCATCCCTCCAAGCCACTTAAGAATTGGCATAGCCTTGGTCAGGTGGTTCAGTTGGTTGGCTCATTATCCCATACACCACAAGGCTGTGGGTTCGATCCCTGGTGGGGGCATGTGCAGGAGGCAACCATTCGATGTGTCTTTCTCACATTAGTGTTCCTCTCTCGTTCTCTGTCTCTCTCCCTGGTCCCCACCTTCCTCTTTCTCTCAAATCAATAAAAACAGCCCTGGCTGGTGTGGCTCAGTGGATTGAGCACCTTCCTGTGAACCAAAGGGTCGCTGGTCTGATTCCTAGTCAGGGCACGTGCCTGGGTTGGCGGCCAGGTCCCCAGTAGGGGGCGCAAGAGAGGCACCCACACATGGATCTTTCTCTCCCACTCTTTCTCCTTCCCTTCCCCTCTCTCTAAAAATAAATAAATAAAATATTAAAAAAATAAAAAATAAAAACATGCCCTGAGGGGAGGACTGAAAAGAAAACACCAGAATATTACCATTCTGTGAAGCTACCAGCCATTGAAGCATTACCTTCCCTACAAAAAGGCCTGCCACGGGGTTTTCTGCCGCAACCAGAACGGGAAGGCACTGCGTTCCCCACGAACCTAACGCCAGCTTCAACAGTCACCAGCGTTTCTGCAAATCACGTTTCACTCTCTCTCTCCATCTGGCCACTCCCACCGTTTTTTTCCTTCTGGACGCTTTCGAAGCAGGTCCCCAAAGAGCCCTCATTTCAGTAGTGTGCGCTTGAGCGGTCCTGTCTCATCAGGACTAAGCAGTGTGGCCACATTGCCGTAGGCACACCTCACCGTCACTAACAACATGTTTCCCCCCCGTCAGTGTCGCGGTTTCCCAGGTATCCCGTTCACGCCCATTTGCGGTCTGTTCGTGGGAAGCATGATTCACACAGTACCTGCAATTCCCACTTCATCCCCTTGCTTTTCAATTCCCTTGCTTTTTCCCTTGTGGAGGAAAGAAAGGGACTGGGTCTTCTCCTCCTGTAGAATTTCTCATTTCTCAGTTTGTATTACCCATCCCAGTGGTTTGGTCCAGCTCTGCTTCCTGCGACGTTGTAGATAGACCTGAGGTCTGAGCAGGTCCCAGGGAGAAGTCACTGGCAGCGTGTGTGTCCCATGCGTCCCACCGTGTCGGTCCACTCACAGGAAGTCCGGGGGCCGAGGGAGGAACGCAGTGAGGCAAACATGTCTGGGGTGGTGGCAAAGGCGTCACAGACATGTTGTAACTCCTCTGGGCCCCAGTTTGAACAAACCAGCGACACAGAGATGCTGATGAGACGATCTGATCGCGGGCAGTGTGTTAGATGGTACGAGGGGGTCCCACTTTGGCTATGACGGCCACAGCGTGGAGGTGTCTGCATGCCCATAGTTTAGTTTCCGCCAACGTACCAGAGCAGCCCGCTGCCTGAAACTCCCTGAAGGTGACCCACAGCGGAACAAAATCGGTTGTGCATTTGAAGTTGCTCAGCTACGTGATGGAGTCACAGGGCTCTTTGTACCGTCACTCTAATTTATAAATACTCACACATTTTCATTACATTTTAAAAGTCACAGAGCCTCTGTGAACTTCCTGGCCTTGGTCTTTTTTTCTTAATACATCTTGGTTCAAGAAAGCTTTGAGACAGAAAGCTTCCTGGTAGCACAGTGAGGCTCTCAGAGTGTTTCATTCTCATAAGAAAACCCACGTGAGTCCGGTACCCTTGGGAGTTGACTTCTTTTGAAGGCAAACCCTACTCCCACTGCCAGAAGTTTCCTCGCTGGCTTGACACCTCCAGGGCGGACGTCTGGGAGCTCTGACGTTGCGCGCGCTCCACGTCTGATGCGTCCTGCTGTCCGCTGCAGGCACCGAACGAACGTGTCCTCCGCAGAAGTCTGCAGCTCTCCGTCTTTGTGTCCAGTATCACAGGTACATCGAAATCGCCATAAAGCAGTGCAGGAGCTCCGGCATCGACTGCAAGATCCACGGGCTCATCCTGCTGGGGCGCATCCGCCCGGAGGAGGAGGATTTGGCTGCGGTCCCGTTCTTGGCATCAGACAATGAGGAGGAAGAGGATGAGAAGGGCAGCAATGGGAGGTGAGAGGCACTGGGTTCTGCTGCTGATTTCAGAATTGGCACTTCCGCATGTAAATACTGAATCAGTGTCTCCTAGGCACAGTAGTTAGACACCTGCGGGAATGGCAGACACCTATGGATTCGCTCGCAAAAATGATCATTTGATTAATTTCAGGGGCATGTTGAATGTAGGAAGCACATTTTATTTAGAGAAATCCCACTAAAACGGGGAACTAAACATATTTAATTATTCTATTTGAAGTATCACGTCTAATACTTCAGTGTATGTATCCTTGTTTTTTTAAAATTTGTCCCTAATTGTATTTTCCTATGGACACGGTATGGCGTATGTTTCATAGCCTTCTTTGCTAAATGTTTTATTGCCTACTTTTGAATTTAGGAAATGTGTTCTGATAAAATACACGTGACAGAGTTCCCCAGGCGGACTGTTTGGAAGCGTGCAGCCCGGTGGCATCACGCACGCCGCGCGCTCTCGTAGTTGCGGTCGTCGCCGCCTCGGCCTTCCGCGCCCTGGTATCGCTGTGCAGAGTTACCTGGAGCAGGGTCTCCTCTCCCAGTGCTCTCGTTTCCTCCCCCGAGGTGGTGACTGGTGTACGCATGCGCTCACCACGTCTGCGTTGCGCCCCCTGTGGGCTGGCCCTCCTTTCTGTCTGTGGGTGCCAGTGCAGGGGGTGGGGCGCACAGAGTAAGATCAGAGAGACTCAAGCACAGCCTAGCGGCCTCGCAGCCGCTGGCGTGCACAAAGAGGGAGTGCTCCGTGCTTTGAGGCTGGCTAGGAGCCTTGATCTGTCGGTCCAAGAAGTCTCTCCAAAGGTTGACTCCTGGGAAAGGTCAGTTATCAGAGTGGAGTGGGTGGGACGGGTGTGTCTGGCCAAGGAGCAGCCTGTACCGAGGACCAGGGAAGCTGGCTGCCCGGCTTGCCTGCCTGTGTTGGCTTTCCGTGCTTAGGCGTGGATGCAGAATTTAGTGGGGGAAGGGCTGTCTCAAGCCCCGCTTATCTCCCGGTAGCAAACAGCGACCCTCACTATCCTCAGATAAGCTGTATTTTCCTAGTTCAGTTGCCAAAAGTGGAATTGCTAAGTCGGAAGACAGGCAGAGCCTGTTGCTGCACGTTGGGGACGTGGCTGCCTCCTGGGCTGTGGGCGCTGCAGGCCCGGCCTGCCACCCGCCCCCCTCCCGCATGTGGCCTCAGTCCTGTGTCTCCTGCCAGAAAAGGGCTCTGTGTTCGAGTGTCGAGACCTGTGGTCAGATTGAGGGATTTCCCAAGGGCCCTGTGATTGTGGGTCTGGGTTCTGTCCTGTTTTATTCTGAAACCTTTGCACAGCAGTTGAAAAGGAAATAGTGTGTGTGACACCACCTCATCTAGAGTCTACGTGACACTGTCTGATACACTTCAAACTGATTGTAGCTACATACGTGAATTAAGGGAAATGGCAGTTTACTTAAATAAATCACAGGGTTTTCTTAAGAGAAAAGGATTATACATTAGCATTTTGTTCTTCAATAGCCACTCAAATGAACTGGGCAAATACAGTCAGTACGTGAACTGCAGATGTGAAGTACCCAGAACCTCATTGATGACATTTTGACCTAACTGATTACAGTAACAAAAGAACTTCCAGATATTTGAATGTAATTTCTTTACTGTGGGGTATCATTCATTAGCTGATGACTGGAGGGCGAATGGGTGGTTCAGGCCATCTCTGGCCATCTCCCAAGGGGCAGCTCCTACCTGGGCTGTGCCCACAGTGACCACCGCTGGCCCTGTTCCAGCTGGTCGACGTGCAGGTGGTATTGGCCACTGTGTGTCTGGAGTAGGACTCCAGGTGTCCTGTGCATATTGTCAGCTAAAAATGTGTTCTGAGATGTTCCAGGTAATTGCAGCGTGCATGGGCTCACTCTCCAGTGCCTCTCGTATCCGATGAAAGAGTTTTCCTACATTTTTTTAATCCCCAAACCATAAAAGTTTGACCTTTAAAGTCAATATTAAAGAAACCTTACCCATCTAGAACCTGCTCAAGCCCTGGGCTTCCATTCTGGCTTATAAAAGTAGAACAAAGCAAGCAAAAGCCAGGAACCACCCACGGAAGAAGCACATGGTTAGCACCTGGCATCAGACCACCCACCTGGAAAATGCAACCCTGTCCCACGCACTTCGTGGTCCCAGGAGTTCCGGACAGGGAGTGCTGCGTTGATAGGGTTGCAGCCCACTGTGGACAGGCAGGGAGAGGGACAGAGAAGGTGATGGGAGGAGCCTGGGGGGGAGGCGGGGCCTCAGCCCATCTGGCCTGTGTGAAATGGAAGACGGCGGACAGATGGTGAAATGGAGGAAAGTGGTGTTTTGCTTTAGAGTGCCTTGGCGGTCACATCTGCTACATTATTTCTCCTTGGGGGTGAGGGGATGACCGGACACAGTGCCAGCCCCAGTGGTGACTCCCGGGCCACTTAGCCAGCATTCTCTGCAGTTACAACCTGTGTGTGTGTGTGTGTGTGTGTGTTGGTGGGGGGTGTCGACGGGCAGGGTCCGCTCTGAGCCTGCACACAGCCGCTGGGGCCAACATGGTGTGTCACAGAAAGGTCGCCACCGAAACGACATGCGGAAATGACACTTCAGTTAAAAGGTAGCAGGCTGAGCCCGCAGAACACGAATTCCTGTGTTTGGTGTGGGGTTTACTGTGCTCAAACAAGACATGAAAGAGTTCTCACAGTGATCGGCAAACGGCACATGCATGTGGTCTCTTCCCTTTGGTTTTAAACATGCCTCAGCGCTGACTGGCTCTGTCCGTGTCCCCTTCCCCTCGGTCAGCCTTGTCAGGAAGAAGGCGGCGGGGCTGGAGTTGGCGGCCACAATCAGGACGAAGGTGTTTGTGTGGGGGCTGAACGACAAGGACCAGCTGGGCGGCCTGAAGGGCTCTAAGGTACGTCCCTGCAGCCGCACTTGGCGCCTGCCCCGGCAGGGGCCCAGCGCCGCCCTCGTCCCGGAGGCCCACCAGCGGGCCTGCCTCCTCTACGGTGCTTTTCAAATTGGCTCTGCGGAGTAATCCTGCCGTGGATTCCGGGCTCTGCCAAAGTTAGTTTCGGGCAAGCCTCTGTTTTGGGCAAATAGTGTGCTTTAGGTCTTGTTGCATTACTACTGTTATATAAACTAGAAAATACAGTTTTGGAAAGATTTGATAAGCACATAGAAGATAACTGTAGACTATAACTGTGTTGATCTTGCCTTCGATACGTACGCAGTTTGCTCACCATGAGCGAACTAGTAGAAGTGCAGAGGTGAGACGTGATTCAGTGACTCGCCACTGCAGAGGGTACATCTGAACTGGCCCGGAATCCAGTGTCGCTTCTGTTACTCAGTGTCTCTCACCCAGGGAGTCACAAAGCAGTGCCCGCCATTCCTAGTGCCGGGAGCAGCTTCTCTGTGACTTGGCCGTTGCGGGATTTCTCATCACCTGCTTTGTGGGGACGCTGAGCAGGAACGTTAGAACATATTTATTTGAGTCTGTCCTTTTAAGCGCATTTGTATCTTTATTTGCAGAGCCCTGGACCCACTCAGAGGTGGGCAGGGGCAGCAATCCCTGAGAGCTGGTCGTGGTTGTGGGGGCAGCTGGGGGGTCCCCGACACACACCATGTTGGCACGTGCCTGGGAAGGGGAGGTGTGGCGCCCCCTTGGGGGAGTGGTGCAAACCCTCTGCCACCCTCAGAGCCACTGTTACACAGGAGTGGGAACGGGTCCCTAAGGGCTCTGAGAAATTTAAATTAGCTCACGTGCATCGGAATGGGAAATCTAAACTTTCCGGGGATGCCAGAGTCAGTGAGAATAGGCAGGAAGTGACCTGAAATACGGTGTACTTTATCAGGTGTTTGTTTAAATCTTTACATTATATGTGTTTATTTTTCACCTGTAATCACAGAGGTGTTTAAATGTACCATGTAGAGAGACTAGGTCCTTGTCCCAGCATCCCTGTGTCCTGGTCCCAGCACGTAGCAGTCACCAGCAGATGGTCACGGCTTTGCTTTTATTTTCTACACATCCCACCCCTGTTTATTTTAGAGTAAATCTTAGAACCTCATCTCATCCTTAAAACAATGTGTATCCCTAAGAGAAAATAACCTGTGGTTAATGTCATCGTGCAAGTTAACAGTAATTCCTTGTATCATCTAATAAGGTTACTTATAGTTTTAAAAGTGTAAGTAAAACCATCTTTTTTCTCCTTCTGCTCTCATGAAACATCCTGTTCTAGATAAAGGTTCCCTCGTTCTCCGAGACGCTGTCTGCTCTGAATGTGGTTCAGGTGGCTGGCGGCTCTAAGAGTTTGTTTGCAGGTATGTATAATTGCTCCTGTATGAACATTTCTGGGAGTTGTGCTTAGCACTAAAAACCAGTTGTCGTGCGTGAGAAGTGAGCCCTGTCCTTGCTCTGGTTCCTGCAGTGACCTTGGAGGGAAAGGTGTACGCCTGTGGAGAGGCCACCAACGGCCGGCTGGGGCTCGGCATGTCCAGTGGGACTGTGCCCATCCCGCGCCAGATCACGGCGCTCAGCAACTACATGGTCAAGAAGGTGGCCGTGCACTCAGGTATGTGCCCGGGGCTGCTGCTGGTGCTCCGCCAGTGGCTGGGGCCCCTCTGCCAGCAGCACCCCCCAGCAGCTGTCAGTCTGGGAGCCCTGGGCTCAGCGTCACGGCGCCTTTGACATTGTCCGGGCTGTGCCTGGAGGTGCGCTCTCTGTCCGGGAAGGAGCCTGTGGCTTCCTCTAGGTTCCCGAAGTGTGCGTGCACCCCAGCGATGAGAACGATCCTTTCAAAGATCACACACCATCCATTTAGCAGACCCGTCAAAGCGCCCTGTGGATGGGAACCAAACCCGATACAAAGCCTGGCGTGTGCCTGGGCTGAGGGGACATAGCCTCCTGGCAGTGGGGACCCCAACAAGGGGCACAGTTGCTTTCCCTATAATCGCCGGGGGGTGGGTCCGGGGCAGTACAGCAGCTCCATGCCCAGGTGGAGCAGGCCCCCCCAGCCCCCCCCCACTGACAGACCCCACCTGAAGCTCTTTACCACAAGCCCCACTTGTCTCTCATCTCTGTCTCCATCCTCTCTGGGCCGGGGAGTCTGGGAAGTGTAGTTTCTAGCTGAGTACATTGCTGTTCTCTTATATGGGTCCTGCGGTGAGGAACCCAGCATGATGTGGGGCGGGGGCTGGGGGCCCAGGAGCTGGCAGGGACGCCAGTGACCCTCCTGCGGGGGTGGGTGGGCTGGAGATGGGTTCTTGCTGGGGAGAGACCCAGATGCATCTTCCCGATGTGTCTGGGAGGAGTGAGCTGCCCGGCCTGCACACGGTGGCGTTTGGCCTAAGTGGGTCCCAGCTGGGGAGCCGTCCTCACAGGCTTGATTGCCCTCGCACTTGAGGGTTCGCCTGGTGACAGGCGTCCTTCCTCCTGCTTGTCCCTCTGAAATCCAATCTTGACGGATTTAACGTAGCAGCTGTCCCATTAATGAAGGACGTAATTTTGCTGCTGCTTTGGGAGTGAAATTCTTTCTAGATCTCACCCTCGTAGTTTAATAAAAGCTCACTTATGTTATGTATCCGTCCCCCTGAAATATCGGTCCCGTTTTTACTCATTTATCTATCACGTGTTCTTTGAGTGCCTCCTGCTGCCGGCAAAGTAGGCAGCTACGCCGTGACCCCCGCGTACCCCCCTCTGACGGCCGCACTGTGTGCACGTTGCAGGCGGCCGACACGCCACAGCGCTCACCGTCGACGGGAAGGTGTTCTCCTGGGGGGAAGGTGACGACGGCAAGCTGGGACACTTCAGCAGGCTGTAAGCGCGCTCCCCTCGTCACTTGCTAATCTGGGCCAGTACCGATGATAATAGCCAATGCCTATTGATCGTTCTCTCAGAAAAGTAAATGGGGGCGGGTGATTGATGAGAAGTGAACCTAAAACGTATTTTGAACATCACCCAGGAGCATGGCTGTGCCTTACACGTTCCGTATTGAGGTGTGCCCGTATTTAAGTGGATCCATAGATGTCATTTTCTTCCTCCTTTAAAAACAAGGCTGGTCGAACCCAGGGAGTATTGTCCCAACTTGCTCTAGGAACTGCGACAAGCCGCGGCTGATCGAGGCGCTGAAAAGCAAGCGCATCCGGGACATCGCCTGTGGGAGCTCGCACAGCGCCGCGCTCACGTCCAGCGGGGAGCTCTACACCTGGGGTCTCGGCGAGTACGGCCGCCTGGGCCACGGCGACAACACGACGCAGCTGAAGCCCAAGATGGTGAGTGTGCCCTTTTCTGTGGCTTACAGAACGCCTACCATCGGCGGATTTCCAGAGAACGTAAGCTTCGAGTCTGAGAAAGTCAGTGAAGACGGGTACGTGATTGGCTTTCAGACCGGCTCAGTGCCTGGGCCTGACTCTGTTCTCTCGTTTGCGGTCGAGCAGGTGAAGGTGCTGCTCGGGCACCGAGTGATCCAGGTCGCCTGTGGAAGCAGAGACGCGCAGACCCTGGCCCTGACCGACGAAGGTGCGCCCGTCCTGCCTCTGCGTTGCTGCCTGGGGAGGGACACGGGCAGACTCTGGGCTGAAGCGTGTCTTCCTTAAACCCAGGCTTGGTCTTCTCCTGGGGTGACGGCGACTTTGGAAAACTGGGCCGCGGAGGAAGCGAGGGCTGCAACGTGCCCCAGAACATCGAGAGGCTGAACGGGCAGGGCGTGTGCCAGATCGAGTGTGGCGCCCAGTTCTCCCTGGCGCTCACCAAGTCGGGAGTGGTGTGGACGTGGTATGTGTGCCGCCCTCCACCCCGCACGCCTGCTGTGCAGCTGTGCGCCCTGTCCCACGCCCACCTTAGAGGGATGCCGGCACCTTTGTCCCCTGTTTATTTCAACTCGGGATCGCTGACAACATTAGAGGAGGAGATTCCCACTGCAACTGAGTTGTTTGCAAACCAGCCCCGAGGATGTTTTAGGCCACTGTGTCTCCCCTGGTGAGGTGAGGTGTGTGTGAGGGGCCTTGGCTTTCTCAGAAGCCCGGCCATCACATGGGTGGAAGACAGAGTTCCAATTTATATTTCTGAGAGAGTTCAGGGCCAGACGGGAGTGAGGCTTCCTGCCGACTGGGGGCAGCATGAGGGGCTTAGCGGGAGCTTCATTCCCCAGGGGGGCAGCTTAGAAAGAATGACGCCTGTGAGACAGACCTGTCAGAGGCATTTGAGGTTTATTACGTTATCAATCTCTGTATACGAAAACCTGCATCGGTAACTTTGATGTTGGGAACCACACTCAGGACCTTGTGAGAGAACAGTGTACGGATTTACAGCGTCGTGTCTGAGAGCCCGGGCATGGTGGGCGGGCGTGGCGTGGGGCTGGCTCGCGTGCCCTGGCAGAGTGTCTGCCTGTGGCACGTTGCCAGGCTGCCAGCACATCCTGACGCCTCGTCAACCTCCCCGCAGGGGCAAGGGGGACTACTTCCGGCTGGGCCACGGCTCAGACGTGCACGTGCGGAAGCCGCAGGTGGTGGAAGGGCTCAGGGGGAAGAAGATCGTGCACGTGGCCGTCGGGGCCCTGCACTGCCTGGCGGTCACGGACGCGGGACAGGTGAGCTGGGGTCGGGATGGGTCCTTGTGTCAAAGGGGTGGGGTGGGTCTCTCGCTTGACGGACCAGGAGCTGAGCCGTGTCCATCTGGTTCCTGCGTGCGTCTGCCCCAGGAAAGTGTCCCCTACCAATGCATGTTATAACAGAGTGGGCTTTCTGACTCTGAAGTCCCGGGGGAAGTGTGAGCAGATTGCCACGGAAGGCCCTCCTGCTGCTAAGGTAGGAGCCGTATTTTACTTTAGGGGTGAATAGCCAGTGGGACATGGACGCGCTTCGTCCCGGAAAGAGTGGTCCTCCTCCGTGTTGGTCACTCTTCCAGTTTGAGAGGCTCTTCTGCCACAGTAGGTGCATGGGCGTTCTGTTGTTACGATTCATGTGCGACAGAAGTTAGCATGCTGGTGCCCCCCCCAAAGATGTTATTTATTTATTTTTAGAGAGAGTGGAAGGAAAGAAGAGAGGGAGATAAACATCAATGTGTGGTTGCCTCTCATGTGCCCCCTACTGGGGACCTGTCCCACATTTTAGGCATGTGCCCTGACTGGGAATCGAACCAGCAACCCTTTGGTTTGCAGCCTGGGCTCAATCCACTGAGCCACAGCAGCCAGAGCAGCACACTGGTTTTTAATCAAAATGAATGGAAAGTCAGCTATAACTTCTGGTTTTGTAAAACCAAGAAGGGAATTTCGCGAGTCCCCCGTTACCCATGGAGGCTGCGCTGTAAGACGCCCCTGGGTACCGGAGACCGTGGTCATGCCGAGCCCCGTATGGATAGCGGGTCCATGGATACGTTGCAGTAAGTGTTATTTTGATGTAGCATCGATGAGGGAGAGCATCGGTTTCTGGCCAGGGCCACCGTCTGTATGCAGTGCTCCCCCTGTCTGACTGGTGCTCCCACGTCCCGGAGATGGGCACTTTAAGTTCTTGACGTGTCGGAATTGTCCCCATCTGAGCAGGCAAGTGGCCCTGCGATGGACCAATGTCCTGTCCAGAGTGGGGCCCGCCTTGCGGCCTGAGCTGCTGGGAGTGGCTCGGGACCGTGGTTGGCCAGGGGTAACTGAGACCGTGGAGAGCAGAACCGCGTATCGGGGGACTACTGCTGCCCTTGGAAACTGAGCATGTTGTTTATGATCATTTTTCTTTGCAAATCAAGGAAAAAATAGCTCTGGCTGAGTGGCCCAGTTGGTTGGAGCATTGTCTTGTACACCAAAAGGGTGAGGGGTCGCTCCTGGTCAGGGCACAAACCTGGATTGTGGGTTCCATCTCTAGTGTGGGTGCATGTGAGAGGCAACCAGTCAGTGTTTCTCACATGGATGTTTCTCTCTCTCTGCCTCCCTGTCACTTTCTCAAATTGTTAAATATTGACTTAGTTGGGTGAGGATTAAAAATAAGATAGGACAGGAAAAAACAAGTTACCGCATTTATGAAGAGGTGCCCACGCCCCTGCTTCCCCTAAGAAAACAGTAGAGGAACTCATTGGATCGATACTAAGTTAATGATCATTTATAGTCATCGGCAAGGTTTTTGAAGTTGAAACGGAGTGTTCTGAAACGCAGGAAAATCCTGGTTATCTCCCCCGAACAGGTGTACGCCTGGGGGGACAACGACCACGGCCAGCAGGGCAACGGCACGACCACCGTGAACAGGAAGCCCACGCTGGTACAGGGCCTGGAGGGCCAGAAGATCACGCGAGTGGCTTGCGGGTCGTCGCACAGTGTGGCGTGGACGACTGTTGACGTGGCCACGCCTGCCGTCCACGAGCCCGTCCTGTTCCAGACCGCAAGGGACCCTTTAGGTGCTTCCTATTTAGGTAACGCCCATTTGTATTTTCTGACTCCTCCCGTACGGTACGGCAGCATCATTGAAAGTGTAGAGCGCCCACCTGGTGCCATGCGAGTTACCAGATCTTGTCACGTGACCCGTGGAGCTGGCACTGGGCCGGGCCTGGGCCTGTCTTTAGTGCAGCTCTTTTGATGGCTATGGGTAGCTTCCTGCACAGAGGCACCCGTCAGCTTCTGTTGCACCCTCAGCTGGGTGCACGGGGAACTTCACATCCCCAGGGGGCTCCTGGGCAGACCTCTCCTCTCTGGTCCTGTCCTGTGAACCACGCCCACAGGGGCCTTGCTCCCTCAGAGCTCTGCCTCCTGTGTTCACCACACTGCTGCCCCCCCTCACCGTCCCTTTTACCTCAGCAGTGAGCTGAGACCTGCGTCCAGGAAGACTTTACTGAGATCATGTTTTTTTTTTTTTCAAATATTTTATTTATTTTTAGAGAGGGGAAAGGAGGGAGAAAGAGAGGGAGAGAAATATCAGTGTGTGGTTGCCTCTCACATGCCCCCTACTGGGGACCTGGCCCCACAACCCAGGCATGTGCCCTGACTGGGAATCGAACTACTGACCGTTGGGTTCGCAGGCCCACTTCAATCCACTGAGCCACACCAGGTGGGGCTACTGGGAGCATCTTGTCTAATTGCCATTGTTTTAGATTCATAGCCTTACACTTCAACAGTAAGTACACATAAGTAGTTATTGTAACATTTTCATAGTTTGTACATATAACATAGATTGTTGTAAATGAATTTTGCCAAAGTTACCTACATTGTTTTGCAGTGACAGCGTACCTTCGCTGAAAATAACTTCTATGAAGTTGTAGAAGCGTAAATAAGATAAAATAAATGCATCCTTTGTACTCTGAAAAGTCACTGATGAACCTGACCCCTCAGCTGTGAAATACCAAAATGCAGACTGCGTTCTGTTTTAGAACTAAACTGAAAGATTTGAATCACGGAAATGAACCATCCGTGACCTTCCAAACTGGACCCAAACCCCCCTCTCTCTGCAGGTGTGCCTTCCGATGCCGACTCCTCTGCTGCCAGTAACAAGATCAGCGGTGCGAGTAATTCCAAGCCAAATCGTCCTTCTCTTGCCAAGATCCTCCTGTCCCTAGACGGCAACCTGGCCAAGCAGCAGGCCTTATCCCACGTACTGACCGCGCTGCAGATCACGTACGCCAGGTAGGCCTGCTCGCCGGCGTTTGGGGGTTTCGTGCTCTTTCTTACCGATCAAGTGCTCAGATGGTGTGGTGTCACTGTCTTTAAATAATGTGAGTTTTAGGTGACGTACACTTTGACGCTTGAAATTCGAATCAGAAAGCCAGTTAAAGCAGATTTGTACATTAAAGAGCATTAAGCAGGAATCTTTGGGCGCAGAGGGAGAATTTGTTGACACTGGTATTCAGCAGTGTTTAAGGTCGTTCGAAATCCCCTTCGTTCAAACGCTCGGGAGGCAGAGGTGTGGTGGCTGGATGTTTCCCAGCCGCAGGAGTTACCGGCTCTCAGCGGGTCGCGGTTATGGGCCTGACAAGCAGACGTGAGTGCTTCCAGGAACGGCAGTCGCAGGCCACAGATCAGAGAGAGGACGTGGGGGTGGGGTCCTTGCTGCCTCCTGCCAGGCGCCCCTGGGGTGCGGCTCAAACACCAAATTACCCTCCGGCTCTAATTCCCAGCCCAGGAATGTTGTGTGGGGAAATTTGGAGACTCACCCGCTCTCACTTCTGTGTTCAGCAGATTTCTCCTGTTGTGACCGTGGGCATTCAGATGTTCCGTGTTTTTCCAAAACTTTTATGTGTATCCCATGCAAACGAGGGAGTCCCCGGGTGGTGCCTGGCTGGTCTCCAGCCCGCTGCCCTCCGCCGGGGAGGGCAGCTACCCCAGGCTCCGCTTTCTCTCCTCACAGAGACGCCGTGGTGGGGGCCCTGATGCCGGCCGGCATGATCGCCCCAGTGGAGTGTCCCTCGTCCTCCTCGGCACCCGCCTCTGACGTGTCGGCCATGGCCAGTCCCATGAACGGGGACGAGTGTGTGCTGGCTGTTGACATGGAAGAGAGGCTGAGCCCAAGTCCGTGGCAAGAAAAGCGAGGGGAGGTAAAAATAAAGACGGGCAGTATTAGAGTGGAGAGGGGAAGGGCCGGGGAATCTCGTCATTCTGTCACTTAATTCGGAGTGTTTTCCTGCCTGTTGCTGTGATCCGGGGCTTGAATTAGGAAATGTCCTGTACCCTAGCTGGTGTGGCTCACTTGGGCGGAGCATTGTCCCAGAAATGGAAAGGTCGCGCGTTTGATTCCCGGTCAGGGCCCATGCTGCCTGGGGTGGGGTTCCGCCCCCTGTGAGGGCGGGTACAGGAGGCATCTGAGCGGTTGATGTCGGTGTCTCACATCCACGTTTCTCTCCTTCTCTCTCAATCTCCCTCCCCTTCTCTCTGAAGTCAATAACTATGTCCTTGGGTGAGGATAAAAGAAAATATTCTATTTAAAAAGACTTTTTAGAATGTAAATGGAACTAGACTTATTCTTTGAAAAAGTTGCTATATGCATGCCCGGGTTGGTGTGATCAGTGGATTGAGCCTGCAAACCAAAGGGTCACCAGTTCGATTCCCAGTCAGGGCACTTGCCTGGGTCACAGACCAGGTCCCCAGCAGGGGGCGCACGAAAGGCAACCACACACTGATGTTTCTCTCCCTCTCTTTCTCCCTTTCTTCCCCTCTCTCTAAAAATAAGTAAATAAAACCTTTTCTAAAAAGTTGCTATATGCAAGTCCACAGCCTTTTGCAATTCTAAAACCTTGTAACTCATAAAGCCAAAAGTTTTTGTGACTCATTTTGGGGAAAATTTAGCTTGAAGAGATGTGAGCTCATGTTAGTCTTCCTCATGGAACCTATTGTGAATAGTCCTGGGCTTCCCTGGGAACGGAAAGGCGCCCAACATCGCAGGTCTGCCCCTGACCCTGCTGGGTGGGGGCCGTCAGTGGTACAAGCACCTACTCACTGCTGTAAAGCCAGGAATGTTCCAGATGGCGGGGGGGCAGTGGGAGGCGTGTGGGAACTGTGCCTCGCGGCTGAGTTTTGACTCTTCCTGTGTGTTTCTTAAACTAGATTCTCTCCTCTGAGGACGCTGTCACCCCCTCCGCAGTGACCCCATCTGCTTCCTCAGCTTCTTCCCGGCCCTTTATCCCGGTGACCGATGACCCAGGAGCTGCCAGCATCATTGCTGAAACCATGACCAAAACCAAAGAGGTCGGGGGTTTCTCAAATATTTTCTTTTGAAATAACATTGCACGTGCATGAGGGTGGCGGGAGTAGCACATAGACTAGAGCGCGGCATCTACTGGTGTCACCGTTCTCTGTGTCCCCGGGTGCCAGCAGGCCCACTCTGTGGGGGGCAGAGCCGCGGGCACAGCCCTCCCCCTCGTCCCTCCGGTTGGGGCGTTTAACCCTCCCACCTGGGCAGGCTTTGCCTCTCGTCCTGATTGTATCCTTTCCGGGTCTAGGGGCCCCCCTCCTGCCCCAGTGTGTGTCTTTAGTGTTCGCCCTGGAACGGCTTTTCTCTGCACCCCTCTGGGGTCTGCGCGTTGTTGCCTTGCCACCTCACTGTTGCTGTTCATTCTCGCCACTTGACGAGGAGTGTGGGCCAGGCTTCTCCGCTGGAGGTTAATAAAAGCGTCTGGTGGGGAAGATGCTGTGAGCCCGTGAGAGTGCCTGCCTCCTCGTTGTGTCTCACCCACCGGTTTTCAGGACCTACCGATGGGCGCAGCTGAACGCGTTGTCACTGGGGTGTTGTCTCAGGGTGGCGTTTCCAGTTTCATTGTGCCTTTGGGACTATAATCGTCCATTTCCTGTAAGGGAGAGCTTTCCCTCCTCATTCTGTCTGTCTGTCTGTCTGTCTGTCTGTCTGTCTTGGTGTAGAGTCGCGGGATCTTATTTAATACATTACTGTCATCATTTGGTGACCAAATTGTCCCAGACTTAGCTACTGGGAGCCCCACTTGGCTGATTCCTTTGTCCTTCTGACCTGTCCCCTTGATTGTGTGAACCTCTCCTTACATGTGGCACCACAGTGTGTTCCAGATCCACCTTTCACTGTCCTGTCCCTGCCAGGCATCGGCCATTTCTCCCCGGAGCCCTGGCTCCTTCCGATGGGTCGTGAGCTTTGGAAACCACGTCAGGAAGCTTGGGGAGCCGGTTGCCGCTGTGGGTCCTCGGGGTGGGCTCCCTGGGCACATGAGCGTTGCCTTCTCCCTCCGAGTTGCCTTCTAGAGAGCAAACGGGGCTGGGACGAACTAGCACGTCAGTGCCATTTCGGCGCCCCAGGGTTTGGCCAGGCCATCGCCCTTTCTGTACTCAGGGTGTGTCACCCTTTTATATGTCACTGGGCGGGTTTGCTGTTTTGCTGAGGATTTTTCCACCTACCTCATAAAGAGTGCTGATCTGTACTTTGTGTGTGTGTGTGTGTGTGTTTTGTGATGTGTTTGCCTGGTTTGGGTGCCAGGGGAATGCCTCACCGAATGAGCTGGACAGGGTCCCTTCCTTTTCTGTTCTTTTTTTCTTTTTTTTTTTTCAGAAGAGTTTGAGGAGGATTGATGTTCATTCCTCTTTAAGTAGTTGGTAGAATTCAGTCTTTCCTTCACGGTGCCCATCACTCTTTGAGTGTTTCCCAGCCTCGTGCCTCAGCCCAGCACTCCGGGCCCAGCCAGCTGTTTCCCGCTCTGGCACAGACATCAGGTGTTTCTGCATGAGGTCTTGGTTCTTTAGTGGTGAACGGTATTTGGAAGCTCATATTTGGGGCTCCGTGTGTTCATGTTACCAGGGTCTTGCATTCACGGTCTCTCTTAGCGGATGAGCTGGGGAATGAATGTGTGGGTACTCACGTAATAGTAACGCATCAGTCCATTGATGTCTGTTTCATTGGGCATCTGCACATACTGGGAACCCCCGGTTCACGGCAGCGCAGTCCATTCTAATGACGGCACAGGATTCTTTCTAATTCTCTTCCCCGTTTCTGTTTCTGGAGAGAGTTGGCCCTGCTCTCACTGAGGCCCAGAAAACCAGGGAGAAGGGCAGAGGCGCTTGGGTGTCTGTCCTCCCTCTGAGGAGCCAGAGTTGATGGGGACCTGGAGGGGCCTGGGCCCTCCTGCATTCAGTCGGTGACTCGCACTCCCTCTAAGCTCAAAAGTGTGGGATTGCCGGCAGCTTCTCATTTATTTCTGTAAGCTGAACCCCACTGCCACTCTCCTTGGAGGCTCCCGTGTGCTGGGCAGCAGGGCTGGGAGCAGCTGCCTGGTGGGATACCCTCAGGTATCCCATCACTGTGCTGGGGCAGTGATGCTGCCCCAGGCAAGCACCTGCCTCCCTTCCTCTGCTGCAGGGGAGAGGGGGGTGTCAACACGAGGTCACTGCCATCAATCTAATGCCAACATAAAACCCCCCATCTTTATTTAGGTAAACACTTGGCAAACAGGAAATGCAGTCTCCAAACCTGAGACAAAGGGGAAGCCTGTTTCTACAGAGAACATGCTCACCTTGATCTCTGATTGGTCCATTTTATGCAAATGAGGGATCCAAATTTACATTGTTTCATTGGTCCCCATAGCACTGTCCTGATTGCTCTGAATCACACCTTCTGATTGGTCATTATGGGGTGCTCTGATTGGTTGGCAAAGATGCAAATGAGGATCTGTTGGTGGAGCACCTGTTGATGGGGGCAGGTCTCAGCCCATTGGTTGAGATATGACACCAGGAGCTCCATTATAAGGTTGGCTCAGTGGGCAGGAACACAATGAGGTATTGGGGCGGCGGGGGGTGGTGGGGAAGCTGGCAACCGCATCTGTGGCTCTTCCCTGAAAGGCAGCCTGTGTGGGAGAGGTTTCCATCAGCAAAGACCACTGGGCTCTGCTTGTGACTTTGGGCCCAGTTGACAATGAGGAGCCCTTTTGGGCAGATACTATTTCTTTCAAGGTCCACAGAGATAAATGAAGACTTTTACTTTATTTTTATTTTTTTGAAGGAATGAGATGATGGATAATGTGGTTTGCATGCCAGTGAGTCACTTCAGATAAGATTCTAGGCAAGAATTATGGGGAGGATCTAGACAAAATATGCAAAGGTATTGAGTACAAGTTTAGTTGCTAGAAAACGCCCGGGTGTATCTTGTGGTTGGGGTAGACTTCACACGCATGACCTCATCGCCAGCCTGCTGTGCAGCGAGCACCTGTGAGACCAACATGGTCACAGTATTAATTGTCCTTTGTAAGCATCCCTTCTGACAAATGCTGTTACTAATTTATAAAGTTAATTGGTGTTAGCAATAGTATGTGGTGGCAGAGATTTTAGGGGCCTTTCATTTCTTAATCTGGTATTTCATGGTCTTCAATGTCACATACAAAGTCCCTTATTTATCTGTGGTGGTCACACACCCTATGAGTTTTTGGGGCAAGCTGGTGACTATCGCATAACCTAACTGTTCCTCTTTTCACTGTTGGTCTCTTTAGGATGTTGAAAGCCAAAATAAAGCCTCGGGCCCAGAACCTCAGTCCTTGGATGAGTTCACGAGTCTGCTGGTCTCGGACGACACCCGCGTGCTGGTTGACCTGCTGAAGCTTTCTGTGTGTGGCCGGGCCGGGGACAAGGGCAGGGAGGTGCTCTCGGCCGTGCTGTCCGGCATGGGCACCGCCTACCCCCAGGTGAGCCCTGGGTCGGGGCACGGGCCCTTCTCTCCATGGGCACAGCTGCTGTTGATGTCACGTCTTATCTGGTGCTTGATTTCATTCCAGTAGGCGGCAGTCGAGGAGGATTCTGTGTAAAACAAGTCCCTTCTCTGTTACATGTGCCACAGGGTTGTCCCCAGTTAGCCTTTGATATCACTTTGAAGTGTTTAGCCGTTTAGAAATTTCTAATTGTTTATGATGTCGGATCTGCCTGGTTTCCGTCTCTGGCTTCTGGATTTTATATTATGTTGAAAATGTGCTTGCCACCGTGGTGGTGGTTAAAGACATCCACTTTTCTCTAATCATTTTTGTGGTTTTATTTATTACATCTGCCTTTTTGAGCTGCCTGAGATTTATCTTGATGGAAGGGATAAGTTAGGATCCAACTTTATTTTTTCCTAGATAGTAAACGTGTTGCCCCAATATCAGTAATTGAATTGTTCATCTTTTTCCAGAAATTTGAAAACAGCTTTTAGTCATATTCTTAATTCCTGTGTGTCTTGGGGTCCATTTACAGGTCCTTCTGTTCCATTAATCTAACTCTTCGTGCTCTAATATACCACAGTGTTTTGACGGTTCCAGTGTTCGGTGGTGCTGGGTCTGGGAGGACTTCCCGCCGTGGAAATGTCCTGTGCCCGAGCCTCCGGTGTGGTGGCCACTACCTACACATGGCCACTGAGCACTGGAAACATGGCGGGTGCACCTAAGGAACTGGAAGCTCCTTTTCTTTAAGTTAAACTTGAATTTGAATAGCCACATATGGCTGGTCTAGGGTATGAAGTCGGCGTTACATGAGTATGTCCTAGAAACAGGATTGGTCACCCCTGAGGCCCCGGGGCTTCCTTAGGGACTTGTCTGTCAGCGGGCTTGCCCTGCCCTGTCCTGCCAGGGGGTCTCATGATGTGCCATCCGTTCCTCTGGGCACCACGTCGCCGCCCCCGCACCATAAAGTAGTTGAGGACACAGTCAGTGGCTTTGCAGATACTTCATGGACTTGTTGTTTCCTGTTGTTTATTCAGGAATAACAAAAGCTACAGGTTCCTGCTTCCTAGTTTTCCAAGGCCAGTTACTTGGCATAATTCTGGTTGGTTAATGAAGGAGAACAGTCATAAGCAAAACACTGATTTGGAGACTTCCGCCAAGATGGAGGTGTAGGTAGAAACACTGTGCCTTCTTGAACAACCAAGTTTAAAAACAACAAAGTTTTAGCAACAAAAACATAGCCAAACCACAGAAAATTGAACTATACGGAAGCTGACAACAATGAACCCTTCGCCAAAGTGGTAAGGGGGCAGAGCCAGCAGCAGAGCGGGGTCGGGCGAAAGATCCACTGGACTGACCGGGCGCGCACCCAGGCAGCCAGGCGGATCCCAGTGTGGAGTAGCAGCCCACTGAGGGAGCTGTGGTCCAATTCACGCGCAGATAAATCGGTGAAGGAGCTAGCAGTGAGACGGACTGAGCAGGTCCCAGCGGCAGGAAGCGGCAGAGGGGACCACCATTGTCCCTCTTTGACCCCGGCCCCACATACAGCGTCACAAACCAGGGACCTGGGTGGCCCTGCCCTGGTGAACACTTAAGGCTCTGCTCTTCATATGTAACAGACACAAACAGATAAAAACATGGCTCAAGAACAATTCAGAGCCCCAGAGCTGATAAATCTAAGTGAAAAAGAAATTGCCAACCTATCAGATGCACAGTTGAAAACATTGGTGATCAGGATGCTCACAGAACTGGTTGATTTTAGTCACAAATTAGAGGAACATATGAAGGCTAAACTAATTGAAATGAAGGGAAATGCATAGGAAAATAATAGTGATGGAAAGGAAACTGGGACTCAGAGGAGTGGACCAGAAGGAAGAAAAAAATGACCAAATAGAAAAGGATGAAGAAATAAGAATTAAAAAAAATGAGGAGAGGCTTAGGAACTTTCAGGACATTTTTAAACGTTCTAACATCCAAATTATAGGGGTACCAGAAGGGGAAGAGGAACAGCCACAAGTGGAAAACTTATTTGAACAAATAATAAAGGTGAACTTCCCCAATCTGGCAATCGCAATAGACTTCTAGGAAATCCAGGAAGCTCAGAGAGTCCCAAAGAAGTTGGACCCAAGGAGGAACACACCAAGGCACATCATAATTACATTGCCAAGATTCAAATGGAGAGAATCCTAGAAGCAGCAAGAGATAAAGGGACAGTCACCTACAAAGGAGTTCCCATCAGGCTGTCAGCGGATTTCTCAAAATAGACCTTCCAGGAGAGAAGGGACTGGAAAGAAGTATTCCAAGTCATGAAAACCAAAGACCTACAACCAAGATTGCTGTATGCAGCAAAGCTTTCATTTAGAATGGAAGGGCAGATAAAGTGCTTCTCAGATAAGGTCAAATTTAAGGAGTTCATCATCACCAAGCCCTTATTATATGAAATGTTAAAGGGGCTTACCTAAGAAAAAGAAGATAAAACAGGTGAACAGTGAAAGGACAGCAGACTCATAGTTATCAAGGACCACACCTAAAAACAAAAGCAAACTAAGAGAACAGCTAGATCAGCAGCGGAACCACAGAAATGAAGATCACGTGGAGGGTTAGCAACAGGGTAGTGGGAGGAGGAGAAGGGGGGAGAAGGTACAGAAAATAAGTAGCATAGACAGTAGATAGAAAATAGATGGGGGGTAGGGTAAGAATAGTATGGGAAATATAGAATCTAAAGAACTTGAGACACGTGGTCATAAACTAAAGGGGGGATGGTGGGGGAGGGGTGTGCAGGTTGGAGGGGAATGAAGGGGGGAAATAGCACTGTAATGGCATAATCCATAAAATATATTAAAAAATGAAAAAAACCCCACTGATTTTGCACGAGGTTATCATGAGCGGGAAGGACTCAGACGAGAACACGGGGAAGGCAGTGGGCCCTGCAGTGTCGCGCACACGCCTGCTGCACCCTCTTCTCGGCACAGACGTCCCCTCTGGGTGCAGTGGGGACAGCGGGCATCCCCAGAGGTCGTTCCTAAGGGCTCCTCTGGCGGCCGGTGGGTGGGTGGGTGGGAGAAAGGGGGTGGGGCCTCTCTGGGGGACTGTGGGGCTCTGCAGCCGCAGTGGGGTGACGCCAGTGTCCGCATCTCAGTGACACACGGCAGGTTCAAGGGGAGCGGGGACGGAGGTAGGGTTGTTTTCAAACCGCCCTGGCCAGTGGCAAGATGCTGCTCTTGTGTCCTTCCTGGCCCTTATACTGGGGATTCTTAAAAACGAGAGAGAAAGACACTGAAGTTTACAACAATGGTGCCTACATGTTGGCAGTGCTGGTCCGTCTGCTGCTTCCTGAGCTCTCCTGTTGGTTCCCTTAGTATAAGGAAACATTTATTTTTGAAAAAAATAGAGAATAGTTTTGTTTCTTTTCAAGTTAGAAAAATGTGTGTAGGTAGGTATGTTATTGCTGTAATGATATCTTGCTTGTTTTTAAAAACAGCAACCAAGGAGTTTGTAATCACCAGTACTGACCACTGACATGATGCGAGTCACTGGAATGTTCGGGCGGAATCCAGGCCTTGTGGGTTGCAGGGCGGCCGCGGCTGCGGCTGTGGCTGGGACTGGGGCTGCCTTTCCCGTCCAGCCCCTGCTGGGTGTGGGGTCGTAGCCCTGGCACTGTTTGGCTGCATGGCTGAGGGCTTCTCTCATGCCCTGTGCTCCAGCTGGACCCCTGTGCCTTTTGGGTCCTGGCCATTCCAGTCCCCTTTCTGCTCTTTCCCTCGATACCTCTGTTCCTGAAGCCAGCTCCTCTCGCCTGGGTGAACAGACACTGTTGCGGTCACAGGCATATTGTTCCTTTAGTCAGCACCTGCTGAGTGGTCTGTGTCCTGCTCCCAGTACCTGGGTCACCCCCAGGTGTCACAGCTCTGCTGCAGGCCTTGCGCCTTTGTGATTTCATGCTCGAGGAAACCGGGCCTTCATATGAACTAGATTTCTCAGTCCCCCGAGCCCTCTGCTCTGCCACCCTGCCCCCGCAGAAGGATCTGGAAGCTGGGGGAGCAGAGGTGGCACCTGAGGACCTCCCGATTTGCATGGCGCTTCCTCTCACAGGTGGCAGACATGCTGCTGGAGCTGTGTGTCACCGAGCTGGAGGACGTCGCCACAGACTCACAGAGCGGCCGCCTGTCCTCCCAGCCCGTGGTGGTGGAGAGCAGCCACCCCTACACAGACGACACCTCCTCCAGTGGCACCGTGAAGATCCCAGGTATGCGGGTGTCGGGGGGGCTCTGGGGCTGCCGGCCCGGCCTTTGCAGCCGCATCGCAGAGCAGCCATCACCGTCTGGCAGAGCAGAGTTTGCAGTCATGTTAGAGTCACTTCTTCCCACTTTTCTCAAGAAGGCTCGTCTCTTCCAAATAAAACATGGCAGAAAACCAGGCATCGTGAATGTTTCTTAATGCCCACCAGATGGGTGCCCTAGTGCCCAGAACTCAGGGCCACAACTAGCCTGGCACCCTTCCCCCACAGAGCAACAGAGCCCCGACTTAGAGCCGTCCCTGACCGGCATTGCTGGGCAGTTTCTGTTCCCCACATGTGTATTCTCGTAAGTCTCTTTTAATTAGTGATTTCCACCTGTTAAGTTTCTCTTAACTTTTTGCCTCTGCTCACTGACTCACCTGTTGGGGAAGTGGGCCTTTGACCTGACGGGCTTCCAGGGCCTGGACGCGCCCACTCCCACCGCATGGCAGCCTGTCCCCCAGGCCTGTCTGGCCACTTGTTTGCTGCATTCGGAGGCCCAGGTAGTTGGGGCCCTTCAGCGAGACCGCTGGCTGTGGTCCAGCATCTGGAAGCTGCGGGCTCTGCTGGTCCCCGGCCTGTGATGTGATGTCGGCAGCTCAGCACCCGGGGCCGCTGGGCCGTGGGCATTGCCACGCGGTGCTCCTCAGCTTGCTTTCTTCCTTTCTGGCTTGCGCACCTCATGGGGAGACGTGGCTCCTCGCCCTCGGGCTGGTTCACCGGCGTGTCCACGGGTGGTTGGTTCCAGGACCGTCAGCGGATCAAAAGCAGCGCTAGCATTTTATATAGGATTTTTGCCTCTCTTTTCATGAACGGTTTGGTTTGTAGCTTTCCTGACTTTTTTTTTCTTGTTGTGAGTTGTTTTTATAGCTCTCCTTCCCTGTGCTGCCTTTGTCTGGCTTTGCCACCGGGCCACCTCTGGCCTTAGAGGTTGAGTTGCAGAGTGTTCTCCCCCCTCTGTCCTGGGAAGGTGTCTGGGCGGGTAGGGTCGGTGCTATTCTTTGAGTGGGTGGTAGACTCACCCGTGAAGCCGTCTCGGCCTGGGCTTGTGTCTGTCGGGTGGCCTGTTTCCTTTGAGTCGGTGGGTCTCTTCTGTGCCGGGTTCAGCCTGAGGGGGTCAGTACCGTCCACTGGACGTGCCTGTGGACATGTGCCGGGGCCCAGCAGGTGGACTTGCCTTAGGCATTGCCCTTTCCTGCACCAAGGGTGCGACTGTGCCCACCTTTGTTCTTATCCTGTCAGTGATAAGCATGAGGAAACTTGGAAGAGATACAGGCTCATTACTTACAAGGCCTGGGGATTACGTAGCACAGTGGGGCCACACGGCAAGGTCATGGGGACAGAGAGAGAGAGAGGGAGAGAGCGAGCACTCTCGTGGCTGGGGTTCTGCTTTTACTGGGGCCAGGGGTGGGGGCCTAGGGCTTCTGGGCTCGCTCTTATTAATGAGAATGAAAAGAGCGGTGGTTTAAAGTGGAGGGAGAGAAAACAAGTGCCCAAAGAGGCAGTTGTTGAAATCAGCCAAGATCTGAAAGGCAGGAGGAGCAGTGCTGGGGCGGTGCCGGGCTCTTCCACTGGGGCACAGGCACAGACGCGAGGCCCGAGGGCCGAATCCAGCCTCCACCTTGTTTTCTCTGCCCAGCACCTCGTTTCCACCTGGCGGCAGCGCCGAGCTCCTTGTGAAGAGGAAGTTACCCCCTAGTGAAGGAGTGGTTACATGTGTACAGTCCTAACATTGCATTCGGCCCTTTGAAGGCAACCACAAGGCTGATGTGGCTCCCGGTGGCAATGCATTTGACACCCCTGCTCCAGTGTCTAGTGGGTGCTTTGTAATCAGAGCTGAAGGAAGTCGGGCACTTGAATTTCAAAAAAGAAAACAAAGGCCAGGATTCAAACTACAGGGTCTTTCTAGAATTTGTTCATTTTATCCAAGTTGCCTGGTTTGTTGGCACGAACCAGCATCCCTGGATCCAGGATCCCTCGGAATCCTCTAAGTTTCCGTTGGTTGCTGGGTTCCGATGAGAAACCACTCTCCCGCGCAGCCCCTCGCCGCAGCCCTCTCCTGTAACACTCATTCTCGCCAGCGTCAGAGGTGCGGGTTTTCTGCACATGTGCAGTTCTGAGACACCAGCCGGTGTCCTACAGTGTAACGGAATCCTGATCCTCGGGGTCGGGTCAGGTCCCCCCACGTCAGGACCTGCCCCACTTCATATAAGTTCTTTGGCTTCTCTGCCATAACATTCTTAACCTGCCCCTGTCTGGTTCATTTGACATGAACTAAGGGGAGGGAATGCTGGTGGGAGGGGGGTGCAAAGCGGAGGGGAATAAAGGGGGGAAAAATATGGGACAACCTCAATAGCGTAATCAATAAAATATATTTAAAGCAAAATAAAGACAGTCGCACCTCAGATGCCAGTCAAATCCAGAAGTTCCCCTGTACTCCTTGACCAGCCCGCCCTAACTCAGGTCCCCCAGCCCCTCCTCGGGCTCCCTTGCCGCCGGAGCAGCTCGTGGAGCTCAGAGGAACAGTTACTTATGTTCCCGAGTTTGTTATACGGGATGCAGAGGAACAGTTAGGTGGAGGGGTACGTAGGGGGAGGCCTGGGAGGGTCCTGAGTGCAGGAACTCTGTCCCTGTGGGGGCGGGGCGTGTCGCCGGCAGGCAGGTGGCAGTTCCTGGAACCTCACTGACCAGGAGTGTTTATGGAGCTTAATCCGCAGCCCCTTTCACCTTCCCAGAGGCCCCTCCGTGGGGCCTGGGGCGGAAGGGTCCATCCCTCTAACCGTGTGGTCTTTCTGGTGACCAGCCACACCTTTAGTTACCTCGTTAGCATAAACGCAGGTGGGCTGACTCTGAAAGGCTTCTTAGGAATGACAAAGACACTCGGGTCAGAAAATTTCTAGTTTTAGGAGCCAGGAGGCTAGAACTACGATCAAATATGTTTCCTATGATGCCACAGCAGTGCGGTTCCTTCTTTCCTTTCTGATTATGATCATTCGTGTTTTCTGTTTTTTTCCCTCCTGGGCAGTTATGTTAAAAGTTTGTTGATTTTGCGGATCTTGCCCTGCCCGGTGTGGCCCAGTTGGTTGGGTGGCAGACTGCAAACTGGAAGGTGGATTCCCAGTCCCTGCACCTGCCTGGGTTGCGTGCGGCTCCATCCCCAGCTGGGGCGCTGTTGGGGTGTGTGCAAGAGGCGACTGATGGATGGATGTTTCTCTCACATCATTATTTCTCTCACATCCATGTGAGAGAAATAATTCCTCTCCCTCTCTTTTCCCCTCCTACTCTCTCTAAGAATAGATAAGTCAAATCTTTAAAAAATTTTTTGCTAATCTATTCAAACAACCAGTTTACAGTTTCATTAATTTTTTCCTTGTTTTCCTGTTTTATCTTTTATTGATTTTCACTACAATCTTTATCACTTTTTTCTATCTGCTATTTTAGTTTACTCCCCCCCCATTTTCTTAACATGGAAGCATAGTTATTGATTTGAGATCTTTTTTCCTTTTAATATGGTTTAAGTGACAAATTTCCCTCCAAGCACTGCTTTAGCTGAATCCTGTAAGTTACTATGTTCAGTGTAAAATATTTTCTAGTTTTCTTTTTAAGATCTTTTGTTTGAACCACGGATTAATTAAAGTGCTGTTTGTTTTGGGATTTTCCAAATTTCTTTGTTGATGATTTATAATCCCATTATAAGTACAGGATAGACATGGAGTGATTTCGGTTCTTTTAAATTTGTTGAGACTTGTTTTATAGCCTGTGGTCCTGGAGAATATTTTGGGATGCTTAATAAGAACGTACACTCTTCTTCGTTGCGGGGAGTGTTCTGTAAATGTCGTTCAGGTTCAGGTGGTCCAAAGCGTTGTTGAACTCTCTGGGGTTGTTACTGATTTGCTGTGTGTTCTGTTAGTTGTTGAAAGCTGCGTCCTGAAATCCCCAGCTGTACGTGCGGATTCATTACTCCTTTCTTTACTACCAGTTTTTCCTCCATGTGTTTCGGGGCTTTGTTGTTAGGTGTGCAGACCTGTGTAATTGTTGCACATTTCTGATGTTTGACCCTCATTTTCACTATGAAATGTTCTTTTTCAGTTCTAGTAATGTTTCTGAAAGTCTTTTTTTGTTTGTTTTTTAAAAAAATATTTTATTTACTTATTTTTAGAGAGAGGGGAAGGGAAGGAGAAAGAGTGGGAGAGAAACATCAATGTGTGGTTGCCTCTCATGTGTCCCCCACTGGGGACCTGGCCTGCAACCCAGGCATGTGCCCTGACTGGGAATCAATCACACTGGTGACCCTTTCCTTCACAGGTCCGCGCTCAATTCACTGAACTACACCAGCCAGGGCCTGAAAGTCTGTTTCGATTGTAGTAGTAAAGCCACTCCAGGTGTCCTGTGGTCATGGTGGTGTGCTGGATCTGTTTCCATCCTTTTATTTGAACTACGAGTTTGTCTTTGGCTCTGCCAAAGATCAGTTGTATCTTTAGTTGTATCTTTTTTTTTCCCAGTCTAGCCTGACCGCCTCTACCTTCTGATACGGATGGTTACACCATTCACATCTGTTGTAATTCCTGACGTGGTCGCATCTGCATTCGCCACTTCGCTATGGATTTTCTCTGTGCCTGATGACATTTTCAGTTTTTCCTTTAGTCCTTTCTTTTCTGTTAAACAAAATCTTTTTAGTGTGCCATTTTAATTCTGATGTTGATTTTCACACTTTTGTTTTAGTATTTGCTCTAGGGTTTAAAACTTTCCTTTTAATTTATCACAGTCTACTTCAGGTTAATACTGTACTTGTGGCTAAAAGTTGCAGCTTTGCTTCAGTGCAGTTCTAGTGTTTCTTCCCTCCTTTTAAAAATTAATGTATATACACTACATTTCTGTGGGTGACAAACTTACGCAACACAGTAGTTAGAACACATCGTATTGCATTATGCCAGGGTTGGGCAAACTTTCATATGTCCCAAAAATATTGTTCTGATTTTTTCCCCAACCACTTAAAAACACACAAACTGTTCTTAGCTCACAGGCTTCGCAGACAATGAAGGAGACACAGATCTGGCCTGTGGACTCCAGCTCCCTCGTGGGGGCAGTTTTGCCCACAAAGTCCCCCGACCGCCATGGATGAAAGTGAAACTACCAAGACGTGATCTGCTTGGGGAGGAAAGGTGGCCGATCCCTCAAAGGGGAAGGGCCCAGAGCCCCCTGCTCAAGGGGCTTTAATTGGGTTCATTTGCATAAGAATACAGGTGAGGATCAAACAATGGATAGCATTCAAATAACTACAGGGCTTATTTTCAGTCAGGGTCAGATAGCTAATGAACGATAAAACTTTGAGGAACAAACTTCTTGCTTGGACCCTTATCATTTAAATGAGAGCATTCTAAACAAAGCAAGTTTCACAGGATTTTATATGCTCTTTCTTAGGCCTGATTTACCCTGGATACTGCCCTTTCCAGCAAAGGGCTGCACCACCTCCCCATCATAGGTTTTAGGCTTAAGTGGATTAGAGCCAGGAACCGATTCTCCCAGACGGAAATGGGGACTCGGCCTATGTCAGAATAGCCAGGGGACGAGGGTCCATGGCTCCCTCTGTCGCAGCCCCCCAAATCCTTCCATGAGGGCCTCCCAAGTGATCATGTCTGGCTTAGCTTGCCCCCCCTCTGAGGGGTCTTACCCATCATAGACTAACCGACCAACCATTGGGGGCAGAGGATGAAGCAGAGACAAGCTTTGTCTCCTTAGTGGCGGCTCTCATTCAGGAGGTTGCATACTCAGCCTTAGCCATGGGGGGCAGTTACAACTCCTGAAACCAGGCAGAGTGGTTCCCAACATTCCCTGAGCTCTGCTTTATGCAATATTTTGTCTTTCAAGAATAGTAAGGCTAGAAAAGAAGAAAATACTTACCCTCTCTCAACCCCCACAAATTTGCCATGTCTCCCTTTTTTTTCTTGTGGATTCATGATACTATCTGGTGTCATTTTGTATCAGCCTGAAATTCTTCAGTTGATTTTTCTAGCGCATGTCTGCTACCCGTGAATTCTGTTAGGGTGTACACATTGGGATCGTTTTCATTGTGTCCTCAGTTGGGAAGGATCGTGTCATTGGCTATAGAATTCTTGGTTGGTAGGACTTTTTTTCCCCTCTTACCACTTTAAATGTGTCCTCCTACCAGTTGCTGGCCTCCATGGTTCCCGGAGAATCAGAATCGACCCTATTTTGTGCTCCTGTGCATTGGTTAACGTGCCTTTTTCTCTCACCACTTTCATGGTTTGCTCTCCATCTTTGGTTTTCAGCAGTTTCTGTAGGATGTGTCTGCATACGAATCTCTTTGTATTTATCCAACTGGGGCTTTATTAATTTTTGGAACTACAGATCAATTTTTTAAAATCAGATAGGGGGGTTTGACCATATTTGCTCAAGTACTTCTTCTCTCTTCGCTCTTCTTGGAAAAATTCCCATTATGCGTATGCTTACACGCTTCACGCTGCCTCCTGGGGGTCCGAGGCTGTATTTTTTTCAGTCTTTTTTCCCACGTCCTCCAGGTAGAGAGTCAGCCGTCTCCGTCTTCATGTCGGTTGGTCCTTTTCCTGCCCCTTCAGACCTGCCGTTGGCTCAGCTGGTGCATCTTTCCTTTTTTGGTCATTGTACTTTCCAGCTCAGAAATGTTATTTTAGTATTTTTCAGTTTCTTTCTCTTTATCGAGATTCTGTGTATGTCGGTTCCTTCTCACATTTTTCTTTGTTACCACGTTTTCTGCTTTCCTTCTTGAACACACTCAGGATGGCTGCTCTGCAGCCCCTGTCTGCTGGCCCAGCGCCTGGCCGGTCAGAGGAAGGCGCTGTCCAAGGACTGGATTTCTTCCTGGCTGTGGATTTCACGCTTCCGGTGTGCTTGTCGGTCATAGATTTTAATTCAACACCAGCCATTGTAGAAAACATACTGTGTCATCTGAATTCTGATGTTTTAAGATGATTTTTGCTGTGATTAGTGGGTTGCTTTGTGTTAGGTTTGTGACAAGCCTGGAATCACTCTCTGAACCCTTCCCCCGCACAGCACGGCGCTCTGCTCGATGTCCCGGCCTGCCTTCCAGGGCTGGCTCCGTGTCTGCCCGGCCGATTGCCCAAGCCCACCGGTCTCCCCTTCTGCTGACCAGCCTGCGTGTGGGTGGGAGCAGGGGGGCCGCGGAACTCGGTGTTTCTGCAGTTTCCTCGCATGCGCGTGCTCAGTCCTTCCCTGGTCTTAAGCGTCCCAGCTCGGCCAGGCCTCTGCAGCACCCCACTCGGCCCTGCTGTGCTCCCTGACTTCCGGGGCCTCCCTGTTACATTTCTGGGGTCATTCTTGAGTCTGATGCTGACACAGACACTCCATGGCCTTGGGCCTCAGTGATGCTGGCCTTCCCGCTGGTCCTTTACTGGTACTGTCCCCAGCATGTGCTGGCTGCCCGGGCCTTGCACCAGCTGCTCCCTGGAGGTGCAGCTGGTCCGTGAGGCAGAGCCCTCTCCCGGCAAAGTCCTGCCCCAGGTCAGGGTGGAGCAGCCCCCGGCAGGAATGCCATGGCTCTCAGCCCAGCAGTTTGTTCATGAATAAACACTTCTCAGTTTCTAGTTTGCCTTTAACCAATTTGCCAAGACTTGGAAGCCTCATTTTTTACAATTTTGTGTGGTTTTGTAGTTGTTCGGGGAGGTTTGGCACCCCCTTTTCACCCCCGTCCCCAGATCCTGCCCCTCATGAATTCTGTGGGTTGCTTTGGCCCGCAGAAGAGTCTAGATCTAATGCTGTGTGCTCCATGGATGTGGCTTTAAGTGCGGGGCGGGATGATAAAGCTTGGTCTGGCGATGACTCGTAGTGCAAAAATCAGCCCAGAGGTGACAGCTCAGAGCGAACTGACCAACCTCTCGTGCCCTCTGGCGGCCCCCCCACAGGCCCTGCCCCCCGTGGGAGCAGGGCGGCCGGTCCCGGGCTCCGTCGCCGAGGCCCGTCCTGCCCGACGCCCCTGCGCTGCCAGATGCTGCTCTGGCCTCGCTGTTTCCTTGCGGTGCGTGGTGGCTCGTGCCCCGCCCTGTGCTGGGTCAGTGGGAGTGGTCACTCTGCTCTGTGCTCCCTTGTCCTCCAGGCGCAGAAGGACTCAGGGTGGAGTTCGACCGGCAGTGCTCCACGGAGAGGCGCCACGACCCGCTCACCGTCATGGACGGCGTCAACAGGATCGTCTCCGTGCGCTCAGGTTGGGAGGCCGGGCGGGCGGGCCGGCCTGCTGGGGCGCAAGGTTGCTCACAGCACAGCACCGGTTCTTGTCATGGAGGCTTGGAAGGGGCAGTGAGCTTTTTAGCCTCAAGAATGATAGGTGTTACCGGCCTCTTCCCAGTGCTTTCAATGAGTGTAATTATCCGAGTGCCTGTGCCTGTCAGCGTGGGTGGGCGGGATTCCTGGGGGACAGGTTGGAGCGTGGTCTGGCTGGGGACTCGGCCGCCTAGGGGGCCCAGCTGCCCCCCGACAGTGGGAGGCGGTGCCGTAAGGCCTGTGGGAGAGCCAGACCCCTGCCAAGTAACGGTGGACGGGCCACACGCTTCTTAAAGAAACGGGTTTCTTAACTGAGCACAGCCGGGGGCTGTGCATGGAGTGGTGCCCGGTACCTGTGGACAGAGCGCAGGAGTGGATGTGCTCAGCAGACGGGCGCCAGCCCTCTCTGTCTTCTGGGCGGCCGTTCCGTGCTCCTCCGCTGGGCCTTTCCGTCCGTGCGGGGGGTGTCTGCGTGCGGGCCTGTCCGGAGTTCTCCGTCCTCCCTCTTGAGCGGGGGTCCGCAGCCTTTTCCTGCCGTCGCTTTTCCCCTCTGCCCTTCCAGTGAAAGCAGCCACAGCCTGAGCGTGTGTGACGGGTCTGGCCGAGTCCCAGCAGGGCCTATATCTTATCTGATGTTCCTTATTAAACCCTGGTTTAAACCTTTGGGCAGAGTAGTGTAGCCAGGGACGAACACAGGTGTTTTCCTGGCAGCCTGATGAAAGCCGGCGTGGTTTTCAGTAGTGTCGCTGCCTGTGCCCGTCACCTCTGCCCTCAGAGGGGACCCCCACCAGGCCACTGCCGCAGCGCTGCAGAGGGCCCTTCCAGGCAGAGAGCCGGCGACCTCTGTGGGGGAGCCGGGGCTCTTTCTCCCGTTCCCTGGGTAACAGCCATCCTGTTGCACCCTCCCCAGGGCCCCCCGTGGCCCTGACCCGGGCGTGGGCTGTGCAGGCCTCTCACGCTACATGGAAGCTAAATGTGTGCATTTCTGTCAGCACCGCACCCACCGCCTCAGTTTGCCTAGGACCCGGTACAGTGTTGGAAGGGTCGCTTTATGTGTGAAAGTGAGACTCCCCTAGAGTGGTTGGTGCGAAGGCCGCGTGGGGAGACCTTGGGTCGGGACACGCACCACGTTCCTCAGACAGCACGTGCGGGACTCTGCTTTGTACGTAAGGCAGCCTGTGCGGCTCGGGTGGTGCGGTGGCCTCACGTCAGGGTGTGCCTCCCCACACCCCAGGCCGAGAGTGGTCCGACTGGTCCAGTGAGCTGCGGATCCCGGGAGACGAGCTGAAGTGGAAGTTCATCAGTGATGGGTCCGTGAACGGGTGGGGCTGGCGCTTCACGGTCTACCCCATCATGCCAGCGGCAGGTGAGGGGCTTTCAGTGCCCACGGTGGGGTGTCCGCAGCCATGTTCATGCACTGGCTCATCCCGGGCCTGGGGTCCGCCTTCTGCTGTGCGGGGGGGCCCTCTGGCTGGTCCCCACTGCACTGGGTCAGAACCTCAGAGAACCCCCAGCCCCTGGTAGTGGCTCTGCCGTCATTTGATTTTAAGATAAAATGTCAGAGTACAGGTCAGCTATGTGACGTGGACGGTGGCAGGTCTGTCCATGGGTGGCCCTCTAAGCACGGCCTTCGGGCGGACGAGGCCCACTCCCCGTTGGTCAGAGGGCATGAGTGTCCCTGTGCCCTCGGCCCGTCCGACACGGGACATTCGTGGTGCTCACTCCCCAGGCCCTAAAGACCTGCTTTCTGACCGCTGCGTCCTCTCCTGTCCGTCCATGGACTTGGTGACGTGTCTGCTCGACTTCCGGCTCAATCTGGCCTCCAACAGAAGCATCGTCCCGCGCCTGGCCGCGTCGCTGGCAGCGTGCGCGCAGCTGAGCGCCTTAGGTAAACGGCGCCACGCTCGCCGCCTAGCCCGTTGCACTCAGTGGGAATCAGCTGAGCTCCTGACGCGTCTGTCTGCTCTCTGCAGCTGCCAGTCACAGAATGTGGGCCCTGCAGAGGCTGCGGAAGCTGCTGACGACTGAATTCGGACAGTCAATCAACATCCACCGGCTGCTGGGGGACAGTGACGGGGAGGCGAGAGCTCTGGTACGGAGCAGGGTGCACGGGCCCCGGGCGCTTGGCCCCCTGGGAGTAGACGTTGGTTTAGTCATTTACAGCGGGAGCTCCCACGTTAGAGTAGGTCGGCCTTTGTCAGGGCCTTGGTTTTAGAAGCAGTGGCATCCAGCTGCTGAAGTTCAGACTGGATTTCTGAACTCACAGCAAGTCTGTGTTTGCTGGGCGAGGCAGTCGTGTTGGAGGGAGTGCCAGGTCCTAGCCACGCTGGGAGACAGGTGTGGGGGCCGGGAAAGGACGGGCTCTGTGGAAGCTGCTGCGCTGAATGAAATCAAGGATCCTTTGATGAATTAAAACAAATTTTTTTTAGACAGCAGGGAAGGGAAGGAAAGAGAGGGAGAGAAACATTTATGTGTGGTTGCATCTCATGTGCCCCCTACCGGGGACCTGGCCCGCAACCCAAGCATGTGCCCTGATTGGGAATCGAACCAGCGATCTTTTGTTTCACAGCCCACACTCAATCCACTGAGCCACACCAGACTCTGGTGAATTTTTAACTCTTCTTCTATTTAGTGTTTGTCGTGTCCTTTTAGGTGTTTTCTTTTCTATTTGAAAATATTGACGCTCATGTTTTAGGGTGAATGGTACCAGTTTGATAAAACACGTGACCCTTAGGAACACATCCCTCCCTGTCCCTGCATTGTGGGTATGGGGGCGAGGCTGTAATCGGGGTGTTTGCTTAGAGTCTCACAGGCAGCGCCCTGGCCGCTCTGGTGAAAGGCCTTCCGGAAGCTCTGGAGCGGCAGTTCGAGTACGAGGACCCTATCGTGAGGGGCGGCAAGCAGCTTCTCCACAGTCCGTTCTTTAAGGTAATCTCGCCGTGGTTTAGCCGGTGGCAGAGCCAGCGAGCTGTCCTGTGCGGTGCGTCCCCTGTCAGGCCTCCTGGGGACAGGGGCAGACACTGATGGGGTACAGCCTGGAAATGTTCCCGAAGTGACTGCAACCCGAGCCCGCCACAGTGGGAGTGCCGCGGTGGCCGTTGGATTGGAGGTCCCGTGTGTCAGGCGCAGGGACGGGGACGCACTCACTGGGCATGTGGCCGAGGCCTGGGGGGAGGAGCTCCCGAAGGAGGCCCCGCGGAACCCCGCGAGGGCGGCCTTCTGTGGCACGCAGTGTCAGTGACGGGGTGTTGGCTGCTGTTCTGAGAGTCCCCGTGTTGGCCGCAGGTACTGGTGGCTCTGGCTTGTGACTTGGAACTGGACACGCTTCCCTGCTGCGCCGAGACGCACAAGTGGGCCTGGTTCCGCAGGTACTGCACGGCCTCCCGCGTGGCCGTGGCCCTGGACAAGAGGGCGCCGCTGCCCCGGCTGTTTCTCGACGAGGTACAGCACGTCATTGCAGAATCGCGTGAGGAACGCAAGAGCGCTGGCTTTGCGCACACCTAGAGGGGAAGCAGTGCCGATGTTACCAGACGCGGCAACATTTCTGGTGCCTAGACATACTGTAAAGAAAACAGCACATAGGTGGAAGTTCATAAACTGACACCGTGACTTTCAGTGGAAGTTTTAGTAAATTGAGATAAATGCATAGATGTTTTTCATATCTTAGACTCGATGCAATAATTGGTTTTGCTTTGTAAACGTGGAATCATGGTGATGTTGGTGTTCTTGCGTGTTCTCGTGTGGGGCTCCTCCTGTCTCCTGACGTCAGTTTGGAAGTGACTGTTATCCTCACGGTCTCCTCGTGACGTTGTCCAGGTGGCGAAGAAGATCCGGGAGCTGATGGCAGACAGCGAGAGCATGGACGTGCTGCACGAGAGCCACGACGTCTTCAGACGGGAGCAGGACGAGCAGCTGGTGCAGTGGATGAACAGGTCGGTGCGCGGAAACGAGAGCCGCTGCGAGCGAGACCACGCGCTTCCCCGCGGGCCTCGCCCACGCCAGCTGTTCACTTCCTGTCGGTTCCAGGCGGCCAGATGACTGGACCCTGTCGGCCGGCGGCAGTGGCACCATCTATGGATGGGGACATAATCACAGGGGCCAGCTCGGAGGCATCGAAGGGGCCAAGGTTAAGGTGCCCACCCCGTGTGAAGCCCTGGCGACCCTCCGACCCGTGCAGTTAATTGGCGGAGAGCAGACTCTGTTTGCAGTCACGGCCGATGGGAAGGTGAGGGGGCGTTTTCTTCGTGTGGACGTCAGCCCTGAGAGGTGCGGCGGCTGCAGTGCAGGGCGTGGCTCACGGTGCGTGGGAGGGTCCCTCAGGAGACCCTCTGCCGGGTTAACAGCCCTACTGTGCGTGCAGCAGGGAGCCTGAGAGTGCCCTGCGCGAGCTCTCCTGTGTTCTGAGCCTCACGGTTTTTTACCCTGAAACACAGTGTACATACGAGTAGGTTGGAGCTGTTTCCAATTCAGTTATTTGTTGGATACGTTCCTTTTTTTCTTCGCTATTGTTATGCTCTCTTTTAAAAAAATTGCCGGTGCTGTGTAGAAATCGTCGATGTGTACGTATTGACCCTATGTCTAGTGGCTTTATTCTGCTCCTTTCTCCCTTACGTGTTTCCAGGTTTTCCGTACATTCTTTATGGAGAGCCATAATCTGTCCGTGAATCTTGTTCCTTCCTTTCTGGTTCCCCCCGTCTCTGTGGGGGAGGGGCCCTGTGGTGCTGGGGGGGGGGCTGCAGTGGAACAGGGAGCGGGTGCCTGCCCTTCCTGTCTGGGTCCAGGCCGTGAGGTGAGGGCACGTCCCACAGGCCCCGTGGGGTCTGTGAAGATGGCTTCTGTGCCATCGGGGAAGTTCCCGTCTGTTTGTCTTCATGGGTGGAGATTAACTTTTGCCAAACACTCTTTCTGCTTTAAAAATACTCTTCCGGAGGTTTTCCCCTTCAGTGGGTTAATGTGGCGATCGGGCTAACTGTCTCCCCTTGCCCCGGGCCAGGGTGCAGGGTCAGGGCTCAGCCCGGCCCTGTGCCCAGAGTGGCCTCGAGGCTGTAGGAGGAGGGGTCAGTGCCTGGGTGCTGTCCCAGGCCTTCTCACGGCAGGGCGGCTGGCTCTGTCACACTGAGTGGGGGGGGGGGGCAAGAGGAGTGACAGCAAGACGGAGGTCACAGTCTCGTGGGACCTGTTGCCATTTTCCTGCTTTGGAAGCCAGTAGGTCCCGCCCATGTCCAAGGTTGGGTGGGGGGAGCCGCAAACAGGGACCCTGGGCACCCACGTCCAAGGCTGCCACCAAGAGAATTGGGGGTGTTCTAGCCTCATGAAAAGGGCTAGAGCATACTCTCTTTTTTCTGTTTTCTGGAGAATTCTGTCTTTTAATTGTTTCAGGGTTACTTTAACATGCATCTGAGTATTTAGAATCTAAAGTTAATTAGTATTTCTACCTCCCACAAATAACACCAACACTGATCCCTTGCTATGATGGATTTTGGCACGAACCTAAGCCCCTAGCGAGAGGCGTGGTTGTTTTTTTGTGCAGACCGTGCACATTTTTTCTTCTAGGTTCACCTGAGTGGTACACACATCTCTGCTCACCATCCTTTCTCATCTCGGGGGTCCGACCATTTTCCTTCCGCTTTAAGCCCAGATTCTCAATTTCCTCATATGGGGTATTTTGTCAGTTAATCCTCTGATTGTTTTTGTTTGTTTCTTTGAAAGTGTCTTTCTCTTGTCCTGTTCCAGCATAAGGGCTGCAGACCTTTTCTGTCTGGGGCCCAGTGTTTTCAGCTGTGTGGCTTGCTGGTCTCTGTCGCAGCCTTCGAAGTTGCCCGCGGCCGCGGTGCACGAGCCCGTGCAGCCGAGCTCCCGCGAGACTCTTATAGAAGCAGGTGGGGGCCTGGTCGGCCCGCAGACCATAATATGCCAGCCCCGTTTCTAGAGCGGAAAATTTTCTGTTGATTGTTATTTTCAGTCGGCCTATTAGAAGTTTTATTCTGAGTTTTGGCCTTCCTTGTTGCCAGTGGAATGTCAGCAGTCAGAATAATTTTTACCCAAATAAAGATAGTGAATCTGTGACTGCTTGTAAGATCTTCCTTTGGTGGTCTGCAGTTTCATTATGATGTATTTACACATCAGCTTTTCAAATTTGTGCTGCCCTTTTTTGTTTTTGCCAGGCAGTAAGGGGTGGGGGTGGGCTTCCTGGCTCTGAGAAGTGGTCTTTCGACCACTCTGGTAAATTCCCAGATGCGATGTTTCCAGACCAGATTGGGCGTGCCCAGGTGGCACAGCCGTGGACTAGACGTGATGTTTTTCAAGTACGGCTCCCCCCCCTTGTTCTCTGTACGACTCCGCCTGCGCCTCCGAGTCCTGACCGGGGTCCCAGGGGGGTCTGCACTTCACTGCTCTGGGCCTTCTGGCCCTTCTGTGCTGTCTCTGTGCTTTTGTCCGTGCCGTAGTTCTGTTCCTCTATCCTCAGGTCAGTAATCTCACTTCACTGGTTTATCATCTGCTGTTTCATGCATCTGGGTTTGGAATTTCCAGTAATACGTTTTTAACTTCTGAAAGTTCTGCTTTGGGGCATTTTATACTCTCTTATTCCTTAGGAACACTTTCAAGCTTTTATTTCTTTAAACATGAGATCCAGCTATTGTTGCGATGATGCTCACTCAGGCGCCTTTCCTTTCACGTGATGAGTTTTTAAATCTGCGAGCTGACTGTTTTCCTTGGAAAATGTTGCGTAGAACTTCTTTGAGGCTGAGGCATCAGAATCACTCATCAAAAGAGAGTTTGTCATCCTTGGGTAGTATCAAACTGAAGACACTGTAAATTAAGTTCCCTACCTCAGAAGTGTAGACCATACATTCAGCCTGAAAACCAGCTTTTAGTGGTCCGTGTTTATGGTTGTGAATTCTCAGCAGTGATTTCCCTCCCCCACTCAGAGCTGATGCTGAGAAGGCAACTCTCTCTGTTCCTGGCTCGATCTCATTCACAGTCTGAGCCCCTGGGAGCTCCACCTCCTTTCTACAGAATCTCCAAATTGCACACGCACGCACGCACACGCCTGCACACGCCTGCGTGCTGGAATCTGCAGACCTGCCTTCCTGGGGCAGCAGGTGGCCGTTGCTCTTTCACCCACCTGCATTCCTGGTTTCACTGCCCGTTTTATCTTTCTTTCCTTTCTACACAGCAGGGCCCTTGGAACAATATGCTATGGCATTTAATTTTTATAGAGGAGAAGTTTGACTCGCATTTGGAAATGGCAGTTGGATTTTTAAAAGACTAATAACAGAGATGTTTTGTGTCCCAAAACAATTACCCACTCAGGGGGAAAGAAACATAGTGTGTTCTGCTGTGTGGTTTGCATGCTGCCTCTCTGAAATATTATTTATAATTTTTCTGTGGATGTTTCTCTGGGTGCTGTTATCAGGGATTTGAATATGGTAGATAACTCAGTCTGTTTTGTTTTTCGTATTAATTATAGTTTGTATTCTGTACAAAAATAGAAATGCTTCTGGAAAAAAGACCTTATATCCAAAATGCATTTTGTAAATTTGGTATTTCTGACTGTCATCGAGTTTTCTGTCATTGTCAGCACTCTGATAAAGCCCAAATAGAGTCTTACGTTCCTGTGATTTTTCATTTTCCGTGTCATTTCTTTGTGGTAGAAATGTCCAGCGTGTTAGCTGGGTTCCAGTCACTGAGACACCAGGCTCTTCAGACACAGCCTGACGCCTCTGTTGCTCTTTCTTCCCTTAGCTCTATGCCACTGGCTACGGTGCTGGCGGCCGCCTGGGCGTGGGCGGGACGGAGTCAGTGTCCACCCCGACGCTGCTCGAGTCCATCCAGCACGTGCTCATTAAGAAGGTGGCGGTGAACTCCGGAGGGAAGCACTGTCTGGCCCTGTCGTCGGAGGGGGAGGTGTACTCCTGGGGCGAGGCGGAAGACGGGAAGCTGGGGCACGGCAACCGGAGGTACGGCGCGCCGGCGCGATTCTCGGTGCTGCGTTTTCCTTCTCTCGTTTGCGTTAGTGCTTTCGTGGGGTATTGGCGCTTGCTTCTCAGAGCAACAGTGACAGTAATCTACTTAGATGGCGAGGCTCTCAGGCAGAAATAAGTTCGTGGGACAGTAGGCGTGCTCTTGTTCACGCCACATCCTGACGGGGGCCAGTCCATTGCTGCAGTTTGTTTTTCTAGGTACTAAGTGTGATGAGCTTCTTTTTGTCTTCCTCCCCCAAGCCCCCTTCCCCTGATCCTGAGTTGTGACTGGGAATGAAACTGGTGACCCTTTGGTTCACAGCCTGTGCTCAGTCTGCTGAGCTATACCAGCCAGGACCCAAACTCATTATTTTTAAAACTTTTGGAGTTGCCGACTACTTGCCAAGTTGGAGCAACAGGGGCCTTTGTATCTCAAATAACTAAAGCACCAGCCGCAACACACGAAACAGCAGCTCTAAGACATTGGCCGACGTGCCATAAAGGGCATGCGCCGATCTGCAGAGGCGAATGCTGACAGTCACGTGTGCGCGAGGAGCATTCCTGAGGCCCAGGAACGAGCGACCCAGAGGATTTGCAGAAACAGTCCCCAGAGCTCCCGGAGCCAAAGCCTGCTGCCCGCGCCCCGTGACTCACAGGGCACCGGTGCGGAAGGGCAGAAAATGCGCCGTGGACTCACTCTGGCTCTGAACGACCAATGAAGCTTAAAAGCAAGACCTGGAAGGATTAAACTGTTTCTAAGTAACTTAACTGTATTGTAGAAATCAAAGATCAAGAATATATATATATATATATATATATATATATATATATATATGTATTTTTTTAATCCTCACTTGAGGACATTCTGTTTCATTGCTTTGAGAGGGAGAGAGGAAGGGGGGTGGGGAGAGAAAGAGAGAGAGAAACATGGATTGGCTGCCTTCTCTTATGCATCTTCACCGGGGATCAAACCCATAACCTTTCAGTCTACAGGAGACTCCAGTCAGCTGAACTACACTCGCCAGGGCGGGGTTCAAGAATATTCTTATGAATACAAACATATCAAATACCCAGCAAGATAAGCTTCCTGATGTTCTTTGTCCAATCACAAATTATCAGGCATGTCTCTCACTAAGGTGTAGAGTCTAGAAAAGCGGACTCATTGAGAGCAGATTGGTGGTTGCCGGGAACTGGGGAGGACCTGGGGTGGTCAGAGCGTACAGACCCCCAGAGAGAAGATGAGTAAGTTCTAGGGATCTGCTGTGCGGTGTGGTGACCAGAGGTAACATGGGTGGAAGGAAGACTCGGTCTTGTTGATTGGTCGGTGCTCTCCGAATTGCCTTGCAGTTCAAGCACTTCACATTTGTAATTCCTCAAGAAACTGACGAGCTGATTGTAAGATTCCTATGGACATGGAAGGTAATAGCATAGTCCAAACAACTTTGAAAATCAGGAGCAAAGTTGGAGGACTGGCCCCGCCCAACTTTAAGCCTTGTTGGAAAGTTATCAGGACGACAGTGGGTGTTGGTGTGAAGAGGTGACTCCAGTGTGGGTGTCCTCACAGATCAAAACACTGACTGGATCAATGGAGAGCCAAGCAGGAAGCTGGTCTGCACCCACAACCCCCACACGGTGAGTGTGGGCGAAGTGGAACTGGGATTCTCTCTCTCAGTTTCCAGTGTGTAATCATTAAAGTGCAAAGACCACTTATTACTTGGTTTTGAACAATCGGATCACCACATGGCAAGCAGTGAACTTAAATGCTTACCTTGCACCATGACCAAAATTAACCCAAATGATGCATAGCCATTAATGGAAAACTAGCCCTGGCTGGTGTGGCTCAGTGGATTGGGTGCTGGCCTGTGAACCAAAGGGTCGCTGGTTCGATTCTCAGGGCACGCGCCTGGGTTGCGGGCCAGGTCGCAGTGGGGGGTGTTCCATAGGCAACCACACATTGATGTTTCTTTTCCTCTCTTTCTCCTTCCCTTCCCCTCTCAAAAAAATAAATAAATAAAATCTTTAAAACAAAGAAACAGACTGAAAACTAGAAGGAAACATGAGAGAAAACCCTGTGGCCTTAGATCAAACAAAGGTTTTTAGATAGAGCTTAGAAAGCATAATCCAATTTAAAAAATGGGATAACGTCGACTTCCTAACAATTATTCACTAATGCTCTTTGAAAAGATGCTATTAAGCAATTGAAAAGATATTTCACAGACTGGGGAAGCATATTTGCGATCCCGTATCTAGGATCTTAAATAGCTAGAATTATTAGTGTTTCAACACTCACTAATAAGAACACAAGTTCATGATCGACGCTCGCCACCTTGTGGGCTTATTGGCATTCACGTGATACAACTCCCTAAAGGAAGTGTGGGATCGTAGCAAGCTGTGCCTCAAAGGGGCCAGACAGTAGTAAATATTTCAGTCCAGCCACATGGTCTCTGTTGTCTATGCTGTCTCTGTTTTTTTTTTAACAACTTTTTAAAAATATAAAACCTATTTTCAGCTCACTAGCCTGCAGAAACAGGCCACTGGCTAGACTCAGCCCATCACTCAGATGACTGAGTATTAGCCATCCAGCTCCTGGTTGGGTCTGAAAGTCCCCTTGCTCTGGCATTAGGGCAGCTCCGATAAAGACAGGTGGCAAATTATGAGAATTTGAGCTTGGGACTGAATGCTTCTGCTTGATTGATTTAAAAATTGACTTGGCTTCCAGTCAAGATGGCGGCACAGGTAAACGCAGTGCTCACATCCTCCCACATCCACGTCAGATCTGCAGCTACACTGCAGAGCAGCCGTCCTTCAGAAGCGCCCGAAACCTAGTTGGACAGAAGTCTGACAACTAGGGATACGAAGAAGAAGCCACGTCAAGACTGGTAGGAGGGTTGGAGACACAAAGTGAGCTTGTCCCGCACCCACATGTGATGGATAAGAATCAAGAGGGATTTCTCAGCTGTGGAGGTCGCTCCTGGGTAGTGAGGGGTCCCAGCCCAGGGTTCCAGTGAAGAGACACATTATAGGGAATCAATAGCAGAGTAGATGAAACAGAGGATACAATCAGAGATTGGGAAGAATAGGAAGCAGAAAATACTCAATCAGAACAGCAAAGAGAAAATGATTCCCCAAAGTGAGGATAGTGCAAGACTTCAAGTGTACCAACATTTGCATCATGGAGGTGCCAGGAGGAGAAAAGAGAGAGCCAGGAATTGAAAACCTATATGAAAAAATGATGACGGAAAACTGTGATAACCTGGTGAAGGAAATAGGCATACAAGTCCAGGAAGCTCAGAGAATCCCAAACAAGATGAATCCAAAGAGGCCCACACTAAAACACATCAGAATAATGCAAAAGATTAAAGATAAGAGAGACTCTTAAAAGGAGCAAGGGAAAGACCGGCAGTTCCGTAAGGCTGTCTGAACAGAAACTTCGCAGGCTAGAAGGAGTGACGGAAACATTCAAAGTGTTGGAAAGCAGGGACCTACACCCAACATTACCCAGCAGAGCTGTCATTTAGAAAGGAAGGGCAATGGAGTGCTTCCCAGACAGGAAAAAGCTAAAGGAGTTCATTGCCACCAAACCAGTATTACAAGAATATTAGAGGGTCTTCTTAAAGAAAAAGAAGAAGAAGAGAAGAAAAAATACAATAAAATGGCAATAAATACACATCTATCAACAATTGAATCTAAACAAAATGAATGAGCAACTAGATCAGTAACCCTTATACAGAGAAGATTTCGACAGTCACCAGATGGGAGGGGAGTTGAGGGTTGAGAATTACCGATCGGTGGTTAGAGACTGGTCACGCGGATGTGAAGTACAGCCCGGGGAATACAGTCAGTAATATTGTAACAACTGTGTATGGTGCCAGGTGGGTACTAGACTTATGAGGATGATCAGTTAGTTATATTATGTCTAACATTTCAGAGTGTATGTGTAAAACTAACTTAATTCCATATGGCTACTGTAATTGAAAAACAATAAATAATTTTAAAGAGGCGAAAGTCAAATTAAAAATAGAAAGGCCAAAAAAAGTTGAGCAAAGGATGCAAATTGAGAGTTCTACTTTAAATAAGTGAACAGCAAACATGTAAGTAAGCCTACTGTTTAAAAATGTGTGAGAATTAAACTCTCCGTACACTTGCTGGCCTGTTTTGCAGTCCGTGTGACCGCCCCCGTGTCATCGAGTCCCTGCGAGGCATCGAGGTGGTCGACATCGCCGCCGGCGGAGCCCACAGCGCCTGCGTCACCTCAGCCGGGGACCTGTACACCTGGGGCAAGGGGCGGTACGGCCGCCTGGGCCACAGCGACAGTGAGGACCAGCTGAAGCCCAAGCTGGTGAGGTGGCGCTGGGCCTGGGGGCGCGGCTTCCCTTGTTTGTGGCCCCCCAACTCTGTCTCCAGGGTTGTGGGGCACAGCCTCATGATGTACAAGCAGGTTTTATTTTTTGTGGAAATGAAAACCGTCTTGGTCTGTATTCCATGGGTCATGTAAACAGGGTGGTGCCTGAAACGTGTTTTTATTTACACTAGTAAGTGTCAGTGGGGATCTCAGGACACGCCGTGTGTCCTCGGAGGCCTGTGTGGTCAGGCGCTGCGGTGGGGTCCACTCCATAGCGGGGCGGGGGGGCCTCCGCCCGCAGCCGAGATGCTTCGAGCTCAGCTGGAAGAAGGCGCTTTCCCTTTTGTCCCACTGGGTCATTAAAACGTCCCGGCCTTTGTGAAGCCTCACTTGGGCGCCCCACACAAAAAGCCGCCCCTCAGACGCATCCCTGCCTGCTGAGGTCGGGCGTCTTCCCTGTCACTTTTCTCCAAAGGTGGAGGCCCTGCAGGGCCACCGCGTGGTGGACGTTGCCTGTGGCAGCGGAGACGCCCAGACCCTGTGCCTCACGGACGACGACACCGTGTGGTCCTGGGGCGACGGTGACTATGGCAAGCTTGGCAGAGGAGGCAGCGACGGCTGCAAAGTGCCCATGAAGGTAGTCCAGTGCCTGGCGTCCCCAGGTCCCATGCCCCGCCTTTACTCGCTTGCAGACGGCCTGACGGGTCCCTGAGCACTGAGAAGTGCAGGGCTCCGTGGGCGAAATGCCACTCATGCTCTCGTGGGAAGTTCGTGTGATCTAGCAGGTGCCACAGAGCCTGTGCTTTCATGTAGCATGGAGAGAGAGAGAGAGAGAACCATCAATTGGCTGAGTCTCGTGCATGCCCTGACTGGGGATCGAACCACACCTTTGGGTGTGCAGGTGGTGGTCCAACCAGCCGAGCCACCCGGCCAAGGTCTACCTTTCTCTTAAAGAGAAAGGCACTTGTTCGTGCCTGTCAGCTGGTCTGCTCTGTGGACAGTGGGTGGTTGTGGCACTGGAGCTGTTGCATTTGGCTGAGACACGGACACCCCAGGAGAAGCCACGGAAGAGGCCGGAGCCTGGGTCAGGTTGGGGTCAGATGGCTTTGCCCGCCTCCAACAGAGCGCCCGGGCGGTGCCCTGACCTGCGGGACTCCTTTGCCCTTCGAATGGGTAGTTGACAGAGGTGACATTCACTGATGCGTTTCAGTCACATGCTGACGGCTGAACGGCCTTTAGTGCATGATTGTCAGGGCTGCCGGGGTGTTGGGATTTGCAGTGGATTTGGGAGAGTGGGGGCACTGCAAGGGCATTAGAAGCCGTGTGCATGGGGGCCTCTTTCTGGGGCTCCGGGCTGGCGTGGGTGGAGCGGACTCCCGGGGGCTGCCGGCCGCCAGAGCCCTGTAGGTCCCCAGGAGCTGGACCCGAGCTGCACAGCTGCTCTTCCCGCAGCGAGGCTGCCCGGGGCTGCAGCCGCTGGCCACATGTGGCTGCTTCAGTTTCCATTTAAATCCGTTAAGACTAAAAAGAAAATTCACTCCTTCGGTGGCACTTGCCTCATCACAGGCTCAGGAGCTACACATGGCTGGTGGCTTCTGCGCAGGGGTGTGGACACAGTACCTCACACGGAGGGTGGGGGAGACGTGGCCTAGAGGCCGAGCTGTGCCCTGGGCTGCGAGGAGACACCCACCTCTCCAGTGGCCTTGGAAACGCTGCTGGTTGTCACCCCTTGCGCTCTTTTCTCACAAGCCTAAGGTGAGGAAGCTACTTAGTCTTCCATATTTCTGCAAAAACTGCTGTGGGCTTTCTCGTGAGAAGGCCTTGACAAAGGCTTTTTATTTCCGGGGACCAGGATGTTGGACAGTGAGGGGGCATGGCCAGGAGAAAACTAATGAAGACAGTGAGGCTTTCATTAATTAAAATTTACATGTGGGAACTGAAGTCTGAAAGCAGTTACAGGTAGTAAGGAAAGATGGTGACGATGTCAGTGGGCCCTGGTGGGTCCCCGGGTGCCCACTGTGAGGGGCCGAGGTGGGCTGCAGTCCTGGTCTGACTGAACTCGTCTCTGAGGGGGTTGGCCAGGGAAGATGCAAGGGCATGGGTGCGGGCAGAGCCCTGGTGCTCTTGGCCGTGGGCAGACAGGTGCAGGGCTGGCTGGAGGGGCCTCCATGCCCCAAGGAGAAAACGAGTGGGGAGTGTGAATTCTGGGGGGAAGAGTCCCAGAGCTCCCACCCTGACTCGTGCATCCGCGGTGGCCTGGGCTTGTGGCCGTCCGTCAGCACGTGTATCCACAGGGCCGGGCCACCTGTTTTGCCGAGAACCTTACCTTGCTGGGTGGAGGTGGGTTTTCAGTCGTGGTGAATATTTGACATGGGCTTCAGCCGGGTGGCTCAGCAGATTGGAGCATCGTCCTGTACACCAGAAGGTTGCGGGTTCAATTCCTGGTCAGGGCACATGACCAGGTTGCCAGTTCAATCCCCAGTTGGGACACGTACAAGAGGCAACCAATTGCTGTTTCTCTCATTGATTTTTCTCTCCCCACCCCCTCTTTAAGACCAATAAATGGGTCTTCAGGTTAGGACTAAGAAATGACACAGAAAAGGCTTTCACGCTTTCCCTTTGGATGCGTTTCGGTCTTGGTGAGGTGGCCATCAGCAGACACTTCCTGGAGTCCGTCTAACTGAACCTTTTCCCTGCAGATCGACTCCCTCACGGGCCTTGGAGTGGTCAAGGTGGAGTGCGGGTCCCAGTTCTCTGTGGCCCTGACCAAGTCCGGCACTGTGTACACTTGGTAGGCAAGACTACGTGACCCCACGGGGACTGGGCTGCTCGCCTGAGGTCACATGCGCTGCCCTTTGTGGGTGGTCGGCGACCTCACCGCGGGCTTGTGAGACGGGTGCTGAAGCTCAGTGCTTGCGCCAGGAGGGGGCGCCCTGCTGAGTCCCGGGCTTCCTTACGTGCAGGGGCAAGGGCGATTACCACAGGCTGGGCCATGGATCCGACGACCACGTCAGGAGGCCACGGCAGGTGCAGGGGCTACAGGGGAAGAAGGTCATTGCCATCGCCACAGGCTCCCTGCACTGCGTGTGCTGCACGGAGGATGGTAGGTGGGAGGGCCCTGCATCTCTGAGTCTGCCCAGGGGCCCGCGCAGCCGTGGTGGGTGGGGGCACGGTCATCCATGTCCTGAGAGGGTGGGTCCAGCCCCTGGTGGCAGCACCCGGGAGTAAGTTACATTGAATGGCTGCACAGAGAAGAGCGCACACGGCCGGCCCGAGGCTGCGGGCTCGGTGGTCCCTCCGCCGGCCTCTGGGGACCTGGACTTCGGGAGGGAGCCCCCACCCTGCTCCCTGAGTGACAGGAGGCCTCGCTGCGCTGAACTGCTGGCCCTAACGACGTGGTCTCAGCTGAGACCTGCCCCCCTCTGGGGTCTGGAGCCGGGGTCTGTCCAGGCGGAGGTGCCAAAGTGACCAGCCCTATGGACGCCCTTGGCTCTGGGCCCTGCGGAGCGTCCCGGGCAGCCGTCACCTCCCAGGAGCTGTCCCAGCTGGTGCGTCCCGTGGGGCCCCGCTGGGACAGGCCGGTGCCTGGTGTCCCCAGGCCCCACCTGGAGCCCTTTCCCTCGGCCGAGTTCGCCTGTGTCCTCTCGCTGAGTGAGTCGTGGTTCTGAGTGTGACTGTGTGCGGGTCCTGGGAGCCCTCTGCTCACGGAACCTGTGGTGTCTCGGGCCGCCCACCGCAGGGACTTCACAAGTGGAATTGAGATTGCTGACCAGCCGACCCTGTGGTATGGGGGTTGTGCTGGATTTTCGGGTGAGCCCAGTGAAATCACAGAGGCCCTTCAGAGTGGAAAGGGGGCAGGAGACCAGCGACTGATGAGACTAGAGACCGGGAAGGGGAGATTTACCAATGTGAGAGGGGCTTGTCCTGCCATTTCCAGCCGCGGGGCGGGGAATGCAGTGGCCCCTGGAAGCTGGAAATAGCTGCCAGCTGCCAGCCAGCCAGCAGGCGGGGCCGCGGTCCCACAGAGCTGAATGAGCAAGGAAGGGGGTTCCCCCACAGCCTCCAGCCGGGGGGGGGGGGGCCCTGTTGGCACCTTGGCGCTGGCCCAGCCGGCCTGCTGGTGGATCTGACCCACAGAGCCAAAGGAGAAGGCGTGCGTTTTATTTGCTTTATTTTAATTCTTGAACTTGAAAGACAGCCCACATTCACGGAACAGTTGGAAGCTTGTACCAAGAATGCGGTTTGATCCGTGGGGAGCCAGGTGCTGCCCCCGTGCCTGTCCCCTGGCGGGTTGTTTGTGTCCTACAAGCGGCCCTGACCCCCACCCTGGCACAGCGCCTGGGCAGAGGGGCCGCACCGGTGTGGCTCTGCCTGGTCTTCATGCCTGTTCACGTTACGACACGGTGCACCTAGCTGTCACGCCCTTTCCGCTCTGAGACGGCCCTCACCCGTCCCTGGGCGCCGTTCTCTGATGCTCTTATGTCTCTTTGGGCGGCCATGCCTCCAGAACGCATCCCTCCCGTTCACCGGTACTTGCTGTCCCGAACAACAGGACACCCGGTCCCGCTGACCCTCCCAGCCCCACGTGCGGGCTCAGCCCGCACAGTGTTCATAGCGCTCGCCCGCACCAGGCCCCCGGGCTCCCGTTCCGCTCCACGGGGCCTGTTGCTGTGTCTTCTCCATCGACGCTGGTGCCTCCTCTCTCTCGTGGTGGCAGACCCGGACCCCTCCTCCCTGACGGAGTGCTCCGGTCACGCTCCTCTAGGGCACCGGCGTGCCGCCACTGCCTTTGCACTGTGCCCCCCTTGAGCAGCTTCTGCCCCCAGCGCCTCCGTGTGGAAGCTCTTGTCACCCATGAATGCTGACTCCCTGCCCCCAGCAGCACCTCAGCAGAGAGCATGTCCTGTCCTTGCCCGTGCGCTGACCACAAGAGATCCTCTCTTTAATTTTACCCTTTGGCATTTTCACTATGATGTGTCTTGGTGTGGGCCTCTTTGGGTCTGTCTTGTTTGGGACTCTGTGCTTCCTGAACTTGCACGTCTGTTTCCTTCACCAAATGAGGGACGTTTTCCTTCATTATAGATTTCCAGTGTCTTGCTCTTTCTCTTCCCCTTCTGGCACCCCCATCATGCTAATGTTGGACCTCCTGAAGTTGTCCCAGAGGCTGCTTATACTATCCTCACTTTTTTTTTTGGATTCTTTTTTTTCTTTGTTGTTCCGTTAGGTTATTTTTTATTTCTTTATGTTCCAAATCATTGATTTGATTCTCAGCTTCATCCACTCTACTGTTGTTTCCCTGTAAATTGTTCTTTAATTCAATTAATGTGTCCTTTGGTTCTGACTGGGTGTCTTTTATGCTGCCGAGGTCCTCACTAAGTTCCTTGAGCATCCTTATCACCAATGTTTTCAACTTGGCATCTGATAGATTGCTTATCTCCATTTACTTTAGCTCTTTCTGAAGTTTTCATCTGTTCTTTCATTTGGGCCATGTTTCTTTGTCTCTTCATTTTGGCAGCCTCCCTGTGTTTGTTTCTATGTACTAGGTAGGGATGCTTTGACTCCCTTTCTCGGTCACGTGGCCTAATGTAGTAGGTGTCCTGTAGGGTCCAGTGGTACAGCCTCCCTATCACCCAAGCTGGATACTCAAGGTGCACCTTTGTCAGGGCTGAGTAAACCCTTCTCTTGTAGTTGAGCCTTGGTTGCTGTTGGCAGGTCAGTGGTAGTGATTACCCAGTCCAGTCAGCTGCAAAGACTGTGACCACTGACCTCCAACCTCTGCCCTCCATCAGCTGTGCAGGGGCAGGGTGGTGGTGCTCTGATGTGGTCTGTAGCTGTCCGCTGGGTATGTTGGCCCTGGGGTTTCCCGGGTGGTGCAGGCCAAGGGTCAGCTCCCAATTGTGTTTTGCCCAGAGCCACCCTGTCTGAGCTATAAAGGAATCTGAGATGGTTGCTCCTTGTGCTGGGCTTAGAAATTCCCAGGGGAATCCAAGCAGTGAATCCAGGCTGGCTGCTGCTAGTGCCCGGCCCGGGGCTCACTGAAGCCAGCTGCTGCTTGTTTGATAGGATTTAGGAGCCAAGACCAGCCATTCTTATGGAAAAGCATCTTGGGTGGGCCCATAAGTTGGGTGGAGCAGACTCTCAGGATCTCCAAGTTGGTTCAGAGTTTGCCAGGTTGGCGGAGTCTCAGGCATGTCACCAGCTGGCTGGCCTGTGGGCAGAGGGCTTAGAAAAGGGACAATAGCCTCTGCTCACCCCTGACACTTCGGTTCCTCCCCGTGTACCACTGGTGCCTTTCCAGCTGTCACCCTGGTGCTGGAGCTCAGAGGGAGTGAGTCTGAGTAGGTGGGTTCGTGTGTGGTTTCTTTAAGAGGAATTGCTTGGGGCTCCAGCATTTTCTCCCACCGACTCAATCCCTGCTGGGTTTTGCAGCTAGCAGTTGTGGGGACTTATCTCCCTGGCACTGGGACCCTGGGCTGGCAGGGCTGGTGTGGGGCTGGGACTCTTTACTCCCGAGATAGTCCCTCCTGAATTTTCGTCCACCCCTCATGGGTGTAAGACCAGCCTGTTCTGCATCTGCACCCCTTCTTCCAGTCTGGATCGATGTGGTTCCTTTAATTCTGTCAGACTGCCATTCAACTTGATTTCTGAGAGTTCTCCGTGATGGTCGTTCTCTATTGCAGTGTGAGTTTGATGTGCTCGTGTGAGGAGGTGAGCTGTGTCTGCCTGCGCTGCCACCTTGACCAGAAGTGAGCCACTATTACCATCTGTTTTAATGTGTTGTTCCAGTTCAGGGCATCTGCCTCCTGTGCTTCACCCTGTGGACACCACCGGATGTCTGAGACCACATAGGGCTTGTTGGCCACAGGGCTGCTGAGAGTCCCAGACTTGTGTCCCTCTGGAGCTGTGGTCAGAAATCCTGTGATGGATCCAGAGTCGCCTCCAGTGATGGCAGTGACAACCACGGAGGAGCTGTTCACGTGCGAGTCCTCACACCCAGTTTCCCTCCTGCATTCGCTGCTGTAGGTGAAGTGTACACGTGGGGCGACAACGATGAGGGGCAGCTGGGAGACGGAACAACGAATGCTATCCAGAGGCCTCGGCTGGTCGCAGCACTTCAGGGTAAGAAGGTGAACCGCGTGGCCTGTGGCTCGGCGCACACTCTGGCCTGGTCGACCAGCAAGCCTGCCAGCGCTGGGAAGCTGCCCGCACAGGTCAGTGCTGGTGGGTGGGTGGGCTGGGCATGCGTGTTAGGGCAGCGCTCCTATGTACGTACTGAACTGGGTGCAGCTGGGCGCTCCACTGGAAAACCCCAGGCTCACTGTGTTGAAACGAGCGCTTTGAGGACTTCAGCATTCACTCCATCTAACAGTCTGTGTATCGATGGAGTGCGTCGCCTTCGTTCAGAAGCTTTGGTCCTACGGAAAACAGGCCACCCCTGTTCTTTAGTGAACTGTGTCTGTATAGACCAACTTTATCAGCGTTCTCCTTGGTTTACATTACTGGGCTGAAGCAGAGTGGCCAGAATATTATTACAGTGAGGTTTTTCAAACCAGATGCGGACATCAGGTGCATCTCTGCTTTGCAAACAGTGTTTCACCTGGCTGGTGTGGCTAAGTGGATCGAGCACGGGCCTGGGAACCAAACGGTCACCAGTTCAATTCCCAGTCAGGGCATGTGCCTGGGTTTCGACCAGTGGCCCAGTAGGGGGCGCACATGAGGCAACCGCACATTGATGTTTCTCTCCTTTTCTCCTTTCCCCTCTCTCTATAAATAAACAAACAAATAAATAAAATCTTAAAAAACAAAACAAAACAGTGTTTCAGAATCCACCTGGAGACCAGTGCCTGTGTGCATGCCGGGTGCACAGGCGCACTAACGGGTGCCGATGTTGCAGGTCCCCATGGAGTACAACCACCTGCAGGAGATCCCCATCGTTGCCCTGCGCAACCGGCTGCTGCTGCTGCACCACCTGTCCGAGGTCTTCTGCCCCTGCATCCCCATGTTCGACCTGGAGGGCGCCCTCGGCGAGGCTGGGCTGGGGCCGTCTGTGGGCTTCGACACCCTGCGGGGGATCCTGATATCCCAGGGAAAGGTGAGCGGGGGGAAACGCGCGTTCCACGGGCGCTGCTCCGGCACCCGCTGCCTGCCCAGCTCTGCCCTGGGTGTCAGAGCGTGACCGTGACAGACAGACAGACAGACAACATCTCTCCTGCTTTGGAGCCTGCTTTTCTCCCTCGTGGTCCCTGCTGCTCCCCTGGCCCCGAGGCACCGTGAGCGCTGCTGTCCCAGGGCGTCCCTCGGAAGTTCCACACCCGGCTGTGCGGGGTGTGGGTCAGAGGCGGAGGGGACAGCCTGTGGGTGGATCGGGAAGGAGCATCTGAAAGACACCAGATCCCGTTCACCCTGTCGACACTCACGGTTGTTTGAGCTTCCCAGAGGTGGGGTACCCGACGCAGGAGTCGGGGTTTCCCCTGACAGGAAGTCACTGAGTTTCCAGGGGCAGGTGGGCGGGACCAGCCAGCAGAGGCTCGGAGGTGCTGCTCCTGCAGTGATGGCTCCTGCGAGTCGGGGTGGGGGCCTGCTCTGCAAGCCTGGGGTTCTCCGATGGATGGTCTCCTCTTACTGAAATAGAGTTCAGGTGCCGGGAGTCCTGCCCGCCAGGTTTGTTTAGGACTGGCTCTGTCCCCACTGATAGGACGGAGACTGCACGTGGTCATCATTGTCTGTGATTTAGAGGCACGTGCACAGTGGTGAGGCCGTGCTCACGGCAGGGCCTGGCCGATGATGGGGAGCAGGGAAAACGGATGGAAAACCTGACTTCAGCCACTTTTTATCCATCCAAGTGGGGGGCACCGGGCAGCAAGGGGCAGCCTGTCCTCGTCACGAGAGGACGGTGGTGGCAGGGCATGTCCACAGAGGCTGTGAGTGCTGGGGTGTTGGCGTGGGGGGGTCTCAGAGGCGCCCTCAGCCCCAGGCCCCTGCGGGTGGGCCCCTCTGCCGGAGGGTTGGAGGATGTGACGGGAGCCTAACGACCAGGACACGCTCAGAGCTCAGAAAGGCTGCCCGGCTGCAGGTCGGGAGTGCGGAAAGCAGAGGTCCAGCGGGGGGGAGGGGGCAGAGTCAGCACGTGGTGGGGGCTGTGTGGCAAGGGGCGTGCCCCTGCTTGCCAGGTTCCCTCCATGACGCCCTCTTGACGTTGCCCTCTGTGGCTGCACCCTGAGCTGCCTGGGCCCCGGCCTCTCTGCCTTTGAGGGCTGGAGTTCTAGGGCCCTGACCAGGCCCAGCCGCAGGTCCCTGTGCCCCCTTCCGCCCTGTCTCTGGAGGAAGGCACCACCTACTTGGCAGAGACCCGGGACTCCCTCTGAACTACCCCCTCTGAATGTCACTTGGGTCCCCTGCCCTGCTGTCCTCACATGCGCTCCCTGTCCTCGCCATCTCAGCCTGGTCATGCAGGGTCCCCTTCAGTGCCTGGCGCCTGCGTGTCCCTCCGTCATTGCTGTCCTGTCCCCACTCCAAGCCTGCCTGCTCCCCGGGCTCCCGGCTCTGCTGCTGTTGTGTGGTTGGCGCAGTGACAGGCATGGTTAGGCTTTGGGGTCAGTCAGGGGTACTTCGGGTTTGCCTGGGAAGCCTTGGCTTCCTAGTTGTTCCTCAGAGCCTGGCCCAAGAGCCAAGTCAGAGCGGGTCCTCAGCACGGCTGGCCCTCTGTCCTGCATCCCCCCGATGGGGCCCGAGCGCCCTGGGTGGGTGTGGAGGCCGGCTGCTCCCCGAGCCACCTCACAACCAGGAGGAGAGTGTTTGTAGTTACCTGTTGTCGAGAAAATGGGATTTCGGGGACTAGAAGATTTTAAAACTGTGTCCTGATTTGTCTGTCTGTGGGTCATACTTTCTGCATCACATTCTAATCTCCTCTAATCTCCGTCTGTCACGTTTTAGGAGGTGGCTTTCCGAAAGGTGGTTCAAGCCACGATGGTGCGAGACCGCCAGCACGGCCCCGTGGTGGAGCTGAACCGGATCCAGGTGACAGGGGAGGGGGTTCTGTGTCCGCAGAGTGTCCAGTGCCGGCGTCCTGGGTGGCAGGGCGGGCAGGCCTAGGCCGAGCCCTCGTCCCAGAGACCGAGTGCTGCAGCGCGGCTGTCCTGGGCGCCGAGGCCGAGGGTGCGGTGTGAAGTGTTTTCCTTACAACAGAAGCAAGAAGCCCAAACCCAGAAGCACTGTCCACGGGTGCTTAGCAGAGAGGGAGAAGTGGCCAAGGCTGCCTTCCGCCCCAGGGTGGTAATGGCCATTGACAGGTGGGGGGTGGGGCCGGGAGGGGTGTGCTTCTGGCAGCCCCAGGGTGACTTCGATGTGCCATGCTGTGCCCCCTGGGGTGCTGGCCACGCCTCCCTGTCCCCTGCGGCCTGCTGTGGCCTTGGCTGTGCTGACAGCTGCCCTGTTCTCCAGGTTTCCTGGTCGGAGCCCTCTGCTGCGGCTGACAGGCGCACTCCTGCCCTGGCCACTGCAGGGCCGCCTGCAGCCCCTCCTGGGTGTCGCTGCACCTGGGCCCTGGGGCGAGGTGCTGGGAAGCAGGGCCGGTCAGAGGCCTCGAGTGCAGGCGGTGGCCGTCCCCATGCCTGTGCCACCAGCCTCGAACGCTCCCCGGCTCTCAGGGCTTATGGGGGAGGGTGAGCAAACACCCTGGCCTTTGTTCATAAACAGTTGTGTGTTTCTTCTGACCTGTTTAAACTTGAGTCACCTTCGAGTTCTCTCCATTTGATACAATACACCTATCAAGACCTTTTTTCCACTGCTTAAAACAGGTTTTGAACTTGCTGATTTTGATGCCTTTTAGTGCTTCACCTGTTCTACCGCTCCCATGTTGGCAAAATGCTTCCCTTTGAGGGCTTTTTTTCATCCAGGGAAACAAAAAAAAAGTTGCCTGGGTGAGATCAGAATAGGGAGGGCGGGGCACAGGGGTCATGCCATTTTTGGTCAAAAATTGCTGAACACTCAGTGCAGTGTGGGCAGGTGCTCTTGTAAATCGCCTATCACGTGGGAAAGCACATTGAATAGTCTTCAAAAAAAAAAAAAAACGCACTGAAGCCGAACGCAGCCTCTCACACACAACAGCAGCTGGTGCAGTGATACAGATGGGTTCCTACAACACTCACCTAGTGGGGTGTGGTGTGGACTCCATGGGCCCGCCCTTCAGAAGGTAATTCCTGGGGGGTTTTGGGAGGGTCCCCCTCGTATTCACTGTTCACAAGCCAGTCACTAACGTGTCTCACGGCGGTAACTGAGAACAGAAACGAGGACCAGCTTTGCCTTCCTCCTGCTGCCAGTGTTGCGAGCACCCGTCAGTCCATCACTAACCCTGACGAGGAACCTGGCAGCGCCTGGCATCTCAAGTTCACTCAGCACCAGCCCTGCCTTCTGAATGGAAGCAGAGCCACAAAGAACAGATAGTTTGTTCCTGTGCCTTCGTGTTAACACATGACTTCCACCCTGCTGTGGGTTCCCAACTGGAAGCTTTCCCAGGCCTGGGGCATTGCAAGCCAATGCAAACTCCCGTGGTTTGCTGGAGGACACGAGCGGCGGCACTGATGGAAGTGGTCCATTCATGGACGTCAGCATGCGTAACGCTGCGCTGGAGGCCAGGCCGCCTGCTCCGTGGACAAACGGGCTATTGAGTGAGGCTTATGAAAAAGCTTTTATTTCCACACCTTGGAGGGACGTTTTGGTCAGCTCTGTATTAGTAGGTTTTCGATACTGAAGTTTGAGCTGATGGCCACAGATCATAGTGTTCCTGGATCATGTGCCCGCCTCCACCTGGGACGGGCTTCTGGGCGGGGCACGGGCGTCAGTGCTCGGTGACGACTTGGCACCATGCTGGGCGCCGTCTCTGGGTTGGTCGTGTGCGGGGTGCCGCTTCCCCTCTGGTCCTTGTATCCCAGCTCGGGGGCCTGGGGTGGGAGCCTGTTCAGTGTGTGATGAAGGAGCAGGTGGGGAGAGAGCACTCAGATTTGCATTGGGCGTCTTGTTGAGGCAGACAGACAGCCTCCAGCTCCAGTGCCCCGTGCATGGGGGCACGGAGTGGCTGCCCAGAGATGGAAATGGAATTGTTCTTCTCACCAAAAATAGAACCTGGGCTGGGGTGGGGAATCTAAGCAAATGATTGGCCCCTTCCTGCCCCGGGCACGGCTACAGGACTTGAGGGCACCAGCCCTCTCCTCCCGGGGACACTGCACGTAGGCCATGTTCTGGGAAGGTTTCTTCGTTTGCATTTGATGTACCCGTGCAACAGGACCTGAGAATCAGTGCACATCAGTAAGTTTTCACTTCGTAGTCAGCGTGGCATGTGTACTGAGTGCTGTGACGAGAGCACGTGACCGCCCTCTGGGCTCCTGCTGCACAGAGACCCCCACCCGCCCCTTCAGCTCACTGGCCCTGTCCTCCTGGCGCCTCTGGGATCACAGAGCCCACTCCTTCCTAGCTGCCGAGAGCATCGTCTCTGTCACCGGGCATTGGACACAGAGGCTGTGCAACGCCCAGGGCAGGAAGCGGCCCAGGTCTCTTGCCCCGTGTGCAGGCACGCCCCACTTCCTGCCCGCAGCTCGGTCCCCCGCGGGGGTTGGGTGGCCCACAGGAGTTAGGGCAGTAACACCCGTGGACAGAGCCGGCTGCCTGTCACTGGAAAAGTTCATCCCACGGGTGTCTGTTACTGTCTTTGTTGTCAAGTTATAGGTGGTGGGTGCTTAGCCAGAGCAATCAGCATGAAGCACATTTCTCATGGTTTTGTCACTAACTTGGCCTCGTTTCTGACGGAGCATCCAGCTCGTTCTGAGTGTGGCTGAGGCTCAGGCTGCAGGCTTACCGAGTCCCTGCCAAGTGAGGGCTGCAGGCCGTTGTCCAGTTTGGCTGGAGGTGTTAGGCTGGGATGAGACATTCAGGTGGGAAAAGGGATAGTACTTAGAAACAGGTGACCCCGCAGGCCACGTAGGACCACACAGGAAGGAGACGAGGCAGGTCCTGGCAGAGCCACACTTCCGGTTGGGTCTCAGAGCCCTGACACCGAGTGCCTAGAGTCTGCCTTGGAGGGCCACTGATGCCATGGGGTAAGCCAGGGCACGGTCACCAAGCACAGGGACAGATCACACAGCGCCTCGGTCTGGGCTCTCAGGAGTGTTTGCTTAGGCGTCACGCCGAGGGGTGGGCCTCGTTCATCCAGTGGGCCTCCTTCGTGTGAGGCCCTGGGAGGAAAGCACCTGGTGTCAAGCGGGGAAAGGAGCTCCTACTTGGCCATTGAGGTCCTAGGAGGGCCTGGGGTGTGTCAGTGAGGGACAGGAGCTAGCAAGGTGGGGGGGGTGGTGAGGTGGGACTAGTCTGGAAGCCCTTCACATTGCCCGGGAGTTTGGTGGGCCTTACTTGGACTTGTTGGGCGGCACCACATGAGTGCAGCTCGCTATCTACGGTCCCCACCGCAGCTGGTGACCAGGATGGGGAGTGCAAGTAGTGACATGGGCATGTGGCCGCAGGGCTCGGCCTTGGCCACTGGCATCCCTGGGCCTGTCCACCGTGTGCCTCCTCCGAGACCGCTGTCCCTTCTACTCCTCTCCCTCAGGTCAAGCGTTCACGGAGCAAAGGAGGCCTGGCAGGCCCTGACGGCACCAAGTCCGTCTTTGGGCAGATGTGCGCCAAGATGAGCTCATTCAGCGCCGACAGCCTGCTGCTGCCCCACCGCGTCTGGAAAGTCAAGTTTGTGGGTGAGAGCTGCATGCACAGGCAGGGCGGGTGGTCCCCAGGGTGGGCGGTTTGAGGGAGGTTGGGGCGTCCGCTCCCGTGGACTCCGCTGGGGACCATGTGGCTGACTCTCCCCCCTCCTCAGGTGAATCTGTGGACGACTGTGGTGGTGGCTACAGCGAGTCCATAGCTGAGATCTGTGAGGAGCTGCAGAATGGACTCACCCCCCTGCTCATCGTGACCCCCAATGGGAGGGACGAGTCGGGGGCCAACCGCGACTGCTACCTGTTCAGCCCCGCCGCCAGGGCGCCCGTACACACCAACATGTTCCGCTTCCTGGGTGCGCCTCCCGCGTGCACGATTCCGGGGGGTCCCTGTGTACCTTCCCTTGGCCTGATGTTTGCTGTGTCTCGGGAGGGGCCATAACATGCCGTGTGTCCGCTATTAGCTTTCCTCTGTTTGCAGTGGCGGGGACCTGCCAGGGTACCCGGAGGACCTTGGGCACACAGAGAGGCAACACCTGTCTGTGTACTGCCTGTGTCAGGAGCTGTGGGTTGGATGGAGCTGAGGGCTCTGGGTGGCTGCGCCGTCCCTCATGTCTCTTCCATTCGGGGCTTTGCCATCAGAGCGGCGGGGCTGGGCCTAGGGGCAACTGACGGCTGATGCTGGACGGAGGGGGAGGGTCAGAAACTGGCCCTTGGTAACCTAAGCCACAAGGAATTTGAAACAGGGCAGCTACTTTAATGACAGACCTCTTGAGTTGGGGTGGCGCAGGTCTGAAGGTGCCAGGGTCCCAGGGGAGAGTTGCCCCCATGGGGTCAAGTGTCCAGGTTGTCCCTCCCGGGTTTCCAACCCCTCCCATCTCTGTGTCCTGAACACGCAGGCGTGCTGCTGGGCATCGCCATCCGCACTGGGAGCCCCCTGAGCCTCAGCCTGGCTGAGCCCGTCTGGAAGCAGCTGGCAGGCATGAGCCTCACCATTGCAGACCTCAGTGAGGTAACATCCAGGAGGGAGGTGGCAGGAATAGTGGGGTCCCGGAGTCACTTAAGAGGTGTGGCCTGTCCCAAGGCCCTGACCCTGTCGTGGTGGTTGGGGTGTGGACACAGGCTGGTCAGCTCCGAGACCACGCTAGACCGTCTGGGCAGCCGAGGCTCCTGACTTCCGCTGTAGGGGAGCTAAGGCCACTGGCAGTGGGACTGGGCGGGGGGGTGGAGCCACCAGTTGCAGTGGCCGGTGCGCTCTCAGTGGCTGGTCTAAGGATGACATGGAACTGCCAATTTTTTCATTGCTGCCCGCTCACTTTCTGGACTGTGAGATGCATGGGCGCCTGGTCACATGCCCCCGGCCGCCTGAGGCCACTTAGGTCTGAGTGCCGGGCTGCGAGTCGGGGCCCGGGGTGGGAGAACAGCCCCTGCCCAACACACAGACTCCTGTTGGCCCCTGAAAGGTGGACAAAGACTTCATCCCGGGGCTCATGTACATCCGTGACAACGAAGCCACGTCAGAGGAGTTTGAGGCCATGAGCCTGCCCTTCACCGTGCCGAGCGCCAGCGGCCAGGACATCCAGCTGAGCTCCAAGTACACTCACATCACCCTGGACAACCGTGCGGAGTACGTCCGGCTGGCCATCAACTACAGGTGCGTGGCCCCGCCCCCTGTGAAAATAGTGGGCGGGGTCTGCGTGCGTGGCTGCGTCTCCGGAAGGTCCCGTCCGAGAGGTGCTGACGTACTCGGCTCCGAGTGCTGCTGGTCTGCGGCCCTCAGGGCCAACCCTGAGATCAGGGTCAGGGTTCTGGCTGCGCTCACCCGAGGCTGCTGGCTCTCCCGTATTCTGCGGGCACGGCGTCTGGTGCCCCCTGTCCCCGGTCGCCTCATCCGGGGTAGGACCGAGTCGTAGGACCGAATCGGGGCGTCTCTGCCCACATGTGGCCCTCACCGCAGTGTCCCGGTGCGGCTGCTGCGTAGCTGGACCGCAACAGCATCGTCCCTGCCCCGCTCACCACTGCCCCCAACGCTGCCCCGGGGTCCACACCGCACGGGGGTCTCGGGCCCTGTCCCCCAGGGACACCAGGCTGGCGTGAATGGGCAGGCTTTGCTTGCTGGGCCGTGGTGGGCGGCGGTCCTGGCAGGTGCCCGGTTCTGTTCCCTGTGCCCCATTCTGCCTGGTGCCCTAACTCGCCAGTCCTGAGGGCCTTTTCCCTGCGGGCCGCGGGGCGGCTGTCCGGGGGAGGGGAGGAGGGGGGTGGAGGACCGGGCGGCGGAGGACCGGGCGGCGTGCGGCCCGACTGCAGTCTCCCAGGCGTCCGCCGCGTGCCAGCCCGGGCGACCTCAGCACGGAGACCGCCAAGGCCTCGTCTGGAAAGCACACACCTGGGTCCTCTGTGGAGTGACGCTGGGTGTGAGGGGGACAAGGTCTGTGTCACCTAAAATGGAAAAGCAGAGCGTGTTTTCTTTCAGACTCCATGAGTTCGATGAGCAGGTGGCTGCCGTCCGGGAGGGGATGGCCCGAGTCGTGCCTGTCCCCCTCCTTTCTCTGTTCACTGGATACGAGTTGGAGACGATGGTACGTCAGCCTCTGAACTGCCACCCTGGGAACTGCCTGTTCCGTGGTGACAGCCCCCACCCCGCCACCACCCCACCCCCCACCGGATCCGTGCCCCGATTATTTATTACGTCACACACCCGGAAGTCCGAGATGTGCCCAGGAAGCGCATGCGCCCTGCCGCCCCTTCCCACGGCGGGCCGCGGGGTCACAAGCGGAATGAATACATGTCCACTTGGGTGTGCGTGACCTGTCCCCACCCCGCCCCTTCCCCAACAGGCCTGGGTAGAAAGAAAGCACAGTATTTCCTGCTGAAGTGGAGGATGGGAAGAGTCACCACCCTGCCTGTGTGTCCCTCCACAGGTATGCGGCAGCCCGGATATCCCCCTGCACCTTCTCAAGTCGGTGGCCACGTACAAAGGGGTGGAGCCGTCCGCGTCCCTGACCCAGTGGTTCTGGGAGGTGATGGAGTCCTTCTCCAACACCGAGCGCTCCCTCTTCCTCCGCTTCGTGTGGGGCCGCACCCGGCTGCCCAGGACCATTGCCGACTTCCGGGGCCGAGACTTCGTCATCCAGGTGCGGCTTCTGCGGGGCTGGCGGGCGGCGAGGGGTGGCTGCACTCCCCGCTGTGGCAGGTCGGGAACCGATCTCTGGCGCTGCGTGCTTGTGCCTTTTTCAAAGTCAGGGAGGCAAAATACTCCCTCTTTTGATTTAGCAGCTTAGAATTTTGTGGCTGCAGATGTTGGGTTGGCACTATCTACTTTATAAAACGTGTGTGGACGCCACCAGAACCTACTGCTGTCCTGTCAGCGTGTTCTAAGTGTGTGCGCACGCACCGTATGGAGCTTTAGCCTGGTTTTCTGGGTGCATGGGGTGAATGCACCTAACGTGGCCTCCTACCAGAACCAGGGTGCTCAGCAGAACAGTTCTGCTCTGCATCCTAACTTCATGGTCCAATGGCCAGAATCGGGCTCTGTTTATCAGCCCATCACCGGGGTGACATGACCACCCCACCCACCCCAGACTTTCCTGGTAGCAGTACCATAGGGGTCAGGGGGCCCCTCAGAGGGGCGGGGCGGGGTGGAGGGTCCACCCGCCCGGTGTGTTTGCAAGGATTTAGGGATGGATTCTTCTGACTGTCATCTCTAAGGGAGATGTCTGAGAGCACAGCTGGGTATTCTCTCAAAACGTAGGCAGTTCTGGGTTTTGTCCACAGTTCTCGCTGGCTTCCTAGCACCTTCCTCTGTAGGGGCAAGGAGAGCCACTCTGCTGTGAGCGACAGGCCACGCCCACCGCCCCAGCCCTCCAGCCCTCTTTGAGCGCTGATCGGAGCAAAAGTAATCGTCCTAGCGACCAATCGCTATTTTTTACTACAAGTCTAGGAGCTGATGTGTTGTTCTTTTTTATCTCTAAAATTAGCTAGATTATATTGTTAGTGATACTTGTTCTGCTTCGAAATGTGCAGAGTTTTGTGGAGTCTTTTTTGTTTTTAAGATTTTATTTATTTTTTTAGAGAAAGGAAGGGAAAGAGGGAGAGCAACATTAATGTGTGGCTGCTTCTCTCGCGCCCCCTACCGGGGACCTGGCCCCCAACCCAGGCATGTACCCTCACTGGGAATCGAACTGGTGACCATTTGGTTTGCAGGCTTGTGCTCAATCCACTGAGCCACACCAGCCAGGGTGGGAGCCTGCCCTTGATTGCATCTCTGGCTACCTCCTGTTTCTCACCAACAGGTGCTGGACAAGTACAACCCTCCTGACCACTTCCTTCCCGAGTCTTACACCTGCTTCTTCCTGCTGAAGCTGCCCCGCTACTCCTGTAAGCAGGTGCTGGAGGAGAAGCTGAAGTACGCCATCCACTTCTGCAAATCCATAGACACGGACGATTACGCCCGCATCGCCCTCACGGGGGAGCCGGCTGCCGAGGACAGCAGCGATGACTCGGAGAACGAGGACGCAGAGTCATTCGCCTCAGACTCGACACAGGACTACCTGACCGGACACTGAACGGGGCGGAGGGCCGCAGGGGCGCGTGTGGGGACGGCATCCCCTCCCAGATGGACGGGCGGGGGGGCCTGTCACTCGGGGCCAAGTGCTGCTGGACATCTGCCTGGCTCTTGGCCCTGGGTGGACACTAGCGTTGCGGAGACGCAAAGGGTGTCTTCACCTGCAATGCTGCATCACGTGTTGGACTCTCGTGTTTACTAAAGAGTGTAAATGTTTATATAAATACTGACCTGCAGCCTCCCAGAAACAAATAAAAAACCTTTTTACTTGTGGGTGCAATAGAGTGCGTGTTCTTCCTTCCTGTGTGGTGCCCGGCCCTGGCTGCACATCGGAAATACTATGTGACCGTTCAGCCGAATTATAAGTAATTCAGTTCACTCCTAATTCACTAACCGTTTCTGAACATGAAGTGACCAGTATCACTTGAATGTACCCAGAGGTGGTTTCAGCCACAGCCCAGAGGCCGGCGGGGTCTCCGTGTCCGCAGCGTGTGACCTGGTTGGACCCCTGAGCACCGTCACGCTCCTGTCATACAAAGTGCATGATGCTGGTCTTGTGTGTCTGCCTCAGCCTTCATTTCCTATAAATAAAACACGTGGCAAAACTGTGCGCCCGGTGTCTTGCCTGGTCAGACGCCCACGGTGGCGTGTCACTGCCACATGAGTTCTGCGATGGGGTGTCTGTTAAAGCCACTCCAGTCCAGCTAGGTTGTTTTGGTCTCAAAACCCAAACTCACTCGGTGACAAAGGAGTGGTCGTTAGCAGAGTGAAGAGGGGGCAGCCGGTGTAGGGAGCCGGGGGCACTCAAGGCCCACACTGTCCTCCTCCCCATGTGCCCGAGCAGTTGTGCGGGCGGCCCTCCGGTCTTCCGGCCCCCCTGGCCCCGGTTCCCCTCATCCGAGTGCAGGAGGCTGCGGATAGGCCTAGAGCACTAGACCTGAAGTCAGTGGTGCCACATGGGGCCACAGTGGGTGTTTTGCGGAGGGAGACTGTTTATTCAGGGACCCGATGGTTACCTCAGAAGATGCAAAGAGAGGAGGAAGTTTTTTCTGGGGACTTATGTGCAACCAAATGGCTTCAAAATTTTAAGCTGTCAGCTTCTTTTTTTCTTCAAGATTTTATTGATTTTTAGAGAGAGGGGCAGGGAGGGAGAAGGGAAGAGAAACATCAACGTGCGAGAAAAGCGTTGATCAGTTGCCTCCTGCATGCACCCTGACTAGGGACTGAACCCGCAACCCAGGCATGTGCCCCAGCGGTGACCTTTTGGTTTGCAGTACAATGTCCGACCCGCTGAGCCACACCGGCCACACCAGGACTGTGAGGCATTTTAATCCCCAACCATTGTATTGGCAGTCTGCCTTTGCTGCACTACAAACTGCCCCCAGAGTCAGCGGCATACGAGAGGCGGCATTTACCTCCAGGGACCTGGGTCAGCTGATCCCCGCTGAGTGGGGCTGTTGCCCCCAAGCCCTGTGACGACCCTGGCCCGGGAGACCGGGTGCAGGCAGGCGGGCCTACGCCGAAACTGCGCCGTCTTACCCCCACAGTCCTGGGTCAACCCCAGGGCTGCTGCGCGTCTTCTGCCTCTAGGACGGCAGTTCTCAGAGTCCTGTGTGAGGCCTGGGGTCCCGAGTCCCTTTTGTGGTGGCCACGAGGTCCTTCCTTTTTTCCAACTACATAAATCTGTGTAAAGCCCTTTTCTGCCCATCTTTCAGCCAAAACAATGCGTTGCAATATATGGGCTGCAGAAGCACAAATGGGCCTCCAGCCGTCTTCGCATGAGTCAGGAAATGCCGCATTCATTGATTTTCTTGTCTTAGAAAGTAGTTTTTCAAATGAGTGTTTTTCTGGTTTGACTCCATTATTGTACTATGGAGGTAACCCAGATAAAAAATCAAGGATCCCAAAGAGTTTTTGAGTGGAAAAGGTCTCGAGACCAAAAGCGCTGCTGCGGCATGAGGACCTGGAAGTCCCTGAGGGGCTGCTGTCCCTGGGGACCGAACAGGCCGGCGGCCCCTTGCTCACCACAGCCGCTCTGTCTCCACTGCTGGGAGCCACTTCCTGTCACAGGGTCCTGGGCCTTTTTTTTTTTCCTTTTTAATCCTCAGCCAGGATAGGTTGATTGATTTCAGAGACACAGAAAGAGAAACATCTATGTGTGAGAGAAACATCGGTTGGTTGCTTTCTACGTGAGCCCTGACCAGGGATCGAACCCTCAACCTTTTGTGTACAGGATGATGCTCTAGCCAACTGGGCCACCCGGGGAAGGGCCCTTCATCTCTGCTTTTAAACTCCAGGAAAACTGGAGGATTATCTATTTCTTCCCACTACCACTCACAAAAAAAAAACAACAACGATGGACTTTGATATTCATAATAAATAACACTTCAGTTTAACACAAATTGCAGGACAATTACTTGTCATCTTTCATTGAATCGAAGTTTTCACTCTTTTCTGATGAATGAAGCCTAATTATGTTCACTTTGGCAGATTGAAATTTGTGCAGCAGAACCTACTGGAGGTAAACTGAAGAATGAAATACCAGTTACACCAATAAGGGCTGCCTGGTTTTATCAGCAGGTCCCACGGAATTCTGAACTGTGGGTGACTCCCTTCTGAGCCAGTGAGGTGTGATGCACCATATTTGATTTTCTGGCTCCGTTGTCGCTGGCCCTGGGGCTCAGGTCTCGCAGGTTCACGTCTCGCAGCAGCATTGCGTCACCTGCAGACACTGGGTGCTGGCAGTGAGGGCTGACAGGGGCTCAACAGCGAACAACCCGGGGGGCTGTCATTTCCATCAGCGTGGCACACTGCCCAGGGTGCCTTGAGGAATGGGTTAACTAGGAGTGCCAGAGGGCTCACTAAGTGCATGCACGTGAGAGCCTTCTTGCAAAACCAGGCAATGGACTTTGAGTTGGGGGCAGCTGAAGAGAAGGGAGGCGTCTGAAGTTGACATTCCTCTTGAAATTCTGGAGTTCATCGGGAAATCAGCTTTAAGTTGTTCTGAATTAAGCCAGCAGCTGCTGCCACCTGCCCTGGTCTCAGGTGGCCTAGGCACAGCACACAGGTTGGGTGCCCAGGGAGGTCAGTGGGCTGGAGCAGCAGTGTGGGAACCCTCAGGTCTGCTCAGCCTGGCCACAGGGGCTTCTTCCATCCTTCCCAGCTCAGTTTCTGCTCAGCCTGCTGTGGTCCTGACAAGCCTGATGAGTCAGTCGTCTATAGGGAATTCTGGGGACAGTAGGGTGGGAATCCTGGGTGCCAGGGTGAGGGGGCTTGCAGCAGGGTGGGAGCTCAGGACCCCCAGACAGGACACAGAGGGGTCACCCCACCTGCCTTTATTAACCCGAGGTCCTTCCAATGGCAAATGTTTGTTCCTGGCCAGTGAGGAAGGGGGTCCACAACTGTGGGACTCACTGTGGTCCCTTTGAGACCGTTGCACCTGTGGCCACCTGGCCTGGCCCAGCAGGCAGTGTGGACAATGGTCAGAGCGCACAGGTGGACACCCTGGCCGCAGGCTGCACGAGGCTGGTCCCCAGCTGTTGTCCCTCATCCCCGCTGCAGCTCCAACGTGTCCACGGTTGAGAACCAGGGTCTGCGTTCATCCCCTCGAGCCTGGCTCCTCTACCGGCTCAGCCAGGGGTGCGGTGGAAGCAACACGTGCCGGTCCCGTGTGCAGGGCTTTGGCCAGAAAGAGGCCACGTGGGGGGACTGTTCCCAGGGTGAATGCGGGCACCTCCAGATGCTTCCAGCCCCTGAACACAAGTCACCTCCCTCATTCACTACCCTGACTGTGCTTGGGTGCAGATGCGCTGCTTCCCCTGTGCCTTCCGAACCCCAGATCCCCAGCATCTGGGAGCATGGGAACATGGTCACTGTTTTTGTCACAGCAGGGGATAAAGGGCACCTAAGTGAGTCCGCATTTGAGTTTTCCTCTGTTGGGTCGCTCTATGACCTGGGCGAAGAGGCAGAAGGAAGCTGCCCAGCTGTCTGCCCAGGTCCCCTTTGTCCTGAATCTCTGAGGGGAGAGTACGGGGCTGCTGAGCTGTCTGCAGGCCGCTGTGGGGAGCAAGCAGGACGTGGGCTATGCAGTCCAAGAGGACAAAGGCTGGGGACCACAGGCCCCTGGGACAGGGTGGCACTCCTAAAGGGGAGATGCAGACAGGCTTCCATGCGGACTGGGAGCTGGAGGGCTGGGGCGGGGTCATGCTGGGTGGGTCACACCTCTGTGTGGACGGTAAGAGGCTGGGGTACCTTGGCCGGATCGCCCACAAACACATAAAATACACACACACATGCACACAAAAAACACCACTTACAATGTGAGGGAAGGGATTTTATTGCAGATCGGCCAGAATGGATGCGTTGACATCCTGGGTACTTTGCAATTGCCACCTTGGGCCTTTATGTCCCACCCTGGCGATGCTGCCCTCAGTTCATGACATCTGGGCACCTCTATTTTGGAATTTCCTGAGTCATCAGAGGGATCCTGGGTGAAATGCCTCCCACCCCACCCTGCCATGTAGGAATCCACAGGGTTCCTGCCAGGCCCCAGTTGCCTGTGACTGAGGAAGCCCTCCCTGCACAGCAGCAGGACCCGGGACAGTGTCCTCGTTCCTGTCAGGCCTCAGCTCAACACCCAGAGGTGGGTGGGCCATGACTAAGGAGCCAGAGGCGGGGAGTTTGAGGCTCAGACCAGCAGCGTCCTGCTCTGTGGGGGCTTTGTGGGTGGGGCCCAGGCCTGCCAGTTCTGGCTCCGTGGGCTCCCTCTGCATACCGCCCCTGCAGCGGGGGTGGAGTTGATCCACCGCAAACATTTTCCACCCGCACAAGGGTCATCTGGAGCGTGTGAGGAGGGAGGAAGCAAAGACAGGTGCAGCCCCAATGGACAGGTGTGGGGTCAGCCTGTGGACGTGAGTGAGGCGGGCATTGGGGGCCACGTCTTGGGCCACGGGCGGCCTGCTGGGGCTTCACGACCCTCCTTTGGATCTATGGATCTGCACACCCAGGCTCACGGAGGCGTGGATGTCTTTCCAAATGGCCGGTGGCAGCCCAGAACCTTCCACCTGCTCAGATTGCCTGCACATTCAATTTCCAACAGGTGACAGAGGCCCTCGAAGCTCAGGGATGAGTGCGGCTGTGCCAGCATTTCAGTTGGTCACAGGCTCCATGGTGCCCCTGCCCCATGCATGGGTCACCGGCACGGCCCAGGCCAGCCGCCAGCCCTGTGTACACTGAACGCGCACTGCGATCTGAACCGGGAGCGGGGGCGTGTCCACAAGCACAGCACCCGCCCTGTCTCCGTGCTCGGCCACGCTGTGTTCCCTGCTGCCCTGTCCTGGGCAAGGTGCTTGTTATAAAGTCTGTGCCTCCCCAATACCAAGGCCCAGGAATAAGTGGCTCTCCCGAGTGGTTTACAGGGGCGCCTTTCCGGGCACGGCCCCGCGTTGTGGACCAGCCCAGACCCTCTGACTTCCTGCCCATCCTGGCCCGGTGCTCGGGGGCCAGGGCCCCCTTGAGCTGTCCCCCCGCTGCCCGCCCAGAGTTCGTTTCTCTTATGTGTTGCTGTGTGTTTTGGGCATCTGTGCATGCATGTTGGAGGTGTGTAGCTACATGTCCGTGCGCCTGTATGTGTTTCTCTGTGTGTCCGTATTTCTGAGTGTAGCTGATGTGTCTGTGTGTAGTGTCGGCTTGTGGTGTGTCTCTCTGTATGTTCGTGATGTAGCTTGCGTGTCTGTGCACGTGTTTATGTTATATATGTGCCTGCGTTTCCTTGTGTGTTCGTGTATCTGTGTGTAGTTAGAGTCTGTGTGTGTGGCGTCAGTGACTTGCAGGTCTCTGTGTGTGTACTTGTCTGTGTGTAGTTTGTGTCCATGAATGTCTGTATATGAGTGCATCTGTTTGTGTGTCTGTGTGTGTCTCTGTGTGTTTCACTGTGTGTGTGTTGTGGGAGGGAGCCAGAGTGAGAGCCTGCCCAGGTGTAAACTTGGCAACGGCCCTCGGCTGGAGGGGGACAGGCAATGAGAAAATCAGAGGACCGCTGGCCAGGCTCACCAGCACTAGTGACTCCTAAAAGGCGCAACAGGACAAAGGAGGCAGAACGTGCCCTCAGTGGGGGCCCCCATTCTTGTTCCTCGGGACGGCCCTGTTCCAGGACTCGGCTGCCTTCTCTAAGCAGAGCCCCAGATGCGCACGGCGCATGCATACTGTCATTGCCTTTCACAGAGGGGTCTGAAGACCCTCTTTTCACCATTTCCCGATAGTTCTCCTTCAGCCTGGCAGTGAGGGGGCTCCGCCTCCCAGTCCTGAGCCGCTCGGGGGGCGTGGCCGCGGTGCGGGCCTGTGGGCGTGGCCAGGCCGGGGAGGGCAGCGCCCCTCGCAGTGAGCGCCCTGCGTGAGTCCGGTGCTCTCCTTTAATACCGCGCTCCCCTCGCGGTTCCGGTTCCGAGCTAGCAGTTTGGATCTTAAACTTCGCTCTTGGAGAAAGATCAAGTCTCAGGTTAGTTGGGAGCCAGGAGATGGGCAGCAGGCGGGGTTTTAATAAGCCTGCGTCGGGTCGTTGCTTTCCGGAGCTGGGAAAGTCGGAGTAAAGCCGTGGGAGACTGAGCGCGCATCTTCTGATGGACGGGCGCGGCTCCCTGGGGAGGGACCCCCGGGCTACCGGCGCTGAGGCAGAAGCTGGGAAGTGCTCCGAAGCCAGGGTTCTGCTTGGCCTGCCGGGCTGCTCTGCCCCAGCATCAGCCTCGCACGTGAGCGCGGGTCAGGCGTTTCTGGGGAACGGAATGCGCCCTTCAAATCCCTTAACGCTGCTTCTTCTCACTTGGCCACACAGTGGTATCACATGGGTTTTATGTCGCCAGCTTTTCCCAAGGACGTGGAGGTTAACATCCTTCGGCTTAGATACCCAGGCCTGGGCCAGGGGCCCCCATTGCACAGGGCTCCCCAGGGTACTGAGTTCTGACTTAGGAAAAGGGCAGTGATTTCGAGGAGGAGAGAACAGGGGCCGTCAGCACTGTGGGCAGCAGCTCTGTCCTGAATACAAAGGTAGTCCGTTGTCTCCTGAACCACCTAGGGAAGGCCACCCCTGGGGTTTGCCTGTCAGGGTGAGCATGAGGTCTGCTGTCCAGTCCCGGGCATCAAGGCCTGCGTGGGGCTATGTGGCCTGTGGGAGCTTGTATGCATCCAGGAGATACCAATTCATAATTGTTCTCGAGGAGTAAATCTCACTAGGAATGACAGAGGCTGAAGCTCTAAGTAAACCCTCAGGACACACAAAACCTGCTTGTTATTGCAGATTTAGTTTACAAATTTGGGTGCAGTTGTTCACAATGGGTGTGTGTGGTGGGGAAGAAGTAGGAAAAGGAGTTTCTGAAGTTGCATTTACCCTGAAGAAATACAAATGCCAGCCCTGTCCTCTGAGACAGGCACAAGCCCTAGAACGTCAGGGATTATGGGGGAGAGGGCTGCCCTTGCTGTCCCTGGAGACCCAGCAGCGCCCACACCTGAGACTCCCAGGAGAGGTTTTAAGCTGGAGAACAACCTGCTCAAATGTGAGATTTGGAAAGATCCCTGAGGCTGGGTGGTAGGGAGCAGCTCGCCAGCAGGAGAAAGCCACTCTAGTCCTGTGTCTGTAAAGCCAGGGCAGGGGACAGTTGTCAGGTGAGGAGTCTTGCTAGGTGAGGATGGGTGGTTAGGGGGCTCCTCATTTGGGGAGGGTGCATCTGGATGGATGGTGGGACAGTCTCAGGGCCCTAGGGCAGGTCCAGTATCCGTCTCAGGACTCAGGGCACCTTGGAGAGATCAAAGGAGACATGAAATTAGCCAGACACAGTGGCCTGGCCTGCAGAGGGGAACTTGAGAGTCGCCTGCCCACGGGTGAGTCTTGATTCCGGACTTTTTTTTTTTTTAATATTTTATTTATTTATCTTTAGAGGGGAAAGGAAGGAGAGAGGGAGAGAAACATCAATGTATGGTTGCCTTTCATGGGTCCCCTGCTGGGAACTGTCCTGCAGGGAACTAGCCTGCAACCCCGGTATGTGCCCTGACTGGGAATCGAACCGCGATTGTCTGGTTCACAGGCCCGCGCTCAATCCACTGAGCTATATCAGCCAGGGCTTGATTCCGGACTTTGTCATTGCTGTCGCCTGTGGCACCCTCGGGAAGGTGGCTCCTCTGGCTGGTCAAGGAGAGGTGGGCCGGGCTCAGAGGTGAGGCCGAGGTCCCCAGCACACCTGTGGCCTCTGTGCACTGCGCCAGACTAGGAGCAGTTGGACGCGAGGACTCCGGTCGCAGAGTACGTGGGGAGCAAAGGACACAGTTTTCAAAGTGGTTTAAAGGATGGGCGAAAGCCAACAACACGGGGACACAGAAATAGCGAAACAGTCTGACGTGAGTGTGTGTGTGTGGGGGGGGGGGGGCTGGCCCGGCGCTGGAAGAGGATGAGGTCGGGGCACTGCTGGCAAATCCCCGCAACCACCGCCCTTGTCACGGGCTTGGAGGGAGACGCGTCTTTAAAACCAGAACATCAGGGATCGCAAACAATGCTATGTGGTCTAATATTCTAGAAGTTATTAATTAAGCAGTTGACACTTTTGCGAACCCATGAGACTCCACGGTCTGTGTCCTGGCCGGCAGGGGGCAGAAGGTATAGCGCGCCCCTCTGAGCTGCGCTCTGTGCGGACCTTTCTGGCTCTGTGCAGGGAGCTGAGGAGGAAGCTGACCCGTGGCCTGGCCTCCTCCGCCCCCAGCGCCGCTCCTGCCCCTTCCCTGAGCTGCTCAACTAAAAAGCGTGCATCAGACGCAAAGGACACAACCACACTCCTGGGGCACGGCCACGCCCCCGCACGGACGGCCCCGCCCTGCTCGCCCTGCTCACACTGCTGACCGCCCGGCCGGCTCAGTCAGGACCTCGCCCCCAGGCACGACCACGCCCCCGCGGGCATAGCTATGACCACGCCTCCGAGGGTGTGGCCACGTTCACCGAGGCGCAGCCACGCCTCCAGGCACGACCTCCTCAGGGAAGCAGGCGCAGCCCGGCCCCTGAGGACCTTGGTGTAGGGACAGTTGCACGCCGAGAGCGAGACTTCTGGCGGGAACAGAGTTTTCTGTGAAGAACATTGCACAAGCCGGGTGTTTTGCATAGAACCTCAGACCCTGTGCACAGAGGGGAGGATTGACTGTGGAGTAGTTTCTTTTTAACAACGTTTTCACAGCAGCCAGTGCAGGTTTACCTTGCTCGCTTTTCATGACTGTTTTTAAGTCGAGTGATTAAAGAGCGCGAAAGGTGACGAGAGAGCGGGTGCACCGGTCGCCGCCTGCCTGCCCCGTGTCCCCGGGTCCAGCTCAGAGGCCGCCTGGCCTGGCTGAGGGCACCGTGGGCAGCTTCTGCGGGCCTCTGTCGCCCCCGCCAGGTCATTGGCCTCGAGCCTAGGCCCGGCCGCGTAAATGCAACAAGCCCAGCAAGCCCTCCAAACCCCAGATCCGCTCTGCTCGTGGAGCGGTCAGGAAGGGCGGGGGTCGGGACAGCTCCGTAGTCTGCCTCGTTGCGACACCTCACTTGTTGGGTCATTCAGCAGGCCCGGAGCGAAGGCTGCTGGGCCAAGCGGACAGGGCCCTGAGGCAGAACCCCCTCCTCGCCCCTCCAAAAACAGGGGCAGCCTCTGCGCGCTGTTCCCAGGCCACCTCTGGCCACCCCCGCACCCAGTGCTATCGCCGCCTGAGCCCGCCCACGGCACTCCGGGCTCCAGTTCTTGAGGAGCCCGCGGCGGAGCAGCTCCGGCTGGCGCGGGGACGGGCCGCGCGGGGAACACCGCAGGCGGGTTCCCGGAGAAGCCCGGCGGGGTGGCCCTTGCAGGACCCGGAGCGGGGCCGCGCTGCTGCGAGAGGGTGGGGAAGGAAGCCGAGCCCGAGGGCCGACCCTGCGGCGCCGACCTGGGTGCATTTAGGGACAGGCTTGACGACTGGATCTGAGACGTCGGCCACCTTCAGCTCGTCGGTGGCAACTCGGTCATTTCGGTTAGAAGGAGGGGCCTGGGCGTAGCCGCTGCGAGGGCCTTGCTGGGTGAAGGGTCTCAGCCCGTTTTTTCCAGCTCAGGACCCTTGAGGCGCTTCCTGCTCCGGACCGGGCCGGGAGGGCGGGCGCTGCGCCGGCCTGCTGGGGGCGTCCTTTCCCGAGGGCCTGCCGAGGGCCGGGATGTGGGGGCGCCCCGGAGGACTGGCCGCGGTCCGGGGTGCTGCATCCTGCGGGGAGCGGTCGTGAGCAGGTGAGCGGAGCATCCGGGCCGTGTCTGGAAGAAGCGGGTGGGGAAGGCAGGAGAAGGAGCGGGACTTCGGTGGGTGAGCGCGCCCTGCGGCGGCCGGGGTGCCGCCGGGCAGGGCGAGGCCTCGAGTCGCGGAGGCTGCAGCTGGGACAGACGCCCCCTCGGGCTGGGTCCGGACGGAAACCCGAGGGGGCGGCGGGGGCAGGGGCAGCGCCCGAGGCCCAGGGAGCCGGGTCCGAGACGGAGGGCGCGGCAGAGTCGGCTCGGGAGCCGGGGGAGGGACCGAGCCGGGTTGCTGGGGACGTGGTTCCCAACGCTAGATGAACCCGGGATGGAAGTGCGTTCAGGGAAGACGTGAGCCGCCAGTCCTGAGAGGCTGCGCCGCGAAGGTGGCGAGGCAGCCGCGAGTAGGCTCGGGGAGGCGGGGCCGGTGCGGTTTTGATTTCGCGGTAGCTGTGGATTCACACGCAGGCGTGAAAAATGCTACGTACGGAGCCTGTGCGGCCCTCGCCCAGACTCCCCCGTGGTGACGTCTGTGAAACTACGGCTCGGGGTCCCCGCCCGGATGTGCGCCACGGAAAGCTGTAACTTTGGGGATTAGGTTTTTTTTTTTTCCTTTTTCAGTCCGTACTTGGACTCGAGGTTCTCGCGTGTCGTTGGGTGTATCTACAGTTGGCTCCTCTTCACCGCCGCGCGGGGTTCCGTGGCTCCGGGGCGCCACGGTTCCTCCAAGCGCACAGCCGCGCACAGCCAGCTGGGCCGCGCCCTGTGTGGGACGGCCACGGACAGGGCGGCTCTGACAGGCGCGCGTGGGCTTCTGCGTTAGTGTAGGTTTCATCTCTCGGCGGTAACTGCCCGGGTCTGCTCTGTGCACCTGGGCATTTGGTAGTTAACTTTAGCGAAGCCGCCAAACTGCCCTTGTCGACGGATACACCAAAGTCACGGGTGGGATTCCCGGTCAGGGCACAAACAAGACTCAACCAGTGAATGCATCAATAAGTGGAACAACAAATTGATGTTTTTCTCTCTCTGTGTGGAATCAATAAATTGAAACAATCTACAGGGCGTATCTCTGTGGCCCTGTTTCTGGGTTCTCTGCCTGTTCCAGTGACCCACGTGTCCACGTGTGTGTCGCTGCCCATACCTCCCACTCCTGGGCATTGCAGCTGTGAAGCGAGTCTGGCAATGGTGTAGATTGGTTTCTCCCACTTTACTCTTCTTTTTCCAGGTTTTTTTTTTT